TTAAACATTAACACTTAAGACAGCTAATATTAATTATAAAAGGCTTTTCTAAAGAGTAAAGTTTTTAATCTACGTTTAAAAACAGACACAGACTGAGCATTTCTAATTTCACTTGGCAAAGCATTCCATAATGATGGTGCTGCTACAGAAAAGGATCTTGCGCCATATGTTTTCAAGTTATAGGATGGAGAAACCAGAAGGTGCTTGAATGATGAGCGTAGTTGACGCGATGGGGTGTAAGATGTAAGCAGATCACAAATGTACGACGGTGCCAGGTTGTTAAGTGCCTTGTAGGTTATAAGTAAAATCTTAAAAATAATACGTTGGTTAACGGGAAGCCAATGAAGATTGAAAAGAACAGGCGTGATGTGATCATGTTTTTTTGTAAGTGTGACGAGGCGCGCCGCGGCATTTTGAACGTGTTGTAGCCTTTTTATAGCGTAGGCTGGTAGGCCATACAAAAGGGAATTACAGTAATCCAGCTTCGAAGATACAAACATATGAACCAGCAATTCAGTAGTGGTCGCTGAAAGATATTTCCTGATATAGCTAATATTTCGCAAATGATAAAATGAAGATTTACAAATGTCAGTAATATGATCCTTAAAGCAAAAATGGCTGTCGAACATAGTGCCGATATTCCTCGCCTTTTGCACGGAAGGAATAGTCTCACCAGCAACTGAAATTTCGTGAAGGAGTGGTCTTGGAAGATGTTTAGCGGAAATTACCAATAATTCAGTTTTGTCTTTATTTAATTTAAGACGATTAACCATCATCCAATGACTGATTTCATCCACACAGCTCTCGATGCTAGAAACCGCTAGATCCCTATCACCCAGTACGGTTGGTTGGAAAGACAAGTAAAGCTGTGAGTCGTCAGCAAAAATGATAGCTCAGGTTAAATTTCTTTACGATATCTGAAAGCGGTGAAGTATAAAGCAAATACAAAATGGGTCCCAAAACCGATCCTTGTGGCACTCCACATTTAAGGTCATGTTTCGTCGAAGTACCACCATCAACAGAGACATATTGCGTGCGATTCGATAAATAAGATTGCAACCATAATAGAGGCTTCCCAGCTATCCCAAACCGTACACGTAAACGAGAGAGGAGGATGGTATGATCGACTGTATCGAAGGCAGCGGAAAGGTCTAACAACAGCAAAATTACGATTCGACGATTATCAATGGCAGAAAGAATATCATTGTGAACACGAATAAGTGCAGTTTCAGCACTGTGATATTTCTTGTACGCCGACTGGAATGTCTCATTTAACTCATAATCGTTAATGTAGGAGATAAGTTGATTAGCTACCAATTTTTCAATTGCTTTGCTAATAAATGAAAGATTCGATACCGGACGATAATTGCAGAATTGAGTATGATCCAAAGAAGATTTCTTAAGGAGCAGGCGTAACATTGCAACCTTGAGTTGCGAAGGCATCTGACCAGATTCCAATGAGATATTTATGATTTTGGAAATGAAAGGCAACAGAACACTAAGTGCATTTCTTGTAACATAACCAGGAAGAGGATCAAGAGCACATGACTTAGCAGCCAGATTCATGATACATGTATGAACTTCATCCGCTGTTACCATTTTGAAAATATCAAAAGAATGTGGACAGGCGTTGTCAACAACAGCAACTGTATCTCGATGAGGGAAAGCAGCAGTCGTTATATGACCCCGTATTCTATCTATCTTTGTAGTGAAGTACTTAATAAACTTGTTAGCAAGATCAGTGGGCGATTTGCAGGGGGGATATTGAATATCTGTTTTCCTTTGTAGTAGTTTATCAATTATCTTAAAAAGCTGTTTATAATTTGACTGATTCTCATTGATTAATGATGCGAAATAATTCTTCTTGGAATCACGAATTAAGTTGTTGACAGCATCACATCCCTCAATAAACAACTTACGATCAGAAGGAAGTTTTGTCATTCGCCAGCGTCGTTCAAGTTTTCTACGGGATCTCTTTAAATTATTTATCTCCTCAGAATACCAAGGTGCAGCGGGACGCAAAGTAACTAACTATGATGAACAGTATGTACTTGTGACGTGGAGGTGGTAAATGGTAGAACTTTTTGATGAGGTTTATATTCGGTTCCAATGCCCAGAGTAATGATTCACTTAACAGAGATTCACCACAGAGAGGTACACGTTTGAGTCAAGGATTGATTCAAAATAACACTTTACCCTCATTCAGTACCTCGCTGCCAGCCCTTCTGTCATCTCATGATTATTCAGGGAAACGATATGAAATGCTTATCAGGAACCTGTGATGAACTACTTCTCATGGTATTCTAACTGGTGAGAGGAGCAATGATCCAGGCTATATTATCCTATAGGAATTGGGATGGCCTTAATTCTTAATAGGACGGTAGGCCAATTCACTTCGACTCAGGTTTTCGACGTTCCAATAAGGCTGCTATTGGAGAAATAGTTGTGCATGTGGCGAAGTGTGGTGATAGGTTCTAATTGGTTGTGTCGGGATGTTTGATCGATTCTGGAACCTGATGTATGTGATTGACCTCGTAATGCTTCCCAAGTTATCAAAGCAGGTGACTACCTTGTGGGTGATACTGGGTATGTGGTTTTGGTGTTACTGGTAATCATATAGTTGATGTGTTCTCAGTGGTATTTGTGAGGAATGATGATCCAGTTCCTTTTCTGCTAATCGTCATGTAAATGATTACTTCATTGTAAATAATAACAGCACGTAATTCTGGCTCTGTATTAAGTGTATGTTTTGGTGTCAAGTCGATTGTAAATACATTACGTTGACTTTTGTGTCTAACTGAATAACTGTTAGTGGATGTTTCGTGGATTGTGCTGTTATTGATATTGGTGGCTCTATTATACTTCTCTTCTCGCGGTTAGTGCCGGTGGTTGCTTTAGCTTTTATCTTTCTCTTGCTTTAATTATCCCGAAATGTAGCTTCACACTAATCGAGGAAATGTAATTTCGAGTAGAATAGCATAGCTAAAGGTAAACTCGCGGTCTGATTGGCTATCGAGGAGAGGGTATTTAGTGTGGAATTGCGCTTGTGCATGAAGGGATATTGCTGACGTGGGTCGCAAGCAAAAATTGTTGCTATCGTGAAAACGAAATAAGGCAGACGAAAAAAGAAAACAGAGGCAAAGAATATGAACCAAGAACATTACAAACTTACCGCAATGGTTTACGAAGGTACTTTCTGGAGCGTTCATGTCCACCGGCAGTAGACAACTTCGACCTCGAAAAATCTTCAGCCATTGAGTTCGAAGAAGTTTCAATGATGTTATCCATGAAGAAAAAAGATTTAAAGCAAAAAGGTCTTGGCAACAGTTGAAGTTGAAACAGAAGATCTTGAAAAGATGTGGTCGTCAGGTGCAATCGGCCTTCAAAATCCTCACTCTCTTCTCCGTCAGGTATGGTTGAACAATGTCACGAACTTCGGAATAAAAGGATTTAAAAACCAACATGTCTGTCAACTAATTGATTTCACCGTGACAGAGCAGTATATCGAATACAGAGAACGACAAATCAAGAACCACCAGGGAGACGAACCGACTGCAACAAAACGGCTGAGAAAGTATAGCAACCAGAATTGGAGGACGGATGGTGGAGAGCGAGATCCGCACAGAGCATCTATCGAGTACGTTGGCCATCGTGCGAAGGGTGATAACGTACCTGGAAACTTCTACCTGAGTCCAGTTGACGACCCAAAATCCAAGGTCTGATACAAGTTGATTCCAATTGGTAGAAATACATTGGCAAAGCAAATGCAGAGTATTGCGTCCATTGCCTCCCTGGACGGCAAATTCACAAATTCGAGTGGTCGCAAAACAGTCATCCAAGCGCTCCGTGATGATTTAATTTCGACCGATTGGAGATCTCAGAGCTGACTGATCATGCCAATCCGGAATCCATATCCAGCTACAGCCGTAATCCTCTGGGAAAACAGCGGCTTATGTCGGATAAGTTGGCCAGTTTCGACCCAAGCACGACAACTATCAACAGCGACTCAAGTCACGCTTTACGGGAGATTGTCCTCAACAGCTCAGCCCCGCAACACAACAGCTACGAGTAACCGTGACAGCAGTGCCAGTCGTTCTAGTTACCTGATGGAAGGAGCAGTCGGCGGGATGTTTACTGGAGTAAATTGTAATAATTCTTCACTAAATATTTCCATAAACTTTCAGTCCAGCATGACACCAACAAGCGACTCTCTGCAATGAAAGAAAGCAGTTAGAACGGTGACTTTTTAAGCTTTTTTGAGCTATTTTTCGAAAGAGTTTACTGAGAAATTCCAGTCTTACTCATTGTATTTTGAATACTATTTTTTGTAACCGTAAAGCACTCACTGGTTTTCTGTGGATCTTGTTTAAATACCAGAACGCTTGAAATTTTCCTTTCGCTTGAGCATTGTTGATTGTCGGCGCCATATTTTTCCAAGTTGTATGGTAGCAGGCAAATCCAAGATATTCATTGAATCAAAAAATTTTTCTGCAATTTTGTACTTTCCGTTTTTTGCTGAAGATTGTAAAATTTTTGCTGAAGATTGTAAAATATGAGGCACTGCTTTCTCCTCGAGGTTCAAGAGATTGAAATAAAAGTAGTTTTCATTCTAAAAATATCTTGTTTTCCATTCGCTAGATCTTGACACCTGACTTTGAAAGGGTTTCCATTGTTTGCTCACAAAAATGCAAAACATTTGGTTTAACCTAGTGATTTGGTGGCCTTAGCTATGCGATTCAAGAAAAATTCACTGCCTTATGATGGGATTCTCTCGTCAGCCGGTGAATTTTTCTATAAAATCCCTTTCTGAAAACCTCTCAAAAAATTGCAAAAATATTTCAAGGCTCTTTCAAGTTTCATAGATAGAAGAACAATCACATTTAAATCTTTTATATTCCAAGCTTTTGATTTATCTACAATGAAAGTTGAGGACTCAATGGTAAAAATTCTATCTGACACCAATAATTTGCTTCATAGGCTGTTCTTTGAATATCAATTTCATGGCTGCAGCTTCGGCGTCATTCGCGTCTACGAAAGAGACTACCAACTATGCAAGGCTATGCCGCCTCCTGGTGGATGTTGGATCTCAGGTGCTCCGGTCGACATTTGACAAAATTCATCCACCAGCGACTCTACATACAGTTTTGGGAAGTACCTCGTTGCATTACGTCACATTGCAATCACTGTACAGAGGGAGGAAGAAAGTGCTGAATCCCACGCAATGGGGGAAGTTGTATCCTACTCACTCGCCCGTTTCCTCTGCAGCCTTCGATATTACACTTCTAACAGTGCTGCTTAGAAATATCTGTGGTTTGGTCCCTCCTGCCACTGGCTGGGATCGTCTCCCCCCAGCTGCAAACATAAGCATCGCAGATGACATCGCCAGAGTGAAGTATTACAGGAACACTGTATACGGGCATGCTCCTCAAGCCTCTGTGGATGACGGTAGTTTCAGTGCTTGCTGGCAGGAGATACGAGAAGCTTTAGTGAGACTGGGAGGAGCTCATTTTAGAGCTGAAATCGACAATCTTGAACACGACTGCATGGATCCAGATATCGAGGAGCATTATCGTGAACTGATGAAACAATGGAAGAAAGACGACGACAGCATCAAAGACAAGCTGGGGGAAATTGAAGGTAAGAAAAACATTGTCCAATACTGATGTGGATGAATCAGAAGGCTAAAACAATATGGATTTTTTCTGTTAACACGGCAGTGTAGGCTAGCATATGATGTTTCCATTTTGGATGGAAGTAGTCACTTATTCTAGCGTTACGTGTGAGAAATGAAGAATTAACCCAAATTTTGACACTGTTTTCATTGGCTGTATCTTTGTCTGTTCATGGGTACTCGTGCACAACTGCTGGAGCGAATTTTTGTGATTTCTAAGCGTCTTATTGAGATTGATCAATTCGGAATCGACCAAATATTGATATACGTATCATTGTTTAATCTTCACCTAAGCCCTGTGATGTAAATATGCTTATAAAATTGCGCTTATCTTTCTTAAATTTTCAGATTCGCTAGAGATGATGAGACACGACCTCAGAGAGAAGATAGAGAGTGAAATGAAGGAGGTTAAAGAGACGCTTTGTAGCCTGACGACCACAGTGGGAAAAAGCACAGATGAAGGTTGGTTTCTAGAAAAAGCTACTCACAGATAAAGTAAACTAACAAAAAGGATTCCGTTAACTTGAGTACACAACACATCTTTAAAGCATGACCACATTATTCGCTTGATTCTGTGAGAGTACACCCTTATATTCTTACTCAGACTATCAGCTTCGATGGGGTGGGGTATGGAAGCCACTATTTGTTGAATACCTGCCAACCAAGAGGTAGCGAATTTTCCTTCGCAAGACATTGCATAAACTTTTTCTTCAAAATTTCACCCGTATTAACTTTTATGCATTTCTCTAAAATTCAGTGCCGAATACCATTGTTCATTAGATTTCATGCTCATTCTACTAATGTTAGGTACTTTTGATCCAACTGAGCTTATCAATGGAATTCGTCAGCTGTACAAGACGCGCGAGGGATGGCTCTCACCGTTTCCATGGTGTGAAGAGTTTCAGTTTTTTCTTGGCAATATTTTCACAAGGCTCAAAGTGGTTAGAAGAAAGAAAACGAGAGGAGAAATCACTGACGTATTTGTTGACATGTCATCAATACTAGACCCGTATGAAGAGTGTTCAGCGCCGAGAACAGTGTTGATTGAAGGAGAACCTGGTATGGGAAAAACAACCTATTGTAAAAAGTACGTCTACGACTGGGCCACAAGAAAGCAAGAACCTCGGGGCCGCTGCTCGACAGCATTCAAAGCGGTATTGTTTCTGAAATGTCGAGACATCCATTCTGATATTTGGGAAGCCATTGATGATCAGCTTCTGCCACGAGACATCGATGAAGAAGTCAAACAACAATTCTTTCAGTTTATTCGTGAAAATCAGTCCAGTATTTTATTGATATTGGATGGATTGGATGAGTTACCATCCAGCAGGTTGTCGATTTTTTCTGAATTAATTGAAGGAAGAGAACTCTCCGGATGCAATATAGTTGCAACAGCAAGACACGAAGCTGGAAAAGTGGTGAGAAAATGCTGTGACACGCTGCTTCAGATCGAAGGATTCACTGAAGACCATGTGAAAGGATTTGTCACCAATTACTTTAAAGAAAGGCCGGATTTAGCCACCAAGCTCTCGGTACGGATGATGCGAGATAAAAACCTAAGAGAAATGGCGACCAATCCCCTAAATGCAGCACTTCTCTGCCTTTTATGCGAAGAGTTTGAGGGCATACTCCCCGAAAACAGAGCTCAACTGTACTTGGATATGGTTGATTGTGTCTTGAGAAGATATAGAAAAAAGAAGGGACTTTTAGAAACAGAACACCCGACAAACCTTTATAAACCGCAATTGAATCGCCTTGGGTCGATAGCATTGAATGGTTTACTTAGCGACAAATTGGATTTTAATGAAAGTGAATTGGGAAACCATGCAAAAGACTTGACTGAATTTGGATTTCTGTCAGTGGAGCCTGGTGGCAGCAAATTGAGACAAAAACTGCATTATGCTTTCTTACATAAAAGTTTTCAAGAATTCTTTGCAGCATTCTTCATTTGTTCTCAGATTCAAAGCAAGAAAATTAAACCTAAAGAACTAGTTTCCGATCCACGGTGTTTGGCTAATCTTAAACAGGTACTTTTGTTTTCATGTGGAATTTTGGCCATGAAATGCGATGAGAAAGTTGTGGCTCTTGTAAAGAGTTTAACAAATGAAGTCAACAAAAATGAAGGCCGTGGTACAAAAGTTGTATTGGAGGCCATTAACGAATGTAAAAGACAAAATAGTGATTTTCACTCACAGTTAGCAAAGTCTTTTGGAACTGGTTTGAATCTGACCAATTTGGATTTGTGTAACAGTGGTATCAGTGATGCCAGTGCTACATCTTTAGCTGAGGCCATCAAAGTCAACAAGACTCTAACCAGTTTGAATTTGTATGACAATGATGTTATTGATGCCGGAGCTACATCTATTGCTGAGGCAATTAAAGTCAACAAGACACTAACCAATTTAAATTTGTCTCACAATCATATTGGTGATGTTGGTGCTACATCTATTGCTGAGGCCATCAAAGTCAACGGGACGCTAACCAATTTGAATTTGTGTGACGGTGATGTAAGTAATGCTGGTGCTACATCTATAGCTAAGGCCATCACAGTCAACAAGACTGTTATAAATTTGGATTTGTCTCTTAATTGTATTAGTGATGCCGGTGCTACATCTATTGCTGAGGCAATCAGAGTCAACAAGACTCTAACCAATTTAAATTTACATTACAATGGTATCAGTTACGCCGGTGCTACATCTATTGCTGAAGCAATCAAAGTCAACAAAACACTAACCAATTTGGATTTGTCTTACAATGATATTAGTGAAGCAGGTGCTACATTTATTGCTGAGGCAGTCAAAGTCAACAAGACGCTAACCAGTTTGGATTTGGCTGACAATGATATTAGTGATTCCAGTGCTGCATCTTTTTCCGAGGCAATCAAAGTCAACAAGACGCTAACCAATTTGAATTTGTCTTTCAATGGTATTAGTGATGCCGGTGCTACATCTACTGCTGAGGCAATCAGGGTCAACAAGATGCTAACCAATTTGAATTTGTCTGGCAATGGTATTAGTGATGCCGGTGCTACATCTATTGCTGAGGCAATCAAAGTCAACAAGACGCTAACCAATTTGAATTTGTCTGTCAATGGTATTAGTGATGTCGGCGCCAGATCTTTTGCAGAGGCAATCAAAGTCAACAAGACGCTAACCAATTTGAATTTTTCTGACATAGATATTACTTATGCCGGTGCTACATCTATTGCTGAGGCAATCAAAGGCAACGAGACGCTAACCAATTTGGATTTGTCTGGCATAGATATAAGTGATGCTGGTGCTACATCTATTGCTGAGGCAATCAAAGTCAACAAGACGCTAACCAATTTGGATTTTTCGGACAATAATATTAGTGATGCTGGTGCTACATCTATTGCTGAGGCAATCAAAGTCAACAAGACGCTAATAAATGCGAATTTGTCTCGCAATGGTATTAGTGATTTAGGTGCTACATTTATTGCTGAGGCAATCATAGTCAACAAAACGCTAACCAATTTGAATTTGTCTTACAATCTTATTCGTGATGCCGGTGCCAGATCTATTGCTGAGGCAATCAAAGTCAACAACACGCTAACCAATTTGAATTTGTCTTACAATCGTATTAGTGATGCCAATCTATTCCTTAGGCAATCAAAGTCAACGAGACTCTGACCAAATAAGATTTATCTAACAATCGTAATAAATGTGAACAAACTGCGAGTGACTTGAACTGACTTCTGGACGAATAATTTAAGTGATTATACTTTTCCTTTCGAACTTTTCCTTTTACGTAACTTTTTTAACTTTTCCTCTTTGTGAACGCATGGAAAAACTCTTGATGAGCTTTTTTTAAATTGTCCTTAGTTACACTTTGATTAGATTACATTTAAGTTGTAATAGCTATCTTTGTGATGTTTTCTTCATTTAAGGTGATGCTTAATCTCCTAAGTTATTTACCTTAGAAGAAAAGAAGTGTAACACGCCATTGTTTTTATAGTTTTTTTTATTAAAGGAATATCATTGATGTGTATCATCCACGAACAGCCGACTTTCTTTCCAGTTTTTCCAAGCTTCGACTGCTTCTCATTTAATTTAAACCAAAACATTAAAAATTTATAGACATTGTTTTTTTTTATTTCTGTTGCGATCTGCAGAGCCATTAAATGAAATTTGACCACTGAAAGCTTGCGTGGGGGAGGGGGGGATGGACAACATGGGGGAAAGCGTGACAAAGGTCTGTAGCCGGTATATGCTACAGACCCTATTGCTAAGATATTACATCGCATTTTTTTGTACTGACAGGAGGAACCACGATAGGGTTTCGCTATACCAAGTATAACCAACACTTCTTCATCAGCAACAGCCGGAAGCTCGTCGCAGATCGTAGTAATCAGGTAACTAACCGGCTTTTGACGTCCGTCTTCCATTATTTCGCGTCTACTACTCGCCATTAAAATCCTCAATGTTACCAAACACTTCTTCAACAGTCTGATGACTAAAGTCTACGAGAATGTCGAACAACATATCGACCTGAAAGCTTCCGGCCACCTCAAAGTAACTTACAAATACATTATCCTACTGATGAGAATGTGAGATTTGTGGAGGATCGCGGCTTTTTTCGAAAAGGTGTTCCTCTCCGATCTGAAGATCGGGATCTTTAGAAAACCAGGTGGAATTACTTTTCCGTAACGCAGACCTAATAAATTTACCCTGCTCAATATCTAAACCGATGTAACAAACTACATGCACCTCTTTGCTTTGACGATGATTAACAACTTCAATAAATTCTTGGACATTCTCAGAGGAGCACCCAGCGAAATCGTCAGGGCTTTCCAGTCTCGATTTTTGATTAGAATCATCCAGCCCGAAATTTCCTTTACTTATTAGCACTTACTGATGCGTATCAAGTCATGGAATCAAAGCCGAGAACTGATAACAATACAAACGTCATCGGTTTGTTATTGGAAAAAAAGTGAATTTTTGATCGAGTGTTTCAATGGAGGTGATAGCTTTTACGGCTAAAGGTTTAAATTTCGGCCATTTTACGCTTAATGATCGTGAATCAACAAAAAAATCATACGCTCTGTTGGTTTTTTTCATACGACAAACGATTAAAATTGGTCAATTTTGCTGCTAAAAATTGTTTACCATGCCACGGTGATCTGGTTTGTATAATGAATTACAGAGAAAGAAGATGGTCATTCACTTTCTCGTCGTTGGCCGTGAACCTTGACATACGGTAGCAGAATAATATGAAAATTAAATAATAGCGGAGCTCGCAGCACGCGTAGCTCCATTATTATACGAAATAGTAGTAACCTATCAAGCCCAAAAATCTGGACTTACGACCGTACAAGATTGTACTTTCAGCATGCGCACCCAGCTGTACCGTGGGCACGTCAACGCCATAGCCTTACTCTTGTCCAGCGGACGTTTGAGCACAATGCGTGCGCAACACTTATACGAAATAGTAGTTACCCATCAAGCTGAAAGGATTAGGACTTGAGACCTTGCGACCGACCGTACAAGGTGCTACATTTAGCATGCGCGGCCAAAAAGCATGGCGGGTACTTTCTTAGCCATTAGGTAATGGAAGGGCGGGGAGAAGGTAATGCGCAGGCGCGACTGCGTGCGTAACTTGGTTGCGCCTAAATCCTACCGGCTAGAGGTACGCCCGAGGAGCACTGGTAACGAGTTTCTTAGTCGGGTGATTATCGGAAACTGTCGGCTTTTGCAATATGACGGACTGTTCCGGTAACACTATTTGCGATTTACCAACTTTCAAGCGATATGATTGAGCCAGACATGAACATTATAACATGCTTTACATGCCGGTAGTATTTTGTAAGCCTCCTAAGATTCTACCGGCTAGAGGTACAAGACAATAGAAATTTCATCTTGGGAATCTTTTTAACCAGTAGCACTCTGACAAGGGCATTATAGTGGCGATACTATTCATTGCAAGCGTAGATCTTAACGGCTACAGTGTTACGCTAAAACTCTGCTGAACAAGAAACTTAAGACCGACGAGGGTGAAGGAAACAGCCACACAAAATTTAGCGAAATTTCCTTGATTTAAGCTCAACAATTTATTTTTCACATGTAGAGCATGTTATAATGTTCATGTCTGGTTCAATCACGTCGCTTGATTGTTAGTAATTCGTAAATGGTGTTACTGAAATAGTCCGCCATATTGCAATAGCCGACAGTTTCCGTCAATCACCCGACCCAGATTTCAGGGGAGGGAGTTGTTTATGACATGCGCAGTTGACATTATTGACCAAAGTAACATAACACCTGAAACCGAGTAACACCGTTACGCAATGAAAACTAACTTTGCAATGCGGTTTTCGACCTCATGAAAAAAAAATCGTTTTAAAAAAATTATAACAGGATTCCTCTAACGTTCATATACGCAATAGGTGATCTTTTTTTCTCCTGAAGCGGTGGACGAGTTGTCCTCAAAGTTGCTTCTAAACAACATCGCGTGATTCACTTCATATCAACTCTCGCTACAGGTCACGCATCCTAAGATTGTAACAAGACACACACGACAGATTTCACTTGATGTTCTCTCTATTTTGTATCTTTCCTCTGGTGAAGGAAGATAGTGTTTCCCTTCTGTAGTACTTACATAATCCTTTGTGAATATTTTTTTTCAGTAAATTTAGGCGTATTAGCGTCAGATAGCGTTTTTCTCCAAAAACCCCGAGTGTTACGCTCGTCTTGTATTTGCAAATTTTTAAGGGAAATAATCCGCCACTCCCCCCCCTCCCCCTCACCACCCCATAGAAACCTAGCTAGAAACTCTTACCTTCCACGCTCGTAGTTGCGACTTAATCCTTTTACGTAACTTTTTTAACTTTTCCTCTTTGTGAACGCATGGAAAAACTCTTGAGGAGCTTTTTAAATTGTCCTTAGTTGCACTTTGATAAGATTACATTTAAGTTATAATAGCTACCTTTGTTACATTTTCTTCATTCAAGGTGATGTTTATCCTCTTGAGTTATTTACCTTAGAAGACACGCTATTGTTTTTAGAGCTTTGTTATTCAAGGAATATCATTGATATGTATTATCCACAAGCAGCAACATTCACCCATTCTTTCCAAGCTTCGAGCGCCTCTCTTTCGATATAAACCCCCAAAAAATTTATCGGCATCTTTATTCCTGTTTTGATATGCAGAGCCATTCAATAAAATTTGACTACTAAAGCCTCCTTAAAGGGGAGGTGTGTGGGGAAGGGGGGTGGACAACAGGGGCAAGGTGGGGACACAATAGGGGCGATGTATAAAAGTGTTCTGTAGATAACTCTAAAATGGGGATGTATTGCTGGCTTATGCTTAATTAGGTATTATCAACTGAGTTGATACCGTAAATTGGCCTCCGTAAAGAGTTACAAAGCTGACGTTTCGAGCGTCAGCCCTTTTTCCGAGCTAACACTCGAAACGTCAACTTTGTAACTCTTTACGGTAAAAAAATTTTCTTTACCAACCTAATTATCATACAAATGTGATACGAATTGTACACGTAACGTAAATGTCTTAAAGGCTTCTGTATTTTCTGTTGAACAGAGGTCAATTTATTTTCACTTGTGTATTCAGATTTCAAGCTTTCTCTATTCTCTTTCATAATTTAGACACATTTGTTTCAAAATTAGTCTCATTTGAGGGTACCCTGTTTGCAATTTATACATCAATGAGATCACGTGTCATGAATATTCTATTTCATCATATTTCAATTTGTTCATTTACTGAATATTCTCTTCACTGCTTGCTCGATTTGTTTTTTACGGAATTAATTCGTTTAAGTTCTCTATTTTTCCCGATCGGAAGACAAACCTGTGCATCAAATTCAGTGTCATAAAAAATGCTGGTGAATCCGTCTGCCTCAGCTGACAACCTTATCGACTCTCTGATTGAATTTGTTGTTGAATATATGATGTGTGCAGCTAGCGAGCTACAAACCCGATTACTAAGATATAACATCGCCATCTTGTGTACTGACAGGAGGAACCACGATAGGGTTTGGCTAGACCAAGTATCACCAACACATCCTCTTCATCAGCAACAGCCGGAAGCTCGTCGTTGATCGCAGTGATCCGGAAACTAAATGGCTTTTGACGTCCGTCTTCGATTATTTCGCATCTTTGTTGGCTTTGATCGGTGTTATACAGTGTATTCAAGTTTTTTCTTTTGCATCTATAAATACCAACAGACGGGCAACGAGTGTGTTCGTTAAAGTACTCGCCGTTAAAATCCTCCATGTTGCCAAACACTTCTTTAACAGTCTGATGACTATAGTCGACGAGAATGTCGAACAGCATGCCGACATGAAAGTCTCCTGCCGCCTGAAGGTAACTTACAAATACATTATCCTGCTGATGAGGATGTGAGATTTGTAGAGGATCGCGGCTTTTTTCGAAAAGGTGTTCCTCTCCGATCTGAAGTTCGGGGTCTTTAGGAAGCCAAGTGGAAGTACTTTTCCGTAACGCAGGCCTAATAAATTTACCCTGCTCAATATCTAAACCGATGTAACAAACTCCATTGCTCCTCTTTGCTTTGACGATGATTAGCAACTTCAATAAATTCTTGGACATTCTCAGAGGAGCACTCTAGCGACATTGTCAGGGCTATACAGTCTCGATTTTCGATTAGAATCATCTAGACCGAATTTTCCTTTATTTACTTACCGACGCGCATCAAGCTATGGAAGTGAAGGCGACAGCTGACAATATTACAAACGGCAACGTCATCGGTTTGTTATTAGAACTGAAAAAAAAAAAAAAAGTGAATACTTAATAGATGGTCTCAGCGGTGTGATGGCTTTTACGGCTAACGGTTGAAATTCCGGCCATTTTACGCCAATGATCGCGATTAAACAAAAAATCATACGCTTTATTTTTTTTTCGCGACAAACGGTTAAAATTGGTCAATTTTGCTCCTAACCATTGCTTATCACGCCACGGTGATTGGGTTTGCGTGATGAATTAGTCACAGTAAAAGAAGATACCGGTATTCATTCACTTTCTTGTCGCTGGGCGTGAACCTTATGGCGTAACATACGCTATAGAACCTTGACAAATGGTAGCAGAAAAATATCAAAAATAAATAATAGAAAGATAAAGAAAACTTACAAAAATTTGAATTGGTTTGAGGTTTAGAGAGCTGATCATGAGTTCTTTTACACGCTGACTGAGTATTATGCGGTATGCACCGCTTCAAGCTAAATGTGAGAAAGACCTGGCCCGTGCGGGGGTTCTTGGGGGTTACATTTTGCTGGGTGTGTGCCGCTGGCTTTTTACAACCCCTACCACTAAAATATTCTGTGGCAAATCATAGACCCCATCTTGGTCACTTTTGGTATACCGTTGACAACTTTTTTTATATCGAATCTTCCCAATTTCAAACCCCTACTTACTTACGCTTCGCGAAAATGTGCGATCGCATTCTGGTAATTCTGTTGAAAATGCAACCACAATCAACCCAGCCGTGAATATGCGACTCCTTTTAGCGGCACATTTCATTAGCCTATTACCGGAATGTGCCCCCTCCTCATCCACGGAGGATGGAAAATTTCTCCATGGGAAGAGAGCTAGCCCGTTAAATTTGTGGTTTTTAAAAGTTTCAAGGAACGAAGACCACAAGAGAGGTTTATTGAGTGCCTAAACTCGCCAGGCAGGCTTTATCTTTTATGCCGATGTGCAAACCTATTTTAAACACACCGCTGTTCAAGGGACCCTAATTTTTATTTTGCTGCCGGAACCCATTTCCAGTCTTTCCCGGTATTCTGCTTAAGCGGAATGCCTTGTGGTAATTTGGTTGCTTCGTTTGCTTTCCGTCAATCTCTGTGCACAAGAGTAGGCGATTCTGTCTTCTTCATCCTCTCGACTTCCTTTCTGAAGAAACCAAACGACTCCATGACAGACAAAGAGATGTACTTCGCTTTCGGTTCGAACATGAACCCAGACCGTATGCGGGATCGTAAAGCCTTCTTCACCGCTCGAGTTGGAGCTAAATTGCTCGACTACAAGATGACTTTCTCTTTTAGGAGACCGGATGGGGGTGGCTCTTGTAACATTAGACCAGAGAACGATTCAGTGGTTCATGGAGTTTTGTACACTCTTGACGCGGGAGGGTTAGATAAACTGGATGTTTTTGAAAAAGTCTCAGATGGATGGTATCGTCGAGAACGAGTGACAGTTGAGAATTCTGCGGGCGAAAAAGTGAACGCGACAACTTATATTGTAACAGAGCAGTTTTATCAAGAGGGATTAGTTCCATACAGAGATTACTTAGAACATTGCTTGGCTGGCAAGGATGTTTTGCCGGCAGAATACTACAATTTCTTAGAATCATTTAAGAAAGTCTGCAAGGAATAACAACATGGAACACTAGAAATTGGGACCCTGATAGCGTTTTCACCTTTTAACTTATTCTTGTGAAATGAAATTTGTGTTTCATAGACTGCGTGGGATGTTTTGATGTTAAGAATACGATTTATATTGAAATGAAATAAGGTAGGAAAGGAAGAAAATTATTTTATCTCTGGTCTCCATCATTGCCGTGGAAGACCTTGGTTTATATTTTTATGTCAATTATTCATTTTGCCTATGATAGCAGTGAAGCAGGTGGTTGGCATGGGTTGGGTTCAAAAACGATAGGTTTGAGAAAACATCACATTTTTTGTTATTAGGGTTGGATAAAATAAAGTTTCCTTTTTTCCGTCATGAATGCAGGGTATTTAAGATAATTCCTTTAGTGTCACATCAATGATCAGGATATTTTAAGGGTTTGATAGATCACACTCGTGGCTTAAAATAACTTTCAAGTTAAAACATTGTATAACCACCTTGCCACATTTGGAAATACTTACGGTGTTGTTTCCTGTTCAAATTATCCAACAGCAATTCAACTTACAATGAATTTGAAAACTATCAAGAATTGTTCCTTAAAACTTTTTATTTCTAGTCAGCTTTAAATGTGTCAAATGAACATTTTAAAGCAAATTTGATTGCATGTATCATTATAACTCAGTGGAAGAGGTGACTGATTATGAAAGCTGGCAAAAAATACCATAAGGAAGCAGTGTTGCTGCTGTGTATGTTGGGATCTCTGTGACTGTCCACAAAATTGCATTTTTTTATCATTTTCAATGATTGAATTAAATGGAATTTTATTTTATTTTTATTTTGCAAATGGAGTAATTTTGAACAATAAGCATGGTCAGGTTTGATAAGATCCTCACAATAACATACTTACTCTCAGAAGTGATTAACATGTTACTTCTCCCTATAATATCGATACATTACCTAGCGAACAGTTAAAGAGAATACTCCGACTTATCAGGTAGAGGCTGTTTTCTTGATCTAACAACAAATTCTTTTTTCATTTGAAAAGGTAATGTTTAACTGCTAGAAGGGAGAATTCACAATCAGATCTTGGGGAGTAAACTAAAGAGCAGGTGGGAATTATCCTCAGGAACCTAAATTATTACTCTTTCTTCATTGGGGCCTCAGAGAATCAAACTGGTACATGTATGATAAGTGTTGTTTGGATGCATCATCAACTGCCACAGGATAACACTGATTAGTTTATACTAGAACAGTGGATAGTATTGAAGGTGCATGCTTTGCTATTAACCTTCTAATAACTCCCCAGAGATTTGCACTGATAAATATTTTAATTGTTGCAGGAATGAATGAGTTAAAATCATCTTTTTTTGCTATGTTATCTTGCTGTTTTAGTGCATACTAAACCAACTTTTCATCTCAGTGTTGGTGGCAACCAGTGGATTTTAATTACTGGGCAGCTTTGTGGCTTGGTTGACATCTTCCACAAGCCACCTCCATTTTGGTGAATTTTAATTATTCCTAAGTCATGCTGGTCACTACAGCACTTGAGAAAATCAAGGAGTTATTAAATGTCTGACTGGGTTTTAAGGAGTCCTCAACCCATTACCATCATAATTATGACCACTTAGGGATTAGCTGATACTTAGTGGAAAGACTGAATGAGTTTTGATGCTTTCTGTGGTTCTCCCCACAAAAAAAAAATGATCCTATTGTTAAAAATTGTACACAAAGTAAACATGTTAATAACATTTCCTGATGTTTTCTCACTAACGGGATACCTCTAAAATACCTGATAAGTCCATCTTTTTTATAACAGACCTTACAGCAGAGGATTCAATAAGTTTTTAAGAAAAATACAAAAACTTCAAAGTCAGCAACTTGTGGAAATTTGATCCTTAATCTAATGTTGTTAACCCTTTCACTCCCATGAGTGATCAAAACAGAATTTCTCATCACAATATCACTATAAACTCAAGCAGACAAGTGAGGAGAATAAAGAAAAATATAAATGAGGGGATTATCAGTTGATCCAATTGCAAGTTCTCCAAACTAACATGATAGGAATTGTATTGAAGACAGTAATGAGAATTACAAATGGTAGTAAAAGGGCTAACAGAAAATAGGAAGCAATTTGGCCTGAAATACAGAACAGCTTGGCAGCTTTAAATGAAACCCCTGCTATAATGGCTAAGCATCGCATAGAGTCACATAAATTGTGAACTTACCCTGTTTTAGACTTTCCTGTGCATCAATGAGTAAATATGATTAATTTTTGTCAAAAATTGCAGTCAGATTGGATGCATTACAATCCACACTCATCTCTTCCCCACAGACAACCAAGCCTATTTTAAACCTTTACACCCTAACATCAGTATCCAAGTTCTGCATACTGTTCTCCATACATTTTTGGGGGTACTGGCAAGGATAATTTGTCTTACAATCAAGAGTTTCTTTAGTTTCTTGGTATTTCCTTTTTTCTCATGATTCAGGGGTAATGCTGTTGGGAGAAATAAGAGGCTTATCACTGTTAGGGATTTCAGTGTTGAACTTTTCAACTTTTGAGGTTGTAATGGGCTGTGAGGTCATCCTTTCAAAAATATTTTGAAATCTGAAGGACCCAAAATAGTATTTTCAACCTTCTCCAAGAGATGTTATATGACAAAAAGTTTCAAACAGTTTTTGTATAAGGTTGTACATCTGGCTTTTTTAATTATTTTGTTTTCTTTTTAATGCTCTTCTATTCTTCACATGTATCTCATACTAAGACAAAATTAAATGTAATCCCTGGCAAAAGCCCCTCCTCCCGCCCCCCCTCCCCCTCCCTCCAGCTCTGACAGTCCCTGCTCCTTCACTTCTCATTTTTTGATGGGAACAGAAAAGAAGTTTATATTCAGTCCTGAGGTGAGAAATCAAACACAGCAAGAAACACTGATGACGATTTAATTAAACAAATTATTGTTTGCAATACTTTCCAGGAATGGTGACATACACCTGGCAAACCTCAACCACCTTAGAAAAAAAAATCAGCTCGCATTTTCCTCCATCACTACTTCCAGTTCTTGAAATGGAACCAGTCTTTTCACGTCTTTATCATTTCTTACTATAGTGTTTGGTAACTTTCTTATTTTCTTAACATTTTTAGCTTCGATGCCTAGCTCTTGGCAGCAAACTGACACAAGAAATTGAAATGTCAGGCTACTTTTGTCAAGGTCAACTTCTATAAAGTCTTCCTCTTCTGAATCGGCAACTCGCAACTTTATGAGAATTTCCTTTTCAGAATTTTCAGCACAACAGTTTGAATTACCCGAAGCGTTTGCATCTGTCGAAGATTCGTGGTTCCACGTATTTGAAATAGTAGTCCCTTGCTGTCTAAATCTGGAATCCTCATTCCTAGAATTGTCTTTTTCGGCGTAGAAAAACTCCGGATTTCGAAGATAGTTCGGCACGATAGGTAAAGGCTCACTGGCTTGGCTTGATTCGGTATCATCGCCTTCTCCAAGCAGTTTCTTGATATCACTGTCATTGGAAAGTTTAGCAGCAGTTTCCCCTTTATGTGTGAGCGCTGCCGAATCAACTCCTTCCTGAATGAGGTATTTCACAATACTCAAATGTCCTCTTTTCGCTGCCCAATGTAGAGGCGTCCATCCGTTCATCGCGTTCGCAGCATTTATGTTGACACCTCTCTGGACGAGTGCTTTTACATTTATTTCGTCGCCAATGCAGCATAATTCACGCAATCTTTCTTCCAAATTCATCTTGGCTTCCATTGCTATTGAGCTTTTGCGCCGCGTTAGTACAAATTTTTTTATTGGTTCATTAATTTCTGCCCGACTTGGAACACAACTGTCCAATCACACAGTGCGATATTTAGCTTTTTATAGGTTATCCGCTGAGTGGCACGTGCTTGTTCGTGGTCGTATAAACAACATGGCGGCTCGGAGGCAGAAAGCGGGAACAGTTTCTTCAAGTTTGGAAGCCACTTCCGACTCCACAAGCCATGTAGATGTTGATCTGTAAGCAGTTTTGGGTTTTTATGTTTATTATTCTCTCGTTTCGCACGCTGATCTTAATCTTCAGCGGTAACGTTGTTACGATTACTGATTTGAGACCAAACTCTTTGGGTATCGATTTCCACCAGTGCCTTGACGTCGAGGAAATCAACCTCGTTTCCTTCTCTCCTGAAATGCAAATCATTTTACAAAGTAGATTTTAGGATTTAAATATGTAGATGCGAATCAAAACAGAGCCTAAAGGGATATCACCAACTTCCCAGGTGCTGTCGCCAAGTTTCTTGGGATAAACTCTTGAGCTGCATTACTATCAGCGCCAGAAACAGGCTTAGGCACATGGACTAAGGGCCGAGGAAGTTTGGACTAATTCAAGCATTTCTGTCGTTGCTTATGCCCTCCGTCCTCCTACAATATTTGGAAGATTCCTCTTTTGAAATGATTCCCTGTTCAAATCTAAATGCTCCTGTGGTCAACTTATTGTAAAACAGTGTAGCATTCGAGAGACATATAAACGACCTGTGAGATATGTGTTTGTTTTCCAGAACTAAAAACTATCCCCCAGGAAAGCGAGGAAGATTGAATTAGTAGGTCATAAGCCGAGGCCCATTCTTGAATGTTTAGCTTAGCAGCTAAATTCATTTCCTGATAATATCAATCAGTTCTATATCAGAAAAAAATTCTGTACTCCTCTAATCCATTTCAAATATCTTGTATCAATACTTAAAAAAGAAGAAATTGGAACCTTAAAGACATAAAAAAACAAAAGTAGTTCTTGTAGTCCTGTCTGGTGTAGCTTCTAACCTTGAAGTATTTGAACCATTAAGGGGCTTTGATTCTTCTTTGTGGCATACCCATAAGAAAATTTATGTTTTACATCTTTATTCACACCACATCTAAGTCCAAAATTTGCCATCTTTGTGATGTAACTCAAGTTTTAAATTCTCACAATTTTGGTCAATTTCATATTTCAGTATACATAATGTCAGCAAATTTTCTTCCTTGTTAGAGGTTTTGGCCCTCAATCCATTAAACTCCCAAGATGTGCTTGTTAATTCTCCTCTCTAGCTGATACACATTTCCTCATTAGTTAGTTACAAGAATTTGGTGTTAGATCAAGATTACTACTTCTTCCTGATAAGTTTGAGTATTTTCATTACCTGTTTGCTGGATTATGTATGAGTCTCATAGGGAGAAGTTGCAAGTAAATCACTTCGGGAAGTTAAAGGGTTAATAATGAGTCTTACCACTGGATCAGAGACAATTATTTTGTGAGAGTAAAATCTCACAAAGAGCAAATATTGGAAATGTCATGTTTACAATAATCACCTATGGTAACATTTTTTTTTCTGTCATTTATAATTGAATCAAATTCACTTTATGGTTACATTCTCATACAGTATAGCTTCAGTGTACTTGTAATGATAATAATTTTTATACTTATAATAATAATAATAATAATAATAATAATTATAAAAGGAGTAACATCATTAATTGACTACTCACCTAATAGGACTTTTCAGGGCTAGTAAAAATAAAATGAAACAAATATTGCCAATGATCAAAGTGTTTAACCCTTCATACCCTAATATCAGTATGTACATTCTCCATACTGTTCTCTATACCTTTCTAAGGTGCTAAAAAGGAGAATTTTTTAACAATCAAGAGCTTTTTTAGTGGAAAATCATTTCCTAATTATACACGTGACCCTCATTTGAGATTTAGGGGTGATACTCTATGCCTCTCCTAAGATGCTGACAAGGAGAATTTTTTAACCATCAAGAGCTTTTTTAGTGGGAAATAATTTCCTAAATATACTTTTGACCTTTATTTCAGACCCAGGGGTGATACTCTATAGCTCTCCTAAGGTGCTGACATGGAGGATTTTTTAACAACCAAGACCTTTTTTAGTGGGAAATCATTTCCTAAATATACTTCTGACCTTAATCTCAGATTCAGGGGTGATACTCTATAGCTCTCTGAAGATGCTGACAAAGAGAATTTTTTAACCATCAAGAGCTTTTTTAGTGGAAAATAATTTCCTAAATAATTATACTTGTGACCTTAATTTCAGATTCAGGGGTGATACTGTATAGCTCTCTTAAGGTGCTGATAAAAAGAATTTTTTAACAATCAAGAGCTTTTTCAGTTGGGAATCATTTCCTAAATATACTTGTGACCTCTGATGGTGATACTCTAAACCTCTCTTAAGGTGCTGACAAGGGAATATTTTAACAATCAAGAGCTTTTTAGTGGGAAATCCTTTCCAGAATATACATGCAACCTTAATTTGAGATTCAGGGCTGATATTATAAGGAAAGTTAAAAGATTATCACTCTTAGGGGTGAAATGGTTACTAATTCAAACTTGCCGAAGGCAGACCAGTTGGTTATATACAAAGCAAAGACAAGGAGCTGAACTCAGGGCAACTGAGATCAAAATAAATCCAGTGAGTAACAGGGTAGAGGGCTTGGACACATGAGGCCAGATCACAAGCCTAGTGCTGCAACCACTTGGTCACACTGCCTCCACAACTTTTAATTTGTCAATGTGTAACTTTGCCTTTTAGAACAAAGAAACTTTCACAACCAGATAAGTCTGTGTGGTGTCCAAGACCGTATACAATCTTCAAACTGCTACTGTCAGCAAGATTCTGTTCAGCATTTCTGAGTAACATATCAGACTGTGATGAGACCTTCAACTACTGGGAACCTGTGAGTAATAGTGAAGCTTTATTCTTTGGTCACTGGTATTAACCCTTTAACTCCCAAGATCAGATTGTAAATTCTCCCCTGTATCTGACACACAATTCCATGTAAATAAGTTATGAGAATTTGGTGTTAGATCAAGATAACAACTTCTTCCTGATAAGTTTGAGTATTCTTATTACCTGGTGGCTGGCTAATGTAGGGATATTATTGGGGGAAGGTACAGGTTAATCACTTCAGGGAGTTAAAGGGTCAAATACAACATGTATGTATGAAGGGAGTAAGTTTCTAAAGAAACTGTGGTGCTGTGTGAATGGGGGGTGTAACAAGATTGTTTGGTTTCATCAATAGGGTTAATAATGTAAATTAAAGCTAGTGTTCTAGGGATTAGGTCTTTAACAGAGTAAAAATCAAGGACAAAGGAGTAACACTTGATATGTCAGCTTTAGAAACTCTTTAAGGCAACCAATTCATGTCGTGAATTCAGTTGATTAAACCAAATTGTCTTGTATGTATGTATTCTTTATTGATCACTCCCCAAATGGGGTTTTTCAGAGTCAATAAGAATGAATCATTTTGAATAAATGTAGTGTTTCACCCTTTCACTCCCAAGATCTCATCAATAATTCTCCTTACTGTCTGCCATACAATTCGTATAATGTTAGTTCTGAGAATTTGGTATTGAGTCAACTAATAGTCCCCTAACTGATATTTTTCTTGATTCTCATCACTTTTCTGTTTGATATTGTATTGATTTGGTGATGAGAAATTCTTTCTTGGTCACTCATGGCAGTTAAAGGGTTAAAAACCTCAGTCAGTTGGTTGGAGGCAGACAAGTGACATGTAGCTTCATTCAAAGCTACAAGCAAGGAGTTGAACTCAGGACAACTGAGACCAAATCCAGTGAGAAGCAGAGTGAAGGGCCTGAATTCAGGACCTCTAGATTACAAGCCCATTCTCTTTATTATGATATTTCTGAGCTTTTCGATGTGGGACAAATTGCCCAATTTTTCATAACTGATTTCAAACAAGGAAAGCATTGAGCTGTATCTGTGGGCAAGTGAAACAACTGGTTGGTTGCTGGTACTAGCAACATGGTGATAAAGATTGTTGAATATATTGCTATAACAAATTTTGGAAAGGGGATGTTTAGAGCATCAATTAAATATCAGATTTTCAAAATTTGTCTATGTCGTTTTCCTACCTATTTTATTTTCTAATTGATAACCAACCAGTGCTTTCAAACCACATTCATTTGCAAAATTCACAGACATATTTTACTCTTGCATTGTGTTATTTGTAATTTGTCTATTGCCTCGCTTCCACTTAAACCAATGAATTGAATAATATTTTATTTCTATTAAAAGTATGTATGTTGATGAAATATTCTCCAGGTGTGATGGTTCTTGGTGTTTTGTCATAAATTAATTAATACTCCAAAATGTACTTGCAATTTGACATCAACAACAATCAAATTTAATGACACATACAGGAAATCATACAGGATTGCTGTTTTTCAAATGTAAATTGCTTTCAATTGTTATCATGCTAACTAGGTACTGGTCTCTATCACAATAAGGTCACCTTCACCTCGCTCAATCCAAATCAAAGTCTTAGCAATAAGTACACAACTGTAAAATGGCCTATTGTTACAATCTTGCTTGTTTTACTAACATTCATCATTGATGGTTGTTTTAGATGCACTTTCTGATGTTTGGTTCTGGTTTTCAAACCTGGGAATATTCACCAAAGTATGCCATTAGGTCCTATGCTTATCTGTTGTTACACACTGTTCCTGGGAAACTACAGATCCAAGTGTTTGAAGCAAACAAGGTAAGTTTTCTTTCAGTGCAGCATTTTTGATATGCTTTTAAATGAGCCAGGAAAACTGTCAGTGACAGTGTTGGTACTTGAGGTTCAGGCATGTTGGAAGACTTCTCAGATTGAAAAAAGAAAGACAGAAAAAGTGTTGTTCAGTGCATGAAAAAGCAACAATCACTGGCTGGGTTTTTTTGCTAGTGATAACTTGGTAAAGCATGACAGTTATGGTAATGTACTTCTGTGGTTAAGCACTTACAATTGTTTGATTTTTAAGCTACCTACCTTGAAATTTCAGCTGGCAGCTTAATTTCTTAACTTCAACCCTGGTGGTTTGGTTTTGTTCATTTTTTTTTTTTTGTTATCTCTCTGTCTTTTTTTTTCCTTTTTTTATTTTATTATAATTTTTTTTTTTCAACCAAATGCCATCCTACAATTACAAGCTTTTGTCACTGAAAGTTTTCACCACCAATTTGCACTGGAGCTTTTTAAGACCTAAACCTCAAATTTTATGCTTTTCATTTGCAAAATTTTGACAGTAGGTCACCATGTCTCCCTCATCCTTAGAAAAATGTGGGGATAGGAATATTTATTCACATGAAATTGTGTTTTTATCATTTCTACACTGTTTAGCTGCTGGTGTTTTATTTTCTACGATTTGCTCTTTCAATATTCTCTGCAGCAGCTTGTGAGACGATATTTCTACAGGTATGAAACCATTTTAGATTCTGTTAACCCATTTTACTCCCAAGATGTCATTAGTCATTCTCCTTACTGTCTGCTATACAATTTCTACATACAGTTAGTTTGGAGAATTTGGTAATGGATCAACTAATAATCTCCTCATTGATATTTTTTCTTTATTCTCATCACTTGTCTGCTTGATGTTGTATTCATTTGATACTGTAAGGAGAAATTCTGTCTTGGTCACTCTTGGGAGTTAGAGAGTTAATACTCTTAATATTCATAAGCTCAACTTGATTAGTTGATTGTATCAGCATTTGCTGAGATGAGCCATTCATATGGCACATGTTGTTGATGTTGAAACCCTGCTCATGGCACTCGAAGAAATTTGCAGTCAAAGCAACAGGTATATTTGGAGATCTTCCCCTATCGCTTTGATAAGCTTATTAAATCACCTAGTGTGTCTAGGGCTCTATACATAAATTTACAATTGGCCAGACTCCTTAGCTTGTTGGCTCCTGGACTCCTTACAATGCACATAAAGAAAGTAAAACTATCATCTGGAGCATAAGACATGAAAAAAGTTGACATGAGCTTTTTGGAAATAAACTTATGAACTCTTCAATCCCAGAGAGTTACTTAAATTAAAATTTCTCCGGCACAAGTATAAAGGAAATGATTGCCATTTAAAGAAGCCCTTGATTGTCAAACAAATTCTGCTTGTCAGTTCCTTAGGAAATGTACAGAGAGCAGTGTGGAGAATATGCATACTGATGTTTGGGTGTGAGAGGTCAAGGGTTATAAATTAGAGTGAAGAGGCAAATGAAGGCTTAACCTTTTAACTCCCAGAAGTGATTGAAATCTAACTTCTCCTTTTCATATTCATACATTATCCAACAAGCAGGTAATGAGAATACTCAAACTTATCAGGTAGACATTGTTGTCTTGATCAAATACCAAATTCTCATCACTAATTTACAAGGAAGTCTGGAACAGCTGTAGGGGAGAGGGGAGCAGCTAGAAGGGAGAATTAAAAATGGGACGTTGTGATTTTAAAGGTTAAACAATGATTCACACTCAAACTTGCTAATGCCTTTTCACTTTTTATCAAGTGTGGCCAGTTTTCATTTTGATGGTCACATTTAACTCAATTCTCTTTTCTGTATAAACATTTAATAAAAGTGTGAAAGTAAACTGCTTTGAATTTATCAGAATTAAGGGTTTTCATCAATTTTTGAAGTTGAATTGGTAGCACAAGTTTACCCCTTCAACTCCCAGAAGTGATGAACATGTAACTTCTCCCTAAAATATCCATATATTACCCAGCAAACATGTAATAAGAATACCCAAGTTATCAAGTAGAAGTTGTTATTTACATCTAACACCAAATTCTTGTCACTAATTTACAAGGAAATGTGTAACAGCTAGAGGGGAGAATTAACAATCAGATCTTGGGAGTTAAAGGGTTACATAGTCTGTAAAGGTAAAGGTGAACTGGAAATTACACTTAGTTGATAGTAATTGTGTATTAATGGTCCCTATTTGTTTTATGATTTCAGTGGAATAATAAAACAATTTGGGAATCATGTTGCAAGAATAGCTGTTGTTTTTATGATTTTTAGTACTGGGATGTTTATATCTGCAGCTGGTGAGTATAAATGCTGATTAAATGCTTTGATTCAAAATTTGGAAACCAGTGGTTTTTTTTTTTCACTTACAAGTTCAAAAATAAATCATTTTGATTTAAAACACTTTAAATTAAAGCATACCGGTACATTTAAATCATCGCAGATTGCTGGCAATGAGTGAGATCTCAACTGCATAGTGGTCGACTGTGTGATGTTGCAGCCATCACCTTCCAGAATATTGTGAAAAAAGAAAGACAGGCTGGTATTCCTGTACTCTGAGTGTGCATGGTCATTAAACCTACTGACTGGTGTTACTGTTGCTCTGGATGACAATTTCCATTGTTGAAAGTGTTTGAACTAGCTAAAAAAGGGAATAAGGAGTAAATTATATCTAGAAAGTTAAGTAAGTTCATAAGTTCTTAACTGAAGCAGGAGTTTGCTGTCTCAAAATCAACAGTTTAAATCACATACCTGGAATGCATGAGAAATAATTACCTATAGTTTCAGGGTGAGAGCATAAGATGAATTTGTTTGCATGAGTCTTGCACTCAATGTGTAAGACTAAAGAGCTCTACCACTGATGCTGTAATTCTGGGTTAGTGCACTAGAATCAAATGTTAGTCTTTTGGATCTTGATCTGAACTGCTCCTTTACTACATGTAGTCCTAAGATAATTTTTTTTTTGTTCCTCGAAGCATTCCTACCCAGTACGTTTGCTATGTACATGGTGATTTTATCTTATGGAGGATGGTTTTCAGGAAATTATGCTGTAAGTTATTGATCAGGATACACAATTTTTTTATGATAGCGTTTACAAATAATGTTTAGTTTGTTTTTTATAGCTACTGAATGTTTATCACTCAATAAGTGAATTATTGTTCAATCAGGTACTGTTTAGACTGAAGTAAATATTTGTATAAGATAATATATGATTTTTAATAAGCCTCTTATTTAATCCATAAATCACTGATGCTTCCCTCTCAACTAAAGTATGAATTTTTTGATGACTTTCTGCTGTATTAAAATTTCTTGGACTTTAGACGAGGGTTTGTTTGAAATTATTTGTGATATAATAGCTATTTTACAGGACTGTACTTTGAGGGAGGGAGGTAAAGATTTTAAACATGGCATCTGATTAGGCCCAAATTTAAATTCACTGTAGTATTTGGTGCGTGAATTTTACAGAAAGGCAAGATGGGGTGAGATTTGAAGTGTACTGTTTTAAATTGTGACGCTTGAAATGCTGCCAATATTACAGATGATGGGTGAATTTTTTCTAAAATTCATGTATTGAATGGAATCAGAACCTGCCTTTTCTACCCTTCAGAAGGAAGTGGGTTTAATGGTTGGTTTGGTTCATTGTTCTGCTCAGTGGTCATACCCAGACAAAATAAGGGTGTTTGATTCCATAGTGCATTTATTGTTACAAAGATACACTAGTGAAAAAAATAAATAATTCATTTTGTGTATAGCAATGTAAGCTGTAGTTTGAAAGTATTACCAGGCTTTAAAAAATTTTGAGACAACATGACAAAGGTGCTAAAAATGTCTTGTTATACTGTAGTGCTTAATGTATTATCTCCATCATAGGTGGCTGTCTTAGCAACAGCAGCTGGTTCCCTGATTGGTTGGCCTTTCAGTGCAGTTCTGGGGTGGGTACTAATGTTCATGTAATGGTATTAAAATGCTTATTGACTGAGTTCAGTAGAGCAGGAAGGGGAAAACATTTGGCTGAAGGTTATGATGTACAGACAAAGAGCAACAAGGTCCATGCTTTGTGACTAAGGGCCAAATATTTTCCTGTTCAGCTCAACCGAAATAAGCCAATAAATATACATAATTTTTGGTTTGAAACTTACAATTTCTCAATTTCATCGAAAAGAAATTCGCTGCAAGTTGGAGTTTCCTTGAAACTATCAGTGATAAGTTCATATTCAAAATGCTCTGTTTTGATTCTATTGATTTGTTTTTTCTTGTATTGTTTCAGAGTTCCTATCGCATGGGACATCATAGTACGACAAAGAAAAATAATATATTTTATACAATTATGCCTTATATCACTTATAGTATTTCTGGTGAGTACCGCAAAGATATCTTATGCACATATTTACTGTTACGTTTATTTGTTAAATGTGATCAAAATTTGGTGTTCAATATAGACTCTAGTTTTTCCCTTGAGCACATGTACAGTGTATGTAAATGTACCTATATATGTTCATGTTAAAAAATTTTCTCACAAGTGAAAAATGATATAAAGCAAACCAATCAAAAGTTTCTGTAATTTAATAAAATGCTTTAATTAGCATATTTTAATATTTACTTTTCAATGTATTGCATTGTACAGACTTGCATTACATCAATTGTGTTAGTTTTGCGTATTTTGAATTGTACGAGTCATCACTTTATATATCTTTCTAGCCAAATTTGATGTCTGTATTGTAAGTGATGGACCAAATTTCTTGCACCAGGATGGGTGCAAAAATGGCCCAAGTGCAAAGTGCTTGAGCCATAACTTGCATGTTCCATCACTTACAGTATTGACCAAAAAAACAAGGTTAGTAAAGATGTATATTATATCTATTGGTTCAAATAAGAGGCAGAACATTTTAATTCAAACAAACTTTTGAACTTAGCAGGCCGTACAGTTAAATATGCCCCACTAAATTGACCAATCATAGTGTATGTACTAATAGAGAGATATAATAAACTATGTTATGGTCTGCTCACATGTCTGTGAGTTGTGTAGGTTGAAAAATGAGAGGGCTCTCACTTCTCATGCCAAACACCTTGTGGACCTTCTGCTGGCAAGCCAGTGGGGAGGGTGGACTGTTAACTCTTGGGAGAAGCTGGCCACAGCTGTAGATGCTCAAGTGGGGGCCTTTTTGTATTGGATGACTATACTATAGTACACTGTGACATTTGATCGAAACTTTTTAATATGATAATTGTAACTAATGTTTATTTCTTTATTTATTCTTCATTTAGGGACCATTAGTGTATATTGATTCCTTTTTCTATGGCAAAACTGTGATTGCCCCCCTAGGTATTGTGCTGTACAATGTATTTGGCAAAGGTGGCCCAAGCCTCTATGGTAAGGTTTGATGGATGGCATTGCATGCAGAGTAAAAGTGAAATGATCTGTGTATCTTGAATGTGTTTGGAAGAGTATGGATGGGAAGAGAGTAATTTCTGTAACGTGTCTTGCTCACTGATTGGCAAAATTGAGTTGTAGTTGTAATTGTGGTTTTTCCTGTAATAAATACATACATTGGAATGTGTATTTAGCAGCACTGTATTAGCTTTCATCCGGTATTAAGCAGTTGGTTTTCAAAATTCCAAAATTGTTACCCCTTATTTACTGTAATTTTCACCTCTTTAAAGTGATCATGGTCACCTTTTGCTGAGTCCTAGTGGCCTGTTTGCATTGTTCTCCACTGGTATTGACTATTCTTAAAACTAAGCATAATATTTCAAGTAAACTTAAATACATTTTTTTCCCCCAAAATCAATGTTAGTAGTACTTTTTGAGCAAGTTTGTGTGCATTTAGTTGTTAATTATGACATGAAATAGCCGTTTTTAACCTTTAAATTCCCAGACCAATTTGTAATTCTCCTTACTGTCAACCAACAGTTCTTATAATATTAGTTCAGAGAATTTAGTATTGGATCAACTAATTATCGCCAAATTGATATTTTTCTCTATTCTCATCACTTATCTGGTTGACATTGTATTGATATTGTAAGGAGAAATTCAGTCTTCATCACTCATGGGAGTTAAAGGGTTAACATACCCTACTCTGTGAGACCTGTATTAAGCGGTCTCCGTGCCATTTCCTGTGGGTCATCCATCAATACATGTTCAACATAAATGGTTAAGTTTGTTAAAAGGAGCCAGGTAACAGTGCTTTAAATATTGTCTGCCTGGCAAAAATGTTGGTACTTTACACCGTGAGATCAGTATGCATTTTCTCCACTCTATACTCTATACGTGTCCTAAGGTGCAGACATGAAGAATTTGTTGAACAGTCCAGAGCCTCTTTACCTTCCAGATCATTCCCTTAATTCTCATGACATTAATGTGTGATTCAGAGGCGATATTGTAAGGAGAAATTAGATGCTGGTCACTCTTAGGGGCCAAAGGGTTAATACAGAGTAGGAAATCTGCCGCGAATTTTCTGCACCTTGGGCTTAGTCTAAATTTACATGCGAATTTAGAAAGCTCTTCTTTTCTTTTGTTACCCAAAAGCGCAAACATTTTCTTGGTCTGAGTGAAGAAAAAAGAGAGAAGAAGACGGTTTTGTGTCAAGGTCACCCATAATTTAGAAAATGAGAAGGAGAAAGAGAAAATTGTAGACTAACCTTTGCAAGGATAAATCCGCCTGTACATTTTCACAAATATTTTTTTGTTTAGAGAGATGACGTGGCATATGTTACTTTTATTTTACAGGCGTTGAGCCGTGGTCGTTTTACTTCTTAAATGGGTTTTTGAACTTCAACATTGTATTTCCTATGGCGCTTCTCGCTTTACCTGCCTGTGTAAGTACTTGAACGGTCAAAAAGACCTTATTGATAATATTGATAGCTGCATGCGTGAAAGCGTGAAATAAATTTTACTTGACATTTAATCATTTTGAAAGTTCATGCACGCTTTGTGCGGCTGCGAAAGTTTGAACGAGCAACAATAATGCAGCTGTGATAGCAGCAAAACTTTTCTACAGTTGTATGATGCAAATGCAGTGTGAGTCAAAATTTTGGTGTCTGCTTGCCGCAAAATTTCCTGCAAATGGAAAAGGATTTCACCAACGTATGGTGCAGTGGTTTATTTACCTTGAGTGGAATATCTAGCAGGAAAGGTTGGATCAATGTTAGTACCTACCCCTACCCTAACCCAACATGAACATTGTTGGGGTAAGGAAGGGGTAAAGGTGCAGTTGTTAAGATACTGACATTGATCGAAAATGCTTTTTCCTTGGATCTTAGAGGTTTCTCAATCCGTCTCTAAAGATTAACAAACAGTAATTTTTTTCTTATAGTCGTTGACAAAATCTGAGACCATGTCAGGGGAACATGAAAATGATACTGTCACGACCCTTGTGTGTTTTGATGCTCACATTAATTGTGTGTTAAACGTGATTTATTAACCAGATAACAATCTATGCTTGACAGGTCTTTATTAAACTGGTGATGACTGGGAAATCACAGGAAAAGAAATGTATATGAACAAAATTTGTTTTTAAAATAAGATTTTAGATCATCGCTTTATGACATAAACCATAATGATAGACTTCAGGGTATCATAGTATGGTGCAAAAGTTATGCCCGAAACAAAATTTTTGGCGACATCTCCGCGAATTTTCGAGTCAACTATTGTTTGGATCCGTCTGAACTTTCGCGTAATAATTCACTGGGGATGTTAGTAAGTTCCGAAATTTAGAGAAAGTTTACGCTTCTCAAAAGATTCGCGGGGAACATTTCATTGATAACGCCCAATTTGTCATGGAAAGCTACTTCGTAACGATACACATGTAATTTCGCGCTGTGATTCCTGTCTCCAAGGAAACTGCAATCATAGCAACCTTAGTATTCCCATCGTCTCGATGTTTTCTGTCTTATTTGAGTCCCTTTTTTGCAATGATTAACTGAAAAATTCTCCCTAACTTCTTATAACATTATGTTACTCTAAGTTACGAGAATTTAGTGATGCATCAGAACTGACGGATTTCCCTTCTTTTTTTAGTTCCGTCGTCAGTGTTACCAATTTGGCTTTCACTTATGGGGATGTACATTTGGATTCTAATTTTCTTCACAAGACCTCATAAGGTACTGGGACTAGATTACTCATTAATGTTTGAGAATATGTACGTGGTAAATAAAATTTGAATGAAAACAAAGCAATTTCATTCGGACTTCGCGCAATCCCTCCTTTCCGCCGAAGCCTTCGCGCAAGTAAAAAAAAAAACTGCGCCGTTCTGCATGGCGTGCTAACATCAATTCATCTCCATTTTCTTAATTTACGCGACGAACTTCGCCGATAAGGAGGAATTGTTCGTTGTCTAAGTTGAATTACAAACTGACATTAATCACTTACCCAACTGGAAACGTGTTTTCAAACGTACAAAGCGGAAAATTAGTTACAATTCACAGGTTTGTCGTGAGCAGGAAATTATGTTGTAATCACTGTCTGCAAAATCGACTGTGTAATGATGTGGTTCTTAATAGGAGATTTAGACATTTGCTCCTCTTTCCTTGTTAAATGTAAATAGTATTGGTAACTAATTCGTAACAAAAAATGATGATTTAGATATGTCTGCGTTTTTGTCGTAATAGGAGGAAAGATTTCTGTTTCCAATCTATCCGTTCTTTTGTTTATTCGGAGCTGTAACGCTTACCAACTCACAGGTAAGTACATTAAAACTTTTTTTTTTTAACTTATATTAAAGCGAAGGAAAAGAGTAGCTTGTTCTCCAGCTAGCTTGCGGCTTAATTATTTTTGTCTGTTGAAATTTATATTTCCCTTTCCACGTGTAAAAGCTCCTTTCAGTATCAGTCACTACTGTGCTGAAAACAGTATTTATCTGTAAACCACATCAGGAAAGGGTCAGGGAAACTCGTTTCTGAGTCTCCAAAGATGATACTCCGTTTCAATTTATTTTCTTTTCATTAGAAAGGACGCCTGCAAGAGGAGAACAAACGCAACTAATTTTTCTCAATTTTTTTTTACGTATTCAGCCAGTGGAATGTGTTTTGTGGGATGTGTCTTGGTTAGGCCTTAAAAAAGGTCTGAGGTAACCATTTCAATGACGCAAGGCAGCGTCTTCGTCATGCATTTTTTTTGTATCTTTTACAGAAATTATTCCATGGGCTTTTCTTTAGCGGAAGCAGACATCATTACTCGGCTTCTTCCACATGGTTTGCAGTCTCTGCTTGTGTAGTGTTCTCAGTTTTGTCTTTGTCAAGATCAAGTGCTCTTTATTATGGTGAGATCTCCTTCACTGACACAGTGTAATTACAAAGTGCTAATGGGCCAGTGTCGGAGGAACGAGTTGTTGAATTGTTGTGTGACACTGGAAGAAGGCTTCGGACAATCTAAGATCCCTCTCTTTATCCATGAGATGACTGTCATCTACAGCTGTTCTTGGAAAAGTTGTCGGAAGAAAGCATAAAAGTTCACGCAACAACACCGAAAGGTTTTGTGGGTAGTTTTTAGGTCACGGCTCCAAGGCAATGCTAATTAAGAGAAAGGTCGGACGAGGCATCGTAGGTTTGATGAATTTATTTATTGGTTACTGACAACCCAGATCACCTTTCGAGATTGTCGTGTGCAATTATGTTCCCTTTTCCAACGAACTTTCTCGATTTATCGCCGTCTCCTAATAACCGCCATGTGGGAAACCAAGAATATTACCAAAAGCCGTCTTCGAATGTATAGTTGTTATTCGGCGAGAGTAACTACAACATCAAAAGCTTATGCGGCACAACATTTTATAAAACAGCATCAGAGACCTATTATATTCTGAAACAGATTGAAGCTTTGGGTTTGAAATGGCTTTACTTTTTTACTCTTCAATAATATCTTGAACTTATATCACCAAGGTGACAGTGAAATGTTATCTTTGCAGGCATAAACCAAATCATTTTATTGAAAAAAAACCCTGTTTTTCATGCCAAATCCAGGCAGTGAATCATAATGTTAAGAAGTATTTGCAAGGATTTTGAAATAAATTTTCCCACAGTTGAGTCACAAAAATGCATATTTGTAGTTACATGGGATCGTTCTTCGAAAAATTCCAGACAGATACCGTATCTGAAGATTGTTCACTCTCTTTCTGGTTTCCTAGGTTACCACGCACCGATGGACCTGTTTATTGAGTTGAACCATATGTCGTCTAAACTTGAGGAGCCCCTCCCTCAGGGCAAACAAATAAACCTGTGTGTTGGAAAGGAGTGGTACAGATTTCCCAGCAGCTTTTTTTTACCCTCGGAAAGGTAGTTGTTGTTATTATGGGAGCTACTTCAAGTAGTCCAATTTTGCTCGCAGTTAAATGAAATAAAGAAAATTCTAATGTGAGAAATTGTTGAAAGGAAGCTTGGAACTTAGAAACACCACAATACAAGTTTGGGTCTTCTGCCATCTTATGTACGGAGCCGCATGATGGGAGCAAGGCTAATTTTGGTGGGGTCTCTGTAGCTTTACATGCCAATGATAAGCTGCAACAAATGAATCAGCAGAGAGGACACCACAAGGAATGCGATCTGACATCCCTGACCAAAAGGGGAAAGTTAGTGAAGTACTTTACCCAATCCTCACCCGGAGGGTTTTTCTAGAGCCCGACTACTTTGAGATCTGTCAGCTTTGGCCCGTCACTCTGAGACTAAAGCGAAAGGAATTATTTCTTTTATGATAAAATTCACATCCGTTTTATTTTTTCCTCTTCATAGATGGCATCTACAGTTTATTCGTTCCGAGTTTCGAGGTCAGTTGCCAAAGCCTTATGCTGACGGACGCAACGCTACAAAAATTATACCAACCCATATGAACGACATGAATGAAGAGGAGCCTTCAAGATATGTAAGTATCTAGACACTAGGGCCCAGTTGTTCGTTATTCGTCGCTCAGTTCTTCCTGGCCCGAAATTTTTTCATCGTGGAGAGAGTTGCCACGCAAAGTCCATCTAGCTTGAATTACCTTGTATTGTGGACCTCTTAAAGTCGATAGATTCGCGTGGATCAGTGCCTGCAACGCGACGCACAACGTCTCAATAGTTGAACTTTTGTGAAAATATTTTTTCCTGTGATAGAATTTTGTCCCCGAAAAAATTCGCGTTATTTCAAACTGTTTTGTACTCATGCTGCGATCACTGCGCTAAAATGGGTTGAAGCGACTTGTTTTGGAAGGAGCACACAGCAGGTTGTTCGACACAGAGATCTGTGGCAGCAACTTGTTAAAAATCCTGGTGTGCCCAGGCCCTTCACTCTTTTTTTGCTTTGAACTTTTGTAGATGTCTATCTCAAAATGTGACTTCCTCGTGGATTTAGAAACAGAAAGGGAAACTGAACTTGAACCAAACTATGTGAAACGAACTAAGGACTGGGAAGTGGTGCTTCAGAAGCCATTTCTGGATGCAGAAAGGTAGGTAATTGTTCAGTCGTACTGAAAAAGAAAAGTAAAAAACGTCTATTTGTGTTGTCAGATCTCGAACTTCGATAAGCCCGTGATTTGAGGTTGCTTAAAAACATAAGTTGTTTGACGTTTTGACATGCTTTAACCGCTTGCGGTATCAACAGAGTCTGCGCCTTGGCCAACAAAGAGCCTGTATTAGTATCCTTTAATTTGATTCATGTGGTTGAGAAAACAACTACTAAAAGCAACTTGGACCAAGAGTTTCCTTGCTTATTTTGCAATTTATTTTTTCCACACTTCTCAGTATGATCGTTTGTGAAATGTTGCTTTTAATTGAAAATGTGATTGTCACTCCTCTCGTGTGTGAGGTCTGATAGTCTAAAACTTTTCGGACCCAAAATGCAAATCGGATGATGTTAACCTACAAAGTGGGGGCGAAGTTTTATCTAAGTGGTCGTCCTAACTTGCAGCTCCACGGTTTCGTAGTTAACTGACAGTTTGTAATTCATAGCTTCACATACCTGAATATATTGTCGATGGTATCCTTGGATGGATGGAGACTTTTAACATGCTACCTATTGTTGTAGCCTTCTGTGACTTCTTGACATTTTCAAAAATTCCTTTCACTCTGATAATGTTTACCTGTTTATATTGAAAATTGCTGAAAGTCATAAGAGAGAAACCTGGCCCCGGTTGTTCGAAAGGTTGACAAAGCCATCTATTAGATAGATCTCTACCCGGTGGGTAGTGCATGACGTTTTGTTAACACTTACCCAGAGGATTGCGATTCATCCGTTGGATTGCGTGAGTCGCCTTTTGAACAACTAAGCCCTGATTAAATATTTTCCTAGCAAGCTTAAGCAGACCAGCTCCTGCCAAAACTTTTTCTCTCTGCATGACCAAAGGTCTCCTCGGTAGAACAAGTTTCCTTGTCTCACACGACTCTGTTCTTTCTTTTCGCAGATCTCACCGACTTTTCAGAGCATTTTATATTCCCTTTGTCTCCTACCGCTTCACAAAATATTCAAACTACGTTTTGCTGAGATCACTACGAAAGACCAGTGCGAAGGCAAAGAAAGGAAAAGATAGAAAAGCTGTTGTCAAGGAAGAAGATGCAACAGTTTAACTAGCACTGTATTTAGGAAGAGACATAGCTATTGCCTAGCTTACAAATGCAAGAAATTTTTCAACTAATATCGTCATCACAGTTTCGTCTTCTGCCCTTACGTTTACCGGAAAGGAGTGGTCGTTTAATTTCGTGTCGTATTGTTTTCCTTTCGGGTATCTTCAGACAAGATCATTTCGCGACGAACCTTCCTGAACATGCTAATGAACTTACGGCAGGCACGTTTTTCATTAGGCCATTTCCGAGAAACCCGAAGACTCCCTTTCAAAACGAGGATATATGATAAAACTGATCTTGAAATGATCTGCTTTTCTCATGCAGTTAAAATGACGCGTCGCGAGTAAAATCTTGTTCTTGGCCTCTATCTTTGAGGATAAAGGAGCTTAACAATGGTCTTTTGTTTGGTCAGGGATGTTACATAAGTTAAAGTTGAGCGCGCTGTTCTCGGAGATTACAAATATCTTATCAGATAAGATGACCGTTCATGTATATTCACACCAGACTGATTGAAGTTGAAATAAACGAGAGAGCCACGCTGTGAGGTTAATGAAGGAGTGAATCAGACTCGATACTTAAGAACAGTAGTTTCCTAGCAAGTTACCAGTTGGACGTAATTCGGCCCGATCACTCGCTGCACAGTGTGGTAAGGCTTGGGCTATCGATGTGAAAACTAAAACAGTCTTAATAACCCTTGCGGCTTTATGTCCTCTCTCCCAAGATCTTATCGTTGACTGAAATAGAAATCTTTCGCGCTCTTACTTCAACCCACCGCACTGCTTTGTCTATCCGAGAAAATTACTGTTCGAACGTTCCTCTCAGCTAGAAATTTAGGACAACTTGACGATGTGTTGGCTTAGTTCGTGACGTTACGGGAGACTTCTCTCCTGCCTGATTGCCTCCATTTCGGCGATTATAAAGAAAATGACAGACTTGTGCTTTGTAACATTTTTATAATTTAGTGATAATGTTAATTTTTTCGTTTCTAGTCACGGCCATATGCCTCGATCAGGACACTTCTTATATTTCTTCTTAATCACCCACAATACCGTCACAGCAGACTTGCAAAACGTAAAACAATAAGAAAAACAACCAAGCATACAAAACAAAACAAACAGTATTATTTCAAACCACTTTGGGAAATTCTGACATTAATCTTTGGCACAAGCTTTGTAAGATGAAAATTACGGATGATTTTGCAACAACGCAAGGAGTGCGCGCAACAAAGTTGATATCTAGCACTGTATGCACTATCGGTATCACTGAGTCCTAAGATGGACTGATCTTATTTCGACCCTCATTCCCTTATTTCCTATATAAATAACGATTATTTGTGTATGGACAGATTATTTTACGTTTGAAAACATTTCTATTGTCTCAAAGCTGCGCTTTGCAATGTGTGTGTTCCAAAGCTTAAGAAAAGTTATGACTTTTCAAACTAATTTTTTGTTTTAGTTTGTCTAAGAATCGTTATTCACTCACCGGAATCGACTTGGTATATTACAAGATCTTGTCTGTGTTTACACCTAACTTATTTCAAAAGTATTTTTGAACGACAACTTCGTATTCAATTAAAATGTTTATAACGTAACACAATAGGCCTCTTACTTCGCTACGTTGTTCAGACCATATACTTCAAGATCTATCAAAGCTCTTAACATATAATTTATTTTTCTCTAATGCTAGAAGTCCTTGAGCATACCAGCTTTTAAGAGAAAGTGTTGTGTATGTTAAACTTGATACATAACGACTTGTATGAAGTTTCTGTGCGAAAATAATTTGAACTCATGAAATCAGCTATATTTTAAGCTGGCGCAGAGCCAGTTCCAAAGTACGCATTGATAGGCGCTTGTTCTGCGCTTTTCGATCATAACTACTAGTTACGGCTACTTGAATTCTAGCGCGTACACCATTCAAACTCGATCACGTGCTCCGTGATGTTCAACTGACACTCTTCCTTACCTATCCCATAATACACCTTGGTGTTCTTACACTGAATGGTTATTTCACGAAGGCTGACAGCGTATCCCTTGCTTATCAAATCAGCCAGGGTCATATCCACAAAAGCTTTCATCTCAGCATCTTTTAAAGGACAAACCACAGGCTCCGTTTCTTTCACGCGACGTTGCACATTTTCAAACGTGTCGTGAATTTGCACTGATCCCCGTTTAGCGGGTTTGCAAACGATCAGGTTGTGCGCATGCGGACCAACACAGTCTCCGCATTCCATAATCTTTTTATGATCCTCTTGCGACAGCAGGCTCACTTTGCTTGTGGACGTCAGATTTTGAAGACTCTTGTTTTGTGCGCAAGTGATAATCTGTTGTTGCCACTTTTCAAAATCACTTCCCAGCTTATATTTCCTTGCCTCTTCCAATTTGTGCGCAAAGACGTTTGAGAAACGTTCTAGAGTGTCAATCAAGCCCTCTATTTGGTAGAATTGTGCTTCTTTGTAAACCTTTGAAGACAATTGCATCAGAAATGAAGAAATGACTTTAAGAACCCTTTGAATGACTAAGCGCCATACTGCGCAGGATAGAAGTCAGGAACTCCTTTCTGCTACAACCTTTTGCCAAGTTCTAATGAAACACTCCATATTTTTCGGCAGTCCAATTATCTGTTACCATCTAGGGGAGGGGGAGGGTAATCAATCGTTTATTGAGCGCGACGTTTCGACTGCTACACCGCTAGTCTTCTTCAAATATGAATAAGGTCAATTTTTTTGGATGTTGAAGGTGTACACATTTCCTCTACAGCAAGTCTTTTAATTTGTGTTTTTTTGTCTTCGTGCCATGTGAGGAACTATTCTAACATATTAGATACCCAACGTGTCTTTGCGTTTTATTTATCTGGTCATTTAAATGAAAACTATCAAAGGATAATTTGGCCATCGCTTACCTCGAGAGCTCTTTCAGCAGATGGTAGCTGTGTACTATCTCGAAGATAATTCAGGATTTCTTTGAAGTACGTTCCATCCCGATCAATAAAATATCTCCCTTCACTGTCTGTGTCCAGTTCGTGCCGGCCACTAAACATGGCGGCTAACATAGAGTCCTTATCCTTGGTCAATGTGGATAGAGTAGTTACAAAGTGGTATCCACCAACATTAAGCGGTATCACCCTGGGTAAAGACTGTGTGAATGGAAAGAAGCACACGGAAAAAATTAGCTGGAGTAAAGGAGAAACCGTGGGGTTTCGTAATGGTTCTTCATTAATTGTCATTTAACAGTTTTCTTATTCAATTCGTCGTTCCTTGTGGAAATTGTTTAATAAACTTGAAACCTGCATCTCGTGGGGCCTCACGGCTTTTTCGGGCCCTAATCACGGGAATTTTCCCCGCGCGGGGCCCCAGGCCTCTCCCGATTGTGCTCGTAAATGTTGGGAAAGAGTTGCCAAAAAATTGCTAAAACTCCGAAATTTGCTACCCAAATTTCAATAGTTGCTTCCCAAATTTCTTGATATGTTTAAATAAACGTTGATTAAAAAATATACTTCCCGTTCTTTACAATATTTTCCGACATTGATCAGCTTGGCCTTAAAGAGTTGCTCGCAAATATGCGCTGAATTTTAGGTATTCTTTGATGGAATGCAATAGGTCTGTGAAACGTTGTCGAGTGACGGGTCAAAAGATTAATTAATTGCAGTCATCAGTAATCCGTGCCACCATTAAAAAGAGTTTTCAAAGTCCTAATCATTTCCGGAAATTTTCAAAAATCTCTCCGGATGTAACAAATATTTTTATTAGAGATGAGAGAAGCTGAACATTTTCTTTGACTGGAGACTAGGCATCACGCGATTAATTTCTATTCAAATTCATCAAACTTTTGAAAGGTTAGAGACACGAAATATCATAATAGTATAGATATACCAAAAATTCAAACAGATTATTTGAAGGGGACTCCGACACAGCCATTCTTCAAGGTGTCACGCTTCTAGCGGCAATTTCACGCAACGCTCTCCCAAAACGCGTCTATTGGGGTAAGTGCGTGACATCCCAAAGAACGGTTGCAGACTATGAAGGTGATTGATTCAAAAGCCAGAACAAGGTGAATTAACACTCCAAAAAATCGTATAGACCGAAATACTGTGATGGATAGAGATTGCAAAAGCTGGCGTGTCATCTTAAGAACCTACTCCGAAGACAACCCTATTTCGGTATCCGACACTATCAATTTTAATCGCGAGGTCAATGGGCTAAGTATGCCCACGATAAGTCGAAAATGGAGTCGTACTCGATGCTTGCTTTCCAAAGATATCAGTATTTACCTGTACGCGTTGCAATTTTTCCTCAAATTTCTAATCAAGTGTTGTAAATCCGGGTTTGAATCCTGGATCCTTGCGGCCTCGCAGAAACTCAGTTAGGAAGTATTACCCCCAACAGACATTTTCATGGGAAATTGAATGCGTAGTACCCTGAATGTCCTTGTAAACTTACCGAGATTGTGCGTACTGCTTCACTGTGTCCAACCATAGCTAAAAGTCTTGTCTTTGAGAACGCTATTGCTCACATGATATGTTTGCAACAATACATCGATTAAGCAACGACTTGCGCAAGCTGCAACGGATAAATACGAGAGAGAGGTGTTGAAAAGTTTCACAACTGCACTGGGTAAGAAGGGATTTCTAATTTTCTTTTTTTGTACACGATGGCTTCTTAAATAAAATATGAATTTAACGGTTTATGTGCTTTCTATCGCTATGAAAGCCAAAGATCGGTTAAACATGACTATGTAATTAAGTTAGCTCAAGTTTTTATAAAGGTCCTGATAGTCGTGAACGGTCTTTTTGTCTATAAATGGCAATGTCGTTCGATATTTAAGCAGGGTTATCAATTTTATTTCCTATGGGAAAGTCAACGTAAGCTTGTCCATATCTAGATAAACAGATTAAATTGAGCTCTTGCTGCACGTAACCTGTACTAAGAAGAAAGCTTATTGAAATATCTGAGTTTTATTTTTTGTCGCTTGCACCTTAAATATGATCACTATCAAAACATTCACTTCCTTAATTAACGTTTAACCTGTATGCCTGCTCAGACTCAAAAAGTCGACGATTTCATTCGCTCTGTTTTGATATCGCGTAATGAGAACAACAGACGCTAGTGACACCTGAGAATCTTCAGCCGTCAACAGATTCAAACGCTTAACCTAGAAAGACCTCTCGTATCAGTTTCTTTTTGTATCATAGCTTGCGTAACTGACAGTTTTGTGTGCGCTGAGGAAAGAGTTATGAAGCTGTGAGCGTTGAAAGGTAAATATTACTTCCAGACCCAAGCCACTTGAGGCCTCGCTCTAGCGCTCACAAAACCGCAAGCAACGTAAGCGAGTAAATAATAATTATTAGTGCTGGTGCAGTTCCGTGTATTTTTTAAGTAAGATTCTTTCGTATGAGACTATAAACTGGTATTATTTTTTTTTCTGTGGGCTTTTGGCTGAAATTTGCAAAACTAGTGTCACAAACCCCTGTTGGGAAACATCAATAACATATTACATTGCATTGTATTTTTGAGTCGAAATGTGTCGTAACACAGTTTTAGATATGATCTCACCTTAACAGAACGCTTAAATGAAGTCAGCTGGTCCTCAACCATCAAAAAGGCTTAAAATCTTTATACTTAACAGTTTAAAAATATTCCATTTTTTATTTTCAACCGTCAATAAAGCTAACTGATATTAGTCGTTTAATCTCTAAGATATTCCTCAGTGACTAGCATCTAGTTTCTCCTCACAATATCACCCCTGTATCACACATTAAGGTAACGAGATTTGAAAGAAATGATCACCAGCTAAAAAAGCTCTTTAGTGTTAAACAAATTCTCCTTTTCAGCACCACAGGATTTGTACAGAGAACAGTATGGAGAATATTCATAATGATGTTAGGGTGTTAAGGGCTAACTGCACTGAAGATGGTATCAAGGTGTGTTGTATATAAACAATCGGCTCAGATATTTGGTCCTGTAAAAGCCTTTTTATTCACCTTTGTTCAGTCAGTTTCTATCATCAATATTCATGGCGACTTCCCTCTGGAAACACTTCGAGTGTCGTGCGTATTATCGATAAGACATCTATCGCTGAATACTGTACCTCTTTAATTTTTATTTGTTCAGATTTGTGAGGAAAGGTTAACAGCTAAGCAGCATTTTCAACCTTAAAATTGTCAAAACTATTTCGACAATCTGTATAAAGGGAAACAGTCAGAATAGTTTTGTGGAAATATTTTGCCAAGTGCGGCTATCAATGAGAGGCTCATTATGGTTAACCGATCGCTTAAAAACGGCCAAACTAAAAAGTCGTTAGGTGTAAAAATTGACGAATTTTAAGTCGTAAAAAAAGTTAACCGTAAAGAACATTTCTAGTGACCAAAATGGAAATGTATTAACTGCTATAACTCTGATTTTTTCACTGTAAATTAAATTTGACTTTAACAACCCGCTTTTTTCTTGAGGATTTTCTTTAGGTTGTCTTAAAAACAGAAGCGCAAAAACTTACGTAAAACTTTATGTACCTAGATTGGTCATAAAAATTTAGCATAGCTTGATCAATCAAAGAATTTTGTGGCTGAAAAGTACAAGCAGAAGTGATTCCATTGTGTTAAATGAGTAAAGTGAGCGTTCTTCGCTAGCATCGTTTCGGACGCTCTTAGGTGTCTGGGAAACCAAGACACCTAAATTTCAACGTTATCTTGATTTATCCGCCCGCTTCACTTAAATATCCATAGTCTCCTGACACGCCTCCATTAAGGTCTTAGAGGGGAATTCCAGTAAACGTATTTAAATAAAGCAATCCATTTTACAGCCTCACACCACAAAGAATTCTGTGGAACAAGCTGTATTTCTTTTTTTGCGTATCAGGCGAGCGGAAGTTGATGCGAGTCGAGCGCGAGGAGCAAGTCGCGCACGAGGATTGTCTCGCCTTTCGCGTTTCCAACGTGCTTGTCTGAAACACGCAAAAATGACGCCTTTTCTATAGACCACTCCTAGGTGGAGGGGGACTGGAGAGTAGGAGCTCAAAACAATAAAGGATAGGAGGAGCCTGGGAATGCGTACGGGGGTAGGAACTTCTTGATATGGGGGAGGGGGAAGAACATAAAATGGGGAACATCCCCCACCCCCACCCCCACGGGGCTCGTGAACGCTAGTCAAGGTAGCCTATTTACCATTCAAACTCGACCACGTGTTCCGTGACGTTAAATCGACACTCCTCTTTCCCTATCCCATAATGCAGCTTGACATTCTTGCAGCGGATTTTTTCCTCACGAAAGCTAACGCAGTAGCCATTATTTTTCAAGTCGGCCTCGGTGATACTTATGAACATTTTCATATCTGCGTTCGATAGAATACAAACAACAAGGTCAGTTTCCCTGAACCGTCGCTGTACGTAATCAAATGTCTCCTGGTGATGAACAACTCCTTGTGTAGCAGGTTTGGATACTACCAGATTGTGCGCATGCGGACCAATGCAGTCTCCGCATTCCATGACCTTTTTATGATCCTCTTGCGACAGCAGGCTCACTTTGCTTGTTGACGTCAAGTTTTGAAGGCTCTTGTTTTGTGCGCAAGTGATGATCTGTTGTTGCCACTTTTCAAAATCGCTTCCCAGCTTAGATTTCTTTGCCTCTTCTAGTTTATGTGCAAAGACGTTTGAGAAACGATCTAGAGTGTCAATCAGGCCTTGTATTTGGTAGAATTGCGCTTCTTTGTAAACCTGCAATAATGAAATACTCATTTAGCCTTTAAGGAGCACGCTGAATTTTCAACACTTCAATTCCGTTCGCCTTCAGTTATGGTGAAATGTGGAGGACGTTACCCTTTTTTACCTGAATGGGAATACACCATAAGAGATTCGACATTGTCATGGCTTTAGTAATAATAATAATAATAATAATAATAATAATAATAATAATAATATTAATGATAAGAATTGGAAGCATGTAAACAAGGTCTCTATGCTCTTATAATTCCAGAAAAATACTTATAAAACTGGAAACAACTGTCGCCAGTCGATACCTTAAGAAAGATATATCTTCCTTGCCTGAAGGCTCAAGATGACTGTTAAGTTCTTACCTCGAGAGCTCTGTCAGCGTTTGGCAGCTGCGTACTGTCTCGAAGATAATTCAGGATTTCTTTGAAGTACGTTCCATCCCGGTCGATAAAATATCTCCCTTCACTGTCCGTGTCCAGTTCGTGCCGGCCGCTGAACATGGCGGCTAACATAGAGTCTTTATCCTTGGTCAATGTAGACAACTTAGTCTCAAAATAGTATCCACCAACATTGATTGCTATGACGCGGGGTATAGACTGTGCCTGAAAGAAAGGAGACTGTACATATCTGATTGAAGAAATAGGAAAAAAAAATATGTCTTACTTCATAGCCCATCCCTCCACCGGAGGGGGGTGAGCTACAAATTTGGCCTTAATAGTTAAACGCAGAGAAAGAAGCCACAGGTTTTGAATCTTAAACGAAACTAAATGAATCGTAAACGAAACTACCAGCTTCATAGCCGTCCGCCTTCATAGACTGTGCAGAGCTCAGAAATACTGCTTTAGGTAAGTAGCATATTATAAATGTGAAGGCTGAAAAGACCGACAACTCCGGCTCGTTAGAACTGCTTAAATTATAACCTGCACCAAGTGGACACATTGTTATAGGCGTACACTAACAAGGTACGTAAGGGCTTCCACTAAATACGGGTTTCTTCTGTTCTCAAACACAAGTATCGACTCCGATTAAAATCATGCAATCAGTGCTCGATTGATATACAGACTTTTAAGATTGGTGGTTTGGCTTGCCACTTACATAGACGTATGTTTTTTTTCTTTTCTTTTTTTTTTTTCAAGCTTGAATACCTCCCTTGCATAAGCCCCGTGGTTTCTGGAGGCTCCCTTGCCATCTATTACAATACTGTTTTTAATGAGATTTGTAAAATTACTAATTTTGTGCTGTAAACGTCCTTTTTCTTATGAATGGCGAATTGAATTTGTACTTTGTTGTTCAGTTAAAGTGGCTCGAAACAGTTTAACTCGTTTTCCTCGACTGATAGTAGCTTTCACTCGTATTTGTTAGTTTCATTGAAAATGGTTTCAAAATATGGTCAATTATTTCTCAACCCGTTGAGAACCTCTTTTGAGTCATAAGGCTACCATAGGAACAATGTAGTTTCGTAGAAAACTCGTAATTTTTTAGTGGTATGCTCCTGTAACTCAAGAACGAGCTCGGTGACCTTAATTTTTCATTATTGAATTGGAATCAGCATATCAAAATTTATCGTTCTGAAAAGTTTGAAAGGGACAGGCTATTTTCAAGGTGTTTCTGAACTGTACTTATCTTACACCGTTTTCAAGGGAACAAACGGAAAAGAGTGTTAGTTTTGTTGACAGCATAAAGAACAGGTCTCTTAAAGTAACAGGTTGCTTAAACATAGGAGGAGTTGCAAAACTTACTAAATTTGTGTGCTCCTGTTCATTGTGTCCAACCATGCTGGAGTTGCACTTTGAAAGAGATATTCCTTGCATTGAGGTTCAAAAGTCCTAAAGCTTCGTATAGTAAAGCGACGCTTGCTTAAGCTGGAAAATATATTTACAACAAAAGGTGTTAAAATGTCGGCCGGCTCGATTCGGTTGGAATACTTCGCTCATAATGTTTTTCTATGTATTATCTAATATTATGTGACGTAAATAGGATAAGAAACCTTTTTGAAAGTTATTTCTTGTAGATTTGAAAAGTTGTAATCTCTAATTAGAGACCAGTCGTAAAGTCGTAATTGCCCGAGGAGGAGGTGGAGGATTGTGTGTGTGAGGGGGGGGGGGGTTGTGGGGATCAACAAAGAATAGAGGGGTAATGAAGGTGGGGGTGTTGTTCATAAGAATATCAAAGGGCCTTGTAGGGGATCAGATAATTTTTATCGTGACACAATCAAAATCCTTTTAATTCCCCCCCCCCTCCTCTCAAGTGATAGTTTTCAAAAACCTGGTTTGTTCGTTGGACTATTTTCATCTCATGAAGGCTTCAGTTGCCTTGGAAATTTGAAGGATTGAGGGCTGCAAAAACCCGCAAAAATTTTACCAGCAAAGTAGAATGATGAAGATTCATTCATGGGTTTCGAAAGCTAAAAATAACAACCTGTAAGCGAGCAGGCTATCAATGACGGTGCAGTACATGCTGTGAAGCCGAGTGAAAGGGGCTGGAGAGAAGCATAGAGTCAAGGTGTACATCGTTACGAGCCGGCTTGGCTCGTCGGCTTGTCGTCATGGTGACAGATGTGGGGATTATCCCGTTTCTATACTGCCTAAGGCAAAGTTTGTTTAATGCTGTAGTGCTAGGGATTTATAGCAATATTCTTTTAGGATAAGGACCACTGCGGAAGCAATTCTTAGCGACTTACATCAAGGATTTATTTTTGGGGAAGATGTTGAGATCGAATAAAAGCCGAAAATGAATGAATCATGGAAAACCTGTTTGTGTCATCCGGATGACGTAATATACGTAATAGAAAATTGATTTGTTTAAAAAACAAACAGTAGAACTTGCAGGTTTTCTGTCTTAAAAAAGGTGCGAACTCATATTACCAGCATCACACATGCAACGAATGTGAAGTTGGCCTTTTTTCGATTTCCGGTCTTCTAGAGGCACCAATGTTGATAAATACGAGTTCAAATGATTTATTTTTAATTTTCCAAGACGAAACTCTTGGTTTGAATGATTGTACAGCTTACTAAACGAATCTGGCGGTAAAAATAGCGAGAAATCATTAAAAAAAATGGAAACTTTCTTTGTAGAAGAATTGATCAAAACCAAATGATATAAAACAAAATTACCTTTCTTGTTTGAATTCATCAGTGGCCATCGTCTGCCCAAAATGTAAATTTCCGTCGATCCTCGAAGTATCCTAGTCTTACTATATATTTCTTATCCGCCAGATATAATTTTTTTTTCAATCTTGTGTGATCGAAAATGTTATCCTGATGCATTTAACATATGTATTTATATATATATATTTTTGGATATTTCTCTACCCGGTGGTTTTAATCGGAGGGCTTTGGCCATATGTAAACACGCTTCCACAGGATCTAGTTTCAAATATTATTCAACATCTGGGGAAAACGTTTGATAAAAGAAATCTTACCCATGCTAATTTGCTAGTCTTCTGAAAAATTTGGATCACATCAAAAACCTTTTTGTGTTTGATCTCATAGATTTATCGTAAATCTACGACGTCTCCTGAAAATTCTGTTGATATATGCGGGATCAATTCACATCAAAATTAACGACAGTAAAAATTCATTATTACCTCGGTAACCCTGGTTTTTCCTCGCTAAAAAATCGATTGTTATCACCCTCATCCGCTCGTAGATTCTAAAATATACCTTTTTTTTTCCTCTGCCACTTCTCTCCTTTTCTAGTAATTCAGTTGGACTTTACAATATATTTAGTTTACACACAGGAGTACTCGCGTCGTATCAGTGGCTTTCTCATTGTCTTTTTTGACAACACCTGCTGATACCGTGTGGGACTAGTGACTAGCCCAGGCCTCTCTCCGATTTATACAAGTTATAGAGAATTTCTCTTACACGGGAAATAAACTCGGGCTCTATCAAAGAAGCTCAAACAAGCCTTTAATTTTTTTCATTGAGAAGGTGTTAGACCATAAAGTTATGAAAATCGCCCGGATCATAACGATCTGAAGCGTAGGCGATGAGTAGTTTTCATATGAACATTGTAACCGCGGATTTCTTTTTTACTATTTTCAGTGTGATTACGGCAATTCAATGATATTATCAATCTGTTTCTGGTTAAACAAGAATGCTCTTCGGGTGCTTCGTTTGAAAAGTCTCGATCCATCGAGCCTTACGCTAACTCGAGCCCAAATCGATTTTTTTTCATAGATTTCCTCAATACCGCATTCAATGAAACTTTATCTTCGGCAACTCGAACCATTCACAGTTTCAACTCACGCTCTCTATTGCCATTTCCTCTCAGGTCATTTCTTTCACAATTTATCCTTGAAACAAACAAGGTTTGAAAACTTGCGGCAAATCCAAAGAAAAAAACTGTTCTGTGATACCGTATTCTCCGTAATTTCAATCTGTGCCACAGATTGAAATTATGGAGAAGCAGTCGTCAAATATTTTACTTTCTCTTTCTTTTATACCTCTTACTGACCGAGTTCTAGGTCTGTACCTCAAGTTACGGACCGATTCTGTGGCACAGATTGAAATCACGGAGAAGTAGTCGTCAAATATTTTACTTTCTCTTTCTTTTATACCTATTACTGATCGAGTTCGAGGTCCGTACTACAAGTTACGGACCGATTTTTACCATGTAGATGTGTGGCCATGGGCGAAGTGCGTGGGCCATACTAGATCTGTGCATGATTATCAACGCAGTTTGAGCAGAAATAAACCAAACACGGTTTTTTTTCCTTATTTCCGGTAATTTGCTCTCAATTCCCGATTAGGTAATCCGACCTTTTTAAATCAATTTTGAAGCAGTGGACTTATCGATTGTCGACCGTGGTAAGGAGCGACGTGATTTTCTTTTAGGTGATTACAACATCCTTGCAATTCTAGCTCAAGTAATTCGCTGAGACCTTCGATCAAGCAGTTTGTGGCTGGTGTACTGTAACAGACAATTGAAAATACAACTTGGTTAAATCAGTTTGGCCTGATCAAAATACCTAGGCGAATCGGGAAATGCCATTAAAATTGGCCGAAAATTTTCTACTTCCTCAATGAAAATGTTCAGACATTTCTCATGGTAAAAAACAGAAACTCTTACAGAGATTCTACGAATTAAACATCATCTCAAAATTCGCGGTGACCTCAAATTAGTGTAACACTGTACGCGGATATCACTTTCAGAGTATTTCCGCCTAATGCAAGCAAATAGTAAAGAATTTAACAAAAGAAAAAAAATTAACAATAATTCTGGAACTTGACGATCACGGGAAGATAGCCTATATACCTATAGTTATGTCAGAAACCTTTTCAATTTGTGGATTTGCTGTGTGTTGGTCTGGCGGAAACGTTTCGACGAAGTCTGCGATAAATCTGCGAAATATGAATTTGGATATCTTATATATACACTCATAGAAAAATTTTCTAAAGTATCGAATTTTAACTTAGAGGTAAGACTTCAATCAGCGGTTGTTACACAGTCAAAATTTGTTGGCAGGATATTGACTCATTTCTTCCACACTATTCTAAATAATTGTTGTAATTGCAATACTATTACCTTTGTACGATGTACGATTTCCAGCTTGAAAATGTGATTATTACTTTCGATGATGGTGTTTATACATCAGCCATAAACTGATCAAACCACTGAGGTGATCAGGTTTTATTTCCCGAGAATGGTCTTCCTACTAGCGATTATATGCAGTACCTAGCCGCTATGTATCTTTGAGAACTGAATGACCTTTGTTTTCCTGAGGGTGAGGGTGGTAGGTATGTGCATCCCAAGATATTCGAGACTAAACTTTGATTTCTGTGCATCCCAAGATATTAAAGAGACTCATTTAAAACTTTGAATTATTTCTGATTTCCAAATGCAAGTTTCTTTTTTTTTTTCAGACGCTTCCTTGGAGAATAAAGACAATCATTTAAACAACTGCGCCCCTGCCCCTCCCCTCCCCTAACCCAACAAAACAACAGTCAACTAATGACAAGATTAGGGGGGGAGGGGTAAGAGCGCAGTTGCCCCTGTAGTTACTGACAATGATCTTTTCCTTATGCTTGTGGATATTTCCGCGTGTAAAATTACACCATTAATTCGGAGAAGGATAAACTGATGTCGCTGATGTCAGTTTGTTACATAATCAGTTTGCTCAAGAGATAATGAACCGTCTACAGTTCTGGAACTATTCTCTTGGTTTGCCAACACGTGTACATCAGTGTCCGGCCCAAGGCAATTCTTTCAGCCATACTCCTTTCAGTGTTTTTTTATCGTTTGTTTATCGTTCATGATCGAAGGAGTCTGATTGTTTTGCGACGTCTTATGTTTTGATAATAAATAGGTTAGGTTATAAATAGGTTTCAAGATTCTCTTCAGTTTTTTCCTTATCCAAGCCAGTTTTTTTGGCATTTGGGCCGAATGCTCCCTGATTTAATATGTTGATAAAACGCCGTGACGTTGCAAGAACAGGGACGATATCGATGTCACATCACAAAGGGAATTTCCCGACTTAGTTTCGTTTTATTTTTTTATTAACCTTTTAGTTCCCAAGATTTGATTGTTTTAAAATTCTCCCTTCTAACTGGTACACATTTCCTTGTAAAATAATTATGAGAATTTGGTGTTTATAGTTCATGATAATAACGTCTTCCTGATAAGTTTGTTTGTTGGATAATTTATGGATATTATAGGGAGAAGTTACATGCTAATCATTCCTTGGAGTTGAATGGTGAAGGCTTACTCCTTAGAACGAGCGATGCACGGGGAACATGAAACATACTTTGTGTGAAAATAGTGTTTTCTACATGAGTTCTATCACAAATTCTGCTTTCTGATAGGCTTCGCCACTCGTCTGGCTCAGGCCTGGTTTGTTGTTAAGTTTTTAACAAAAGAGAGATTTATTCTATAACAATCAAATTGTTCGCTCGAGATTTGTGTACATGATGGTTGTTGATTCGGGTTTAATTCGCCACTATCAGCCATCACACGATGGAGATCGCACACTCCCTGAATAGTCAGGTCATGTATGTCGGAAGTAATCAGGGCCCATTTGTATAAAGGACGGATAACGCTATCCAACAGATAAATCGCTATCCAGCGGATAAGTGATTGTAAAACATACTGCGTTATCCACCGGATAGATTTTTATCCAGAGGCTAGTATTATCCTACCTTCGAACAAGCGGGGCCAGATCGATTCGATGGGCTATTTTTTACTTTATTTTAACATTTTGCCGATCACAAGACTTGTACGAGCCTAGGCTTATACGAGTTATATTCTTGAAAATAAAAAATCTTGGTTTCACAAAGATTGCAGAAAAGCAAAATATTCAGAGGGTCTCAAAGGGGTTTAACAGTTAGTTGTAACACGGCAAACAAAATCAGCTGCTAGGCGTATAAATTGAGAAATTTTAACCGTTAGTCCTAAAGAAATTTAGCGGTGAAAAGTTTTCCTTTAATCTTAACGGAAAGTCATCACCCATTGAGACCCTGTATTTAAACAAACAACGCGAAATGAGTAAAGTTTAATACCAGGTTTGTGTTTTACTTTGGTTGAGCTGAAAATCCTCAAAGACCTTGTAGTCTTATAGAGAAACCAAGAGAACATCAACTGAGAACCTGGATCTTAAAATGCATCATTATTCAACTCAGCGATTCAGCCAGTGTAATTGTCATTGGGAGGGTTTTCGAACACAAATATTCCACAGCGATCCACATCAATAGTTTTAGAGTAATACACAAGTATCATTTTGGTCATAGAATTTAAAGAAATGAATGCTATAGAATCATGAGGGCCATTTTAATCGATTATTTTATCAAATCAGCCCAACTGTTATCGCGTCCATTTCTAGTGACATCTTTTCCGCTTTATCAGCGTCATAATAACAAGGTTGTTCTATGTTTGCCAATAATTTCTTTTCAGTTAGCCCTTTTTGCTCGAGTCCAACTACCATCAACGCAGAAAGATCACCAACGAATGTATCTCTCGCAAACTCTCTGCTTTAAGAGCTTTGCTACCAAATTGTTGCATTTAAATAAAGCTTAAATAAAGGGTTAGAGCTGTTGATATAGAATACCTACAGAGAAACAAATCCCATTTTTCATCCCTTAATTATTTCATTTTCATTTTAAACGAGTATGTTAAAGTTACTCACCAGATTACGACTGGTTCTACCTTTCGTAAATCTTGAGGCGGTTACATCCAAATTCAAGATGAATCACGTAAATATTGGACAGTTTTGAATCGCCCATATTCTCTGCCGTCGGTAATGAGACACGCAAACTTTATTCGTGTCACGAGTTTGGTACGCTGTCAATTACTGTAACAGCACCGGACATGGACGGGTTGAAAGTGATTATAAATAATTATGACTAAAAAGATGAGAGGATTCCTTAAACAGCATCTGTTAAGCGAATACAGGCGAAAGCCCACTTTTGTCTTCACTTATAAATCGTGAAACGAACTTGTATCAGCTGACGCAGCCGTTTGTGACTCAAAATTTGTAATCTCTTGTAAATGCTTGAAAAAATTAATAGTTTCCATGTCGCGTTAAAACTTTACAGTTTCCAATTCGTGTTAAGTGTACGTTAAAAACGGTCGGAAATCCTAAGGAAGCCCAAAGTGTAATATTTTATATTTTCTTTTTTACACCCAGAAGATCTCGTAAGCTGAAAAACACGGGACGCGTATATAAGAAATGTCTTGGTAACGGAAGGCGTAAGATAGCCGAGATAACACGAGATAGCCGCGAACCACGGCACGAGCACGAGATAGCCGTGAACCACGACTATCTCGTGGTTCACTCGTAACAGACAGCTCGCGCAATCTCTTTTTTTCCTAGCAGGATTCTCGCGGGATTTCCCGCTTGTGACGCGCGAGCCAGGACTCATGAAGTCCGCTGGCAAGCTTGGTTTAAAAGATTGATTTGAAATCGGTGCTGGAGCTTGAGAGACCTTCCACTGTATCAATCTTTCCATTCAAGAGATCTGAAGATCAATTCTTCAAAATGATGGCGCCGTATTTCTTTACTTCCTAGTCATGGTAATTTGGTGTATAACTTCTGAACTGATCTGATTCCTCATATCCTGGAAGCGGAAGGTTTGCATATTGTGCTGTATGCCTCAAAAACACACTCTGATCATATTGACTCGATGTTGGTCTTTGATACTAAATTTAATTTTCTCAGCACATGAACAAATTAGAATCGTATCGGCCCTAAAATTACTGCAACAACTCTTTTGAGAAAAGAAAACTTTAACTTTTCCATTTCATTCTGTTCGACAAAAAAACGTGAAATTTTCATATCAGTGAAATATTAATGCATAATTTTTAGATTTTTGTAAGAGTCGGTTGATATCTGAATTTAGAACTGTCAAATGAATGGAAATTAATTCAACGTTCGATTTATATCACAGCTCCTTACCTAAAACGTAGAACGTTCACCTGAGGCTCTCAAAAAGCAACATTGGGTTACAAGAGTTTTTTTTTTAAGCTTTAGTCAATTGTTGGCCAATTCAGAAACAGAGGGTTGAAATATTCTACTTTCGTGCAAGTTTATTTGTACTTTTATTGTTGACATTAGGCAAAGAAGTTTGCTATTGACAAATTTGATTTTATCAATTTTCAGTCCAAAATTGTTGTATCATTAACGTTTTCGAAACTTCTATCAGAACAGTTCTGCTCTTTTTTCGTAACGTCAGTCTGGGGGATTTTTTTTACCCATAACACAGAAAAGTATTGGAATGGCCATTTATGCGAAAAGCTAACGAATATTTTGAGGCATTTGTTAATGTAACTTTGATTTTACATTCGACTAGACGGCAATCAGTTTCAATGTTTTTTTAAGTAGCAGAATCGATGGAGATCAGAGAGGAAACTCAAGACGCGAAACCTCTGGGTATCTTTGAAAAGTTTCATTCCTTCTTTTCGCTGCCTGTCATCCCCATCTCTGCGACAGCGAAGATAATCTTTTACAACTTTAATAAGATCAGGTTATGGCGTTACTTTAAATCGAAACCTGTCTGAATCCTCAAAACGCCAGCTCGTTGACTAGCAACGGTTCCAGGTAATTTTACCGCGTAAGTTTTTTGCTTGCTTTACTTGCACATAAAGATTGTGAATTGATAATATCTTTCTAACAATGGAGTATGTTTCGTGCAGGAGAAACTTCTAGCTCTCCAAATGATTTTCAATGTTTCTGTCAGAATGACAGCGATTGTGTTGGCCTGCAGCGCTCAGTATTTTCTTGGTGAAAATTATGGGTGCCATTTTGCTTTTAACAGCAGGAAAAGGCTGGAAAGAGAAAAAAACCAAGGGGGTGAGCGACGGTCAAAAGGAAGGAGAGAGGAGTGGGTGGGGCAATAGAAATTACCCAGTCTCCTCGCCTTTCTCCTGTCTCTCCCACACCGTCCACTCTTACCATGGTCTAAAATCAAACACAGCCTCTCGATAGCGTATACGCTATGAACGCACTAAGACAACGAAAAGTAATATCTAGAGCTGCGTATTATACTCGATTTCTATAAATAATCATTTGAAAATATTCACCACAATCTTAGACGTTGCTTTTCATAATAACATTTTTATTTCCCCCAACCTATTTCCTATTCGTAATGACTAAAAAAAATTACAACTATCAAAACTAGAGGCGATATGAGAATTCGCTTTCATTTAAAAACTAATGAGGAGCTGCCTCAAATTATTCAGCATTGCACTTCAATGTTTAAAATGGTTATGAGCGTATTACGTTTCCTTTCACACGTCTATACGGAAACGCACAGCGATTATGATGTGATGCAAGCAAGATTTGGTACAAGTTCCTGATATATATATATATTTAGTAGATCAAGGGAAACAGCATAACACTCTTATAAGCAAATCATGAAAATGGTCGAGCGAAAACCGGAGCGAGGTATTGGGGAAAACTCTCTCCAGCCCTTCTCTCCATTTTCATGCTCGATCGAAGGCAATAGTAGTTCATTATTATTCTCATATTTTTAAGAAATTTCTTTTTCAAACAGCTTTACTAATTTTCCTTTGTTACTCGGGCCTGATGTAAGTGTTGGAATTCTCCCTAACTGCAATGTGACCAGCTATGAATATAACTTTCACGATGTTAACAAAGTTATCAACTTAGGTAGTTATATTTTTCACGTATTCTCCTAATTAGGATTATAGCGAATGCATGAATAGAACACAAGTCAGTACGAAGAATTCTTTACAATGGGGTTCAATAGAATTGAGAGGTGGCGAATGTTGTTGACGCGGAAGGTGAAGTATGGCTGGATGTTCCAAGTTCTGAGTTATGCGGGAGATGGCGGTATGCGCCTCCTGACAGCCTATGCTTTCTGCCTTTTTGACCAAAGAACAGGATATAAGAATCATTCTGCATCTCTCAACGAAGGGTTTAGCTACCTTTAGTTTCGAAAGGGTAAATTCTTCTTCAAATCTTCCCTTATTCTCGTTCAGACACGTCTGAGAAACTAATGTACAAATGAAAGAATAAAGAAATTTTCGACGACAGTAATCTGAAACGGCACTTCATCGTTCTTTTCTTGCGTTTTGTCTAAAACAGAGTCGCAATTTTAGCCGCATCCTGAAACAGGTCTACGGCACGACTCAAAGGGTCAGCGGCACATCCCTTTATGATTTACAGGACCATCTCCCGCATACTGAACCTACGTAACTTCATCTTCTTACGGGCACAGAAAAGGAATGATAAAAAAAAAGGCCGTATTTAAAATGAACGACCTGGTCCACTATACAAAAATAGCGTATACGCGTCTAAGAATATCATGTTAAGTAAACTATATAGCATCTCTACGGAAATGTATATTAAAAAAACAAAAACAAAAAAAACATGCTGATATATAAAATTATTGTTGGTAAACCATTAAAAACTGTCACCAATTGTCCATAGTTTGAAGAAATCTCGAGAAAAATCTACTTTTAAGGGCTAAGAGAACTTGTCTTCCAAAATGACGTTGAAAATAGTCAAACGAGCGAATAACGCGATACCAGTAAGTAAACCGTTTTCGCTGAATGCAAAAGTGCCAAGCGTTATTTCCTTCAGTTTTCATGGTTTTAGGGGTTGGATGGCGTACGGCTGCACAGAAATATGCTTGATATTTCACGCGATTCCGTCATACCCCCGGACGAATATTTTTGACGGCTACACTACACACCCTGAATAAAATATCCCTTTCAAACTTAAAATTGAGCTCTAAGAATCGTCATTGACGCCTTGAACCTTAAAATATGGGGTATATTTGTAATCCTAACTGTAAGTTTCCTTTTTCTTTCCTCAAACTGAGGGAACTTTCAAATTCTACGGGGAAAACTCTCGTATGGTTATGTACAACGTACATGTATGAGCCTTAAGGGAGAAGCAGAGTTACACCTTGACCTCTCTCTCAGCCCAGGTCACCCGTTCGCAACTGGCTGATCCCATCACAAGAAACAAACTATGATGAATCCCATCTAATTTCTTTTTTCACTTTCTCTTACTTTGATCCTAAACACTGGTTGGTTTCACTGAATTTAGTTGGAATCATTTTTCGTTTCCTATGATGCGATTGGTTAATTGTGTTTAAGTGGCTCGGTGACAGTAGTGACATTGTAAACGAATCAACAGCGAAAAATCTTACTGAGAAGATTGAAAACTAATATAGTTTGTGATTATTTGATAACAAAGGCTTTAATGCTGGAAGTCAGAAGAACATGGTTCTACTGAAACAGCGAATGGAGGGAAAAAACATAGAGAGTTGTAAAATAAAACTAGCAACTACAAATAAAAAAGTTGAAATAAGCATTGAATTATTTGTTCCGTTAGCGAAACATGCTCATTGGGCTTAATTACACAATAATCCATAAAAGCTATTGATGATTCAATTCTACTCTGCAGTTGTGTCACGAATGTCGACTTAGCTGTGTTTTTTACTGCACTTCCATATAACAATGCATCTAATGAAAGAGAGGAAAAAAAATGTGAGTTTATAATGACACGTTTTACCCACTCCACCCTTATTCCAAATTTTGGAGGAGAGGCAACCTAGCAATTCCTACCCAGGTTCCTGAGGTACATATAAGCAAGAAGATCGAGACATTGGGGACCCTGAGAAAGGTGAGGTGTTCTCCTTTCAATGTTTGTTATTTACTCAGTTCCTTCTGGACGGGAAGGTTTTTTTAAAGGATATATTCAGAGGTATCGTTGAATAGAGCATTATAGCCTCAATGGATGTTGAGAGAATTAGCTTAGAAAAATCAAGTAGAGCGACTTACACAATTTTGTCCTTTTTGGACCGGTGAATACTTACCACTAAAAAGAGCAATCCAAGAAACAGGGCCTTATCTTCTGCAGACATAGCCAACATGACTGAAATCAGAAGAGAGAAATGTGGAATGATGTTAAATTTAATTGTCAAGAAGTGTTGGGCCAATAGATCAACACTGTAAATGTCACGGGTGAGAGTGGTGTCATTTTATCAGCATGAAACCCTTAAACTCCCAGAAGTGGTTGACATGAAACTTCTTCCCATTATATCAATATGTTGTCCAGTAAACAGGTATTGAGAATACTCAAACTTGTCAAGTACAAGTTGTTATCTTGATTTAACACTGTGTTTAAGTTACAAAGAGATTTGTAGCAACAAGAGGGGAGAATTAACAATCAGATCTTGGGAGTTAAAACACTAAGATTAGAATTAAGATGTTATTGGGTACAAATTTCCTGACATTTTACCAGTACATGAGAGGTTAAATGCACACTTGTTGGTAAAGAGTGTATTGGTTCTTCTTAAGCTGATACAGCTAAAATAAGTACAAGAACTCTATACAGTAAAGTACATTTCAAACTTTCATTTGGTAACAAAAATTCCAGTTAAAAATGCTCTTTGTTCTGACAAAATGATGCAAAATGCAGGTGGGAATCTTCCCACCAACTTTTCGCAGAAAAAGTTGGATAAACTTTGAAAGAAAAATAAATAAAATTTGGCAATTTTGGTTTGCATTACTTTAGCACAATACTGTAAGTGGCTTACATGAGATGCTGACAAAGTCTGGTTCTCCGGTGATACAACAGCTGCAGATACCTCCACAGCAACCTCGCCAGTTGTGTGTGATCTCTCCAATTTGTTGGTGTTCTGATTCTGCTTTGGGGCCTTCTCTCAAAATCTAACAGTTGAATAATAAACAGATCCCTTATTACATGTACTTTTTGATTCAGTAAGTTCAAACAAACTCACAAAACAAATTAAAGCTGTTAAAAAAATTGTCCCTTTTGAACCATTTGACCCAAAAGAGTGACTACATATAGCTTTTAATTTCTCCTTACAATCACATGACCATCACAAGAACAAACTGGGGAAATTATCACCAACTAAAGAACCTCTTGATTATGGAACATTTTCTCCTTGTTAGCACCTTAGGAAATGTGTAGAGAACAGTTTGGAGAGTATGCATACTGATGTTAGGGTGTCAAGGGTTAAATGAAAAAAATACTTTTTGTTGAAACCCACTGTTTGCACATACACTCTGCTTTATAATATAGCATGGATAGTTTTTAAAAGAAACTGCATCGTGGCTAAATATTTAACAGGAATTATTTTAAAAATTTAAAACAAACAAACAAACAAACAAAACAAAAGGAAGGAAGATTATGAATTGCACCTTAAAAACAGCAACGTTATCTCTTTTGCACTCAAAAGGGTAGCATGTAGGCCCTTGCACCTTGTAAATGAGATCTCCTTCATAGTTGTAAACATCAAAATAATATGAGGGTCCCAAACAGCTGCCAAGAGTTTCTCTGGACCTGTAAATGAGAGAAAGATAAACTCAAGCAATTGGTATCTTGATATTGGAATCAGTGAATTTTTCTTGCAATAAAATTGTTATTAATCAAAACTATATCAAATTCTTGAACACGATGGGTTATCACCATCGCGATTTGAGCACCAATAGGACAGTGTAGGCATCATGCTTGTAATTGGACAGTGTAATAAGACAGTTAACATGTCATGCTTGTGCAAGTGGACAGAATGTGTCATGTGAGCGCACTGTTGTCCTGTATTTCACTGAGTTATCTGTTTTTTTTTTTAATGAAAACCCATAATGGATGTGTGGATTCTTTCTCAAATTTTGTCAAAGTTTTGATTAATTGGTAACAGCTCTATGTGTTGTCCAATTTTGTCTAATTGTAATTGTGATTAACAAATTGGACTACTGCTTCAAGGTTGTTGGATTTTGTTTATCACTTGTATGATTACAGACCGAATTGGACTCCACTTGCTCCTATTACCATTATGAATTTCCTTTTATGTGATTTACTAATTTTGTTTTAATGCTGTTAACACAGGAAGCAACAACACAGGCAGCAAACTTACGCGTGTTTGATGTGTCCTAGAACCTCCCCAGTAGGCATACGTACAGTCATCGAAGGGGCTACCCAAGGACAGAAGGCAGGACTGTTGAGGCTAAATGGATGCTCAAGTTCCATTATCCAGCTGCTTGTAGCAGTGTTGATGACTTTCATGTAGTAAGGTCTAGAATTGCCAAGGAATGCTTGAATCCAGGGATTGAGTGTTTTGACTGTGAAAGGTTAAAAGTAACCATAAAGTAAGGCTATGTCACAAATAATGATTACCTAATACTGAAATCTAGCTCAATTTTACACCTCTTGCTATCTAGTATTCAGTGATAGACAGTGAACGAAATGAGAAGCAGCACAGCATGCTCTTGTAAACAAAAAATAGAACATGAGCCTTTCCTGTTGTTAAGGTTTTTGAAATCTCTAACATCAGTATGCAGGTTCTTCATCCTTTTTATTATACATTTCTTATGGAACTTTTGAGGATAATTTTTGTAACAATCAAGAACCTCTTGAGTTCACAATCGTTTTGTTTATTCTCATGACCTCAATGTCTGCTTCATGGGTGATACTGTTGGGAGAAAGATTACTTGCTTATTACTTACTGAGGTTAAGGATTTGATGATTGATTTTGTCTTGCTTCTTATCAGCTCTAATGCAAAAGAAATCTGGGGATCTTAATCTAAATGTGAAGTAGCTTGAACTTGATTGAAGTCTTTGAAGGAGATAAAAGTGTTCTCCAAGAACAAAAAATTTTACTGCTTTTTTCATTCTGAGATTCCAAAGTGAAATCCAAATTTTTTTTGAATTGCCCTCAGAAATCCATATATTGACTTTGTGTTTTGGTGCATCACACCACTCATGAATTAGAATGCTAACTACTAAGCTACAGTTGAAAATAGATTAGAAAATATGCCAAGAAAACAACTGCCAGAAGCAATTCTTCTGTCAGTTTAAGTTGATGTAAGAGGAGAGAGGAAGCTACCAGTGAGATGATGGATACATTCATCTCTCTATTTACAGTTCACAGGCACAGTTGAACTTACAAGAAAATTTGGTTTCATCAACTGAGTTGAGGATATGAATTGAATGATAAATTTGATAAAACCAAATTACTCATTAAATTACAAATTAATTAGTTCACCCCCTCCCCCCCTCCCAATGCAATGCAGTAGTCTCTTTAGAAACTTAACCCCATTTATACACTAAACTTACTTTCTTTGACATCAAACAGCTGATTTCCAGCTCCGTCTTTGATGCTAAAGTCCATACGACCCCACCAGGCTGAAATTGATATGCAGTGTAAACAGTGAGTAAGGTTAAAATGCATAGTTTTAAAGATGCACCTCATGAAACAGTTGTGGGGTAGAGTTAGGATAATCCATCTTCATTTCTGTGAGGAAATCAATGGAGACCACTCAAAAACCAAACACAAAATTTATCCTACAGATATTTAGCTTACTATGGGAATGAAAAGTTGCTGTTATATTTCCACAGTTAAGTCTGTGCCCTATAGCAAATTATTTATAAGGTTTTAAGTAATAATGAATGCTTAGTAAATACATTTTGATTAAATGGCATAGAACTTTTGTTATGTGATGGGTATGTATTAGTTCTTTCACTTAAAAAGTGAGGAATGGAATATTTCAATTGAATGAAGTGAAGGTTATACTTGTCTCTTGATCTGTTTTTTGTGTTTTGTATTTGGTTTTCAATATTAGACCCAATGACAGTTGAAAAGGAAAAAACAAATAGAGTGAAAGGTTAAAAAAACCACCTTTGATGTTTGGTTGATTATGTGGCTTTAGGAAACTTATCAAAATTAAGATGTGAATATTTGTGTCAGTTCTTAAAGCTATAAGACAGACCCCTCTGTCTTATAGCTGTCTTATTCTGTGAATTGTACATAATGGTTTATTTTGTATAAGACATGTATTCTGACCCAAAATGTTAATAACAAGTTTTCCACATACTCGTAACCGATGATAAGTGACATGTCAGGGAATTTGACATCTGTCATGTCGATGAAGATAAGAAGAAAATTACTCATTTGAACACTCTTAACTCATGCAACCAATATGTCTGAAATATGTCCTGGAGAAATACGAGTTTTGTAACAATATAGTTTCCCCGAGGACAGCTGATATCAGAATGTACAATTTAAAACAGCAACAACAAAAACAGCAACAGTGTTTACAACATTATTAAACTTCACGCGAGTTAGAAACCTAATTTATATATATTAGCATATGCAGACGGCCTTGAATGAGACAGCTTTTTTCTTATGAGAAGTATTGTAAGAGGCTGGAAAACTAAACGACTAAAGTTAAATAGCGAAAGCTAAACAAAAGTCTTATAAACTTCCTGAATTCTATCCAAGCGCAAACAGTTAACTCATAATCCAAACGCTCGTTTATTTGCAGCACCGTAAATTTCAAACAGGAATATACAAAAGTAACGGATAGAATAAGCTATATTTGCCTCTGGATTAAAACATATTCTGATCTCTTAACTTAAATGGAGTTGAGATTTGTAATGTTCAACTCACGCGAATCCCATGAAAACAAATATGTTAAAATTTTGAAAATTGCTATCGCTCGAAATCAGCATTTTTAATTTGAAGCAAATGAATCGACACTTTGTTAGAAAGAATTCGTATTTCGGGGTGTACTGTTACCGTCTTGTCACGGATGCGTACCTGACGTTTTATATCTCGTATTTACCTCTGATTTACGAAATCCTTGAAGATCATTAGAAAAAAGAGAGTTGTGTTCGATAAATACATTATGTGATTCTTGAAACTATGACAAATTGATTTGCAACAGTACGGCGTCACTTGTGAGGTCTCCATTTATTAAAGGAATGTTTCCGTTTGAAATAAACTTATCGAGTCGGCGCGACTAATTTTCTCGTGGTCCGTTTTGCTTGCAAACTATGTTAAGCTCTTTTGGAAGTGAAAATGCTTGCGTAAGTGCCTTTCCGCAACATTTCACTTTTAAAAGGCGTGATTCATGTCCGCTCAGATCCCAGATAAGAAATGCTTTGCATGAATGTTCATTCTTGGGCGACTGGTTCGTGTAGATCATCCAAAATTGTTCGAACTTTCGTATCACGCCAGCGCGTCGTACAAAATCAATTTAAATTGCTAGCAGGACAAGGACTTATTTGATTTTCTGTCGTCCGAGCTAATTTTAGCTCTGATTTGTATTCTTTGTCGTTAGATAGGCACAACATCGAGCGTTAACCGCCGTGAAACTCGACATTAACGTCCAATGTACTCACTGAAACCTAAACAACAACTGTCTGTCGTAAGCTAACCTGCTGAGGGAACTTCTCGGTGATCAGGGAAGATTTTTATAATTCAGTCGCTTTTATTGGTTTGTAGATTCTTTGATTGAAACCACGGCCTCTCGGTGTGCAGCATGTTAAAAGACAGAGCACGAGGCGTGAAACAATTAAACTGTTTTTTACCTTCATCGTCGGCCACATTTTGATGGGCAACTAACTTGCTGACATTCTCAAACACCTCCAAGCCCATCGGAATTGGCTGCCCGTTGTCAGCTCCCTTTTTCTGAGGAGAAAAAACGTCTCCATCGTCTCCTTCGTCATAGCCACCGATGTACTGAACTGAGCCGGAATACTCTTTTTGGTAGCTAAGTCCTGGTTGATGAATCACGGTTGTGCTCGCCATATTTCGTGCAGTCCGATTCTAAGCTTTCTCACGCGCTCTTCCCGAGCAAGGTTCAAGATCAGGAACTTACGGCACCCAGCTACCTGTCACACAGGGAAGGAGCTGCAGGGAAAGTTGGATCAACGGCCTTCTAAAAACGACGCTTCTCCGACTGGACTCGTTACCAAATGTGCATTTCAAATAAGTTTATTCTTTTTTAAGAATTCAAAAGCAAACTAGTAATTTGCAAGTCAATTTTTTTGTCACGCTGCACGCCGATGGGTATCGTGTTGCGTAATGCAAGCATCACGGAAGTCTCTTGCCGAATTTGTGAATGGCTCAGATGCTTCGGATCGTTTCCATTTATCTCATATTTTGGTGGTTAAGAGTTTCAGATAATCGGCTATATTTTTAGCTATGTGGAGGAGGAAGAAAAATTCGCTCTGCTAGGAGACAACGGCCACTTAGCACCGGTCGTGCGAAACAAAGAATGAAACTTAAATTACCTTTCAAGCCGCACGAGTTAAGCTGCTGTTCATTTCGTGAAAATCACACCGTCCGTCAACTTCTCATGGGGAAAAAAATTTAGTTCGTTTACAAAAGAGTTGACCTTACGACCTGTAAATTTTATCCCGATAAGCAGACGTCTGTTTTCTGATCAGACGATGGGATACCCCTCGCTCTTAAATAACGACCTTAAGATTTTTGTCTTGATGAATATTCGTAGAGGAGATCGTGGTTTGATCAATCCTCGATCGTGTGTGCAATGTAACACTTTATTTGTACTTAATTTGGTACATTTCCCATTTTTTATATTGATTTTTTTACAGGGACACGGCTGCGATATTTAATGAGGGGTGGTTGTGATGTGTGCGTGTGCGTGTGTGTGTGCGTGTGTGTGTGTGTGTGTGTGTGTGTGTGTGTGTGTGTGTGTGTGTGTGTGTGTGTGTGTGTGTGTGTGTGTGTGTGTGTGTGTGTGTGTGTGTGTGTGTGTGTGTGGGGGGGGGGGGGGGGGGGGTGGGGGGGGGGGCTTCATGATCATTCGCGTTGATTCATAGATCCTGGTGGAAAATCGAGTAAAACTGCTTTATTGGGAAACAAATGAAGCAACGTGAGAGAGGTCGACTCGATTTCATCCTGATTATTGTGAATTTATTTAAAAGAAATAGTTAATAGACAAATAAAGAAAATCAATAACAACAGACCATGGATAAGATTCTGATAAACTCTACTTGTTCCAGCCATGTCTGCGCACTAAACCAGTTCGTAAAGACTTTGAAATGGTAAATTTCGATCGATGCTTCCATCTGGTGTTGCAAGATGTAAACAACCGAGAGAATATAATCTGTAATCTCTTGGCAACCAGTAGATTATGAGCACGAGATTTCTATTACGTGGTAATCACGCATAGAGCTCGAGAGCGTTGTTATAGGCAGGAGCCCATTATGGGCTCCTGTTAAGTTATTACTTCCATTTTGAAAATCACTGGTGATCCTTGCAATCTGATTGACTCTCGGCAGTGCGATTTATTCCCGGATCGCACTATTTTTTGCACAAAATCGCATCTCTTTTCCGGCCAACGAGAAGGCAACACTGAAGTCACGCGCATGACTTAAGACCAAATTGTACTCCCAGACAGTTAAAAAAACCATTGTAATCGTCTCAGTATGGAAGCTTAATAAGACTTAATTTTTGTTCCTTTTTTTTTTTTCTTTTTTTAATAAAACCGCATTACGTCAGGCTACTCGATTTGATTTATTTACTACCTTACACAGAATAGATGATAAGTAGCATAGCCAATAAGATTAACCAGGATTGTGGGAAGCTTCTGTTGGTTAACCCAACTCAAAATTATTGGATTGTTATTAGAGGTAAAAAAAAAAAAAAAAAAAAACAAAAAAAAAGACAAACAAAGAAATCTATAGGACTCCCCACCAGAGACCAAGCCCTCCGTTGAGATTGTGCCAAGGTGTCACTTATTGTCGAATAAGTGACAGTTATCGTCTGTAGATGAAAGAATCGAAATATTTCCATCTATGCTAGCGTTTTCGCATTGCTCCTAAATTTTGTTATATTCTGTCTATCGTCGACACAAAATCACTTGAAAGCGTGTTTAAAAGCGACAGTACGTGATGTACGATTGGTCCCTTGCGGTTGTTCTCGGACATGTTTATCTTGCTGGCACAAATGCAACAATTCTGTGCTCGGGAAGTGACCTAAGGAAGGCGAAGTCACGTATTATCATAGGGTCTTTTTTCTCCAAGGGGAAATCGAGCCCCAGACCTTCTGAGTTAAGGTCTGATGCTCTGTAGCTAAGCTATCCAGAACTCCTAAGTTAACAAGGCCAAAGTTGACGGCAAACTCGCATCACAACACACGTAGGTCTGGATTCCATTTCACAAGGAGGACTCACTTAGTCCTCAAAACAAAAGCACAATTATGTAAGGGGGGGGGGGGTTGTTTTTGTTTCTACGTGAAGCCTGAACAAACAGCACTTAAATATGTAGCCTCTTCTCGTCCCAATGCCTTTTAACCACAACAAAACTAAAGAGATTAGAGACACCAGTGTCTCCTAGCCACAGTATTTATACGATTGGAAAGAGGAGGTTTGCATGTTCATCTAAGCTGGGGAATACTTCCAGCAAGTGAAGAACCATGTCGTCAATAATAATACAACATTTTATTACCAGCTTTGTAATACAAGACTATCCGAGCCCAAGTATATTTCATTTTCTACTCATAAGGCAAACTAAAGCTGGCAGTTCTGCTTCGTACCAACTTCCAATCATCACGAAAGGAAGATGCGAGAAAGAGAATCACCACAGGCGTGAAAATAAACTATAAAGATAAATTGAAAACGCGACGCGGAAAAAAAAAAAAAAACTTATTTGTCTTTTCTCGTGTGAATAAATTTTTCCGCAAAGATGTTGATTCATAAGGCAGATTTTTTTAAAATGAAGTTTAAAGTTAGGATTCCAGCCTGTGATGGCCTCTGATCTCGACATATAAAGTACAGAACAGATATATGAGGAGCTTTTAAGAATTAAAAGCACTTAGAGACTGTTCCCAAGAACCATACACTGGTACTGCTTGAAGTAACGCAGTCCACCTCTATCTAAACACAATAAAACATTTGTTGGCGACTTTCTTAACAACCTATCTTGGAAACACAAAGTCACTGTACAAAAATATGCATGCGCAACATTGAAAATACAAAAATATTGTACAAAAATCCCCACTCTAATGTAAATAATTTACAAAGGAATGCATATTAAAAAATGACTAGAAAAATTTGATTACATCCCAATGGGTCTAGTGAATCTTAACTGTCAAAATTTGTTTAAAAATAGTAAATTGCTAAGAACTGGGTTGATATGCATGGATGAACAACACCCAGAGAGGAAACTACTCAAGACTGATCTCAAGTATAGATTCTAAAATACTATTTCAGTATTCTGCATATTCGATAAAAGGATGAATTAAAATGAATTAAACCCCCTTGACGGATATAATATCAAGCTGGCTTCCTCCAGAATCTCCGATACGCTTCGATGGTAACAGTCTAACAACTCTCATTCGTTGTGTTCATTGTGGTGATCCCCTCTCGTCAGACGTAAGAGTGAGGAGGGGGGGAGGGGAGGAGGGGGGGGAAGAAGCCACTGGAAATCTGGAACTACATCTCAGTTTGTCTTTCATTTTTTAATAAAGGGGAACTGCTATCTACACTATTAAAATATATTGAAGGTTTTCTCACTGAAACCTCATCTAGTTTTACCTTTTCTTGATTACTCTTAGAAATAATTCTACTCAAAATTCCATTTAAACAGTACGTCTAATAAACAGAAACACTGATTAGTACTTCAACAAGCTCTTGTTGCTACGAAGACTGTATGTTGATATTAATACTGAGTTTAACCTAGATAAGTAACAAAAATAATTATTCTATGTAGAGGTTGTATTTTTGTTATAAAGAACAGTAATGTTTTCAATTAATTAATTCTAAGCTTTAATTTAAAGATTTACGTTAAAAAATACTAGTATTTTATGAATCTGAGATACCAAAACATGAGATTAGGAAGAAGGTCATCCACTTTGTTCACAGAATGCAGCACTAATGCATTAAGTATACAGTAAAAATAAACAACCATAAAAATAGAAAAAGAAGTCTCTTACAAAAAGCACGTAGAAAATGAGTAGCCCTAACTAAACTTCACACTGAAGTGTGTCGGCTGGTCCTTTGTAGTAAAAAAGTCTGATTAATGCAAATTAGAATGTTCGCTTAGGCAAAAGAAGTCTCTAAAAATAATTGGAATATCAAATTCATTGTCTGTTTGACTTTTTTTTTTTTGATAACTTGCCACTAGGAATCTGTAGAACGCATCACTGTGTCGTTACCATTAAACTAGGATATGATTGTAAAAGGAAAAGTGAACACATACTAAGAAGGAGAAAGATGGAAAAAATCTTGGATCATTGAAATCATTAAGAGCATTTAAACCTAAAATGAAGGCCTGCCTCCTCTCGGAAGGAAGATGATGTGGCTACGTGTGATTGTCAAAAAAGATAGCTTGAATGAATATCTATTTAAGAAAACTTTTAACACTGGAAGCATACGTCGTCAACTTAATCATTTCAGAATCAAGTGCAGGTTAACTAACAGCAGTAGTGAGTCAAAACTGTGGAATTACACAGCACCCTAAAAATGATCCTACTAATTTTGATCTGCCTACAAAATAAGCTTAACCACAAACAGTGTATGCTGTAACCCACATTGAGAACCGAAGCTGTCCACTAAATACTGCATAATTCCAAGTTTAGGTGACAAACATAAAAATTCAACAATTTCGTGAAGTGAAAACACCGATGTTAAAATGATCTAAACTCTATGATAAATGGCTACCGTGTACGGTGAATGTTAGCATGTTATTACGGTTAATAAATTAAGATTACTTGATAATCAACACATCTGCCCCTTGATAGAGGCAACAACTGTGTCACAAAAGTGGCAAAATTAATACTGATCAACACTGCACCAAGTAAAGTTTCAATCTTTTGATCCTTGCCCAACAAACTTGACCAAATAACTGCAGAACCACAATCTACCCAATGATATAACTCATTGAAAATTGACCACATGTATTTTGTTTTTCGTTTCTCCTTTTTGATGGGAACACATCTTCAGTATTATAATGTTGCGGCTTGTTCCACAGGTCTCTCTCTACAAGAAACCTGCTGGGAAATACAGTGATCTTTGCTTTTCGTCAGCACAATTTTGTACGGTTTAAAGCTGTATATGACCCATGAACTTTCACCTTTTAATTCCTGGGATCTCACAATTAACTACCCTCTACCTTCAATACATTTCTCTAAGTTGTACATGTAGTTCATACATTGGTCTCACCCAATCATACATTGATCTCACCCGAACATGCAAAATACTGAATACAAAATTCAATATTTTGGGACGTTGGTTTGCCAATTATGACCAGGCTACTCTCGGCAGATGTAAAAGCTGACAGTACTTAGCAAAAAACTTGACCAGGACAACCATAACCACAAAACCACTCAAACAATTACTAGAATTCTTGAAAAATTGCACTACACCACCCAGTGTTCAATAACGGACAGTTAAAATTAGTTAAGAAGTTATCCCCGATTTTTTTTTAACTGGGTGGGAAACTTTCTGTCACAGAACTGGATCATTGGAGTGGCAAAAGTTTAATGCTGACGATCACAAGATCTTGCGTTGACGCCAAGTAATTCATTAGGGATTTGTGTTTCTTTGTTCTTTGATCGTTCATTTGAATGTTAAGTGCATTAATTTTTTCCAGTGCCTCCTCAGTAGTTAGAACCTAGACTGATTCTTAAGGAAAACCCTCAGAGTTAGACTTTGAACTTTGGAGTTCACTTGTTTTTTTGAAAGGCAGATGTACGATAATATCCTTATCTAATCAATTCAACAGAGCTACTGAAACTTTACTGATGCAGTGGATCGCATTTAAAATATACATAACAACTGTTACCAGTTAACCCAAGGTTATTCCTTCCAGTTTGGATATCTAACGGTTTTACTTGCAACCCAAAATGGTTGGTCATGTGCTTCTTGGTTAGTATTACAGTGCACGGTGCAAGTGAAAGTGCAGCACAACAAAGCCTATTATATGTCTATCTACCTGACCTTGGTCAATTCTTCCCCAAGTGTCAATCACGAAAGTTAAAGATTCAGTTCTGAAAAATAACAGAACAGTGTTTTACCTTGTACCTTCCTTTTGTAGTGTGTCATTTGCCACAAGCAAAAAAAAGAGTGAACCGCTGAATGGAGATCTTTGATGCTAGAACTCCAAGCAGCTGTAGGACTACAGATGGTTATTTTTATTAATTCTAATCTTGGACAACTCTAACAAGAAGAATTGAGGGCATTATAAAATACATGTATTACTTCAGAGAGAAACTCATAAGCCTTGCAGTGAGTGTGGCAAGTGCATAATTACAAGTAAGATTAATACAACAAGTATCTATTAATAATCAATTTTTTCCATACCAATTTTCATATCAGGAAGGCTCCAAAATAACTTGCTGACTCATACTTTGCTATCGCCTGGGTGTTATCTTCTGACACTCCAACCATGATGTGGTCGCCATTTTGCAACTCAAACACTCCACCTTGATAGCTGCTGTACAGGTAAACTTTTGACTTTTTGGCGCGACACCGTGATGTCACACTACGCATAATGACCTCTGCGTTGCCAGTTCTATTTAAATGTACATAATGAATCAGGTGTGGTCTGTCATCTTCTACTTGAAAGTACAATTGGCTGTACACATAGTATCTTCCAGACATAGAGATCACCAGTTCTCCATCTTGGTATTGCATTCCACCTATTTTGTGCGCATGACCTTGATCGTCTTCCCAGTTTCTTATAATTCCTGGAACAAACAAGTTTTATGAATTCTAGGGTACATGCAACGAACCTATAGCAAAATCAATGACATGCAGTTTTGCTATAATCTGCACAGAGTTTCAACTTTTATCATCTTTACAACTAATTGTCGTTTTATAAACTTATGGCAAACTTTTCAATACCTAATATATAGATAGCAATGGCTGTTACATTAAGTGTACAATACATAAAGCAAGCCAGTTTTATTAAAAAAAAAAAACTAATACTGCTGCATCCTGTGAACTCTGCGAGACATTTCTTGGAATTTTCAATCAATCTGATTTAACGTGCCAGTTATCTGACACAGACAAACCTATAACTCTATAAATCAAATAATTTATCTTTCCAACTACTTTGTAGCAATTTTAAGTCTATAAATTTACACATTTTTCAAATACTTTTTATCCACCCATGGTATCTGTAAAGACTGTGTACACCACATATCTCAACCTCTGCTAACCAAAAATGCTCCAAAAAAGCTTGCTTCCTCAACCAGAAATGCTCTATTACTTTTGTCTCCCAGTTTCAGAGTAATGATATCATCAGCATCAAGAGGTGAAAGAAAGCTGAGAGAAATGGTATTGAAAGCACCACTGCCAGAATTTACACCCTTAACCTTTTCAATATTGTTCACACAGACATAATAAGTCACGCTCTTATTAGAAGGAGTTGTGTAATACAACTGGCTATATATTAAATACACTCCTGATGTCGGGACAATGAGTTCTCCATGTCGATATCGCATCCCCCCTTGCCTCAGTGTAAGATTCCACCCGGTTAAGAAGCCTGTTAAAAAGAGAGCACAGAAACCAAAGTGTAAACACTTTGGCAAGGCCCCCTTGCACCAAACTGTTAATGGATGGTAAAAGACTGCTTGAATTGTATCTAAGTGCATCAGCAGCTTAGTACAAAAACAAATCATATTTTGAACCATGTGCAGTCTAGATAGTTGACTGGAAATTTTGACAGGAAGGGTTTTCAATTTGCATGTATATCTTTTCTTCAGCCAGTTTAATCAGGAAATTGAAAAACACTTAAAGTTTCATATATTTCCAGACATAAGCCAAATCACAGCTCCACTTCCACAGGAAATGCAGCTCCTAACTAGGAAAAATCACACTAATAACATTTTTGACAGTTCTAGCCCAGTTTCTGTTTCAATGCATTGTTTGTTCAAATATTCATATGAGTCTTGGTGTAGAGTGATGAACTATTGCACACCAATCTTTACAATTAAGGTTATGGTAGATTCTTGTGAGTCAGGAAAATCCTGGACTTTATAAAATTTCAATTTCTTGACCGTCTTAAATTTATGGGCATTTGAAAAACTGGAAATTCTAGACATGCCAAAATTGCCTAAGATGGTTTGTGACTAATAGCAAATCTGCTCCAGATTTGTGTGATGATTGGCTAACAGTGAGAACATATGAAAAATCATAATTTTACCATTAGGGATGTTGGCTATAATTTTAGTTATCAATCTTGTAATAGCTTAGCTGCCACAGAGTCATAAACATAACTGGAGATAGACATCTTACAATCTCCTGAAATGTTGGGAAAATCAGTCTGGGATGTTCAGGATAAAGTGAATATGTTATTAGTCTAGGATTTTGTTGGCTTGTCAAAACCAGCCGTTGTGAAAAATATACATACAGGAAAAGTTTATTTACCTGCTCTTGGAGAATTCTGGGTGTGCCTCGTGTAGCCTGTCAAGTGTGCTGATGGCCTCTGCGATGACTGTTGACAAAAAACATCAGTTTTCAGTCAACAGTACATGTACATTGTAACAAGCCAGATTAAAACGGCTTCAAAATTAATGATTAATTCAAGGGGTGTTTTTAAAACAGATTCTTGGATGCAAGTAAGTGGGTTGTAATAGAGTGCCATTGCGGAAATGAAATTATTTCATCAACTCAGTTGAGCAGTAGATAAAATCTCACAAAGCTAGCTATAAGCATGACAAGAGAGCTTGCAGCTCCAGTTCTGTAGATTTTCTGACTCCATAATGGACACCACAGAGAGGGTTTCACCAAGTGAATAACATAGTTACTTCTGGGGAGTATCCCTCCTTAAGACGAAGGAGGAAAGTAGGCAATAAATTCCCATTTACTCATAATAAAAAAAATTACTGTCTAGTTAGACTCATCCAAGTTTGCTGAGCAAACAGCTGACCCACCTCTTACTGAATATACAACAGAATATGTGGCTTATCCATTGACAAAGGGTAATATGCTGACTTTTTTACTTAAATGCAAAAATCAGCAGTGCATGTTACCCCTTCCATGTGGGAAAACCACCAGAAATAACAAAAGTAGAAAAAACAAGGGTGTCAATAGACTAATCAATACCAGGATAGTAAGTACTTAACCAACCTCTAATGAGCCTGTGCTGCCTTTTTCTCCCCTTGGACCAGGGTCCCCTTTCTCTCCTAGAGGTCCACGTTCACCCCTTTTACCTGTTGGCCCTCTTTTTCCTGCTGGCCCTTGGTCTCCTGCGCACACACGCACACACACACACACACACACAAAAAACAGTAACAATGAGGCAAGATGGTGGCAAAGAATCACCAGTATCAATTTAAGGATACAGTAACTCATAAAATGATTCAGAATAAAAGTGGAGCTAACCTTTGGGTTAGGGGGAAGGGGGGTGAATTCACCTCTCCATTTGTCAGAGACATGCAGTTTTTAACTTGAATAACCTAGACCAATAAAGCACTTGCCTGACCAGAAAACTAACAATTCATCATTCTCTCCCACCTCTTTGAGACTCAATGGAAAGTCTCAAATGGTGTCTTAAGAAAAGAACTTTTGTGTATGCACAGGTGTGCTGTTGGCTATGTTAAGGAAAAAAAATTTTCTGTGCTAAATTAGCTCATTTGCCATATTACTTTTGGGTTAAAACCAAGGCTTCTGAAGAGCCCTGAGTAAAACTGGAAGTGAAGACAAGAGAACATCACATGACATCATGACTCAGATTTCATGACGCTTGAAACATGTCATCCTTAATAGTGTGGTCTAAAACACATCAAAAACACCGAATATGGTACCAACTCAGAATGAAAAATGACTCTAACTTGAAAAATTTAGGCAGAATATTTGTTCAGTACTCTGATAATTCTTCTGACAAAAGAGGATAACCCTGAAAAAGAGCATGACTTGTCTAAAAGCTTCAGTCTGTTTTCCTAGGACCCTTACAGGGTAGCCTTAACTTCCTATGCAAGACCCACTGTGTTTAATAGAACAATGTTCCTACATTTCTTTCTTCATATTCCATATTCAGGTACCTGTGTCTCCTTTGTCTCCCTTATCCCCAGGAACACCAACACCTGTTGGACCTGGTTCTCCTTTCTGACCTTTGGGGCCTAAAAGATGCCAGATTTTAGTTGTATATGAGAGTACTATTATGACTCTGGCTAGGCACTACTTTAACACTAACAAATTTCACTCTTGCTTCTGTTTCCTAAACTACTTTAAAATAATTTTTATGTGATCATTTTTCTCCTGGACCTATTTGAAAACCATGTATGTAAGAGTTTTCCGATAAAGAAAAAAAACAATGGATATTTTGTATCAAGTACGAGACACAATAGAATTCCTGACCAATCAGAGAGTGTAAACCTCAATAATCACATGAATAATTGACATTATTTGGTGTTATTCTGTACCTGGACCTCCTGCAAGGCCTGGGACGCCTGGAATTCCTGAAAATAAGGGAACAAAAATGTTTGACTTGTTTAACAAGTGTTTAATGACAGGTACTCAGTCAATCTTTACAAGTTTGAAATGCTGATGTTTCCAGAGCTGACCCCCAAAGGAACAAATTCATGTGATTAGGGTTCATGTGAGTGTTTATGCTAAGCCCTGAAATTTGGTTCTTTAATATCAAAAATTGAAAATATAAAGTTCATTGTTGAGTCTGAAAAACTCTTTTTGTCTCCCTACACCCTGCATACATGTATTGCAATGGAATTGCATGCCCTTCTTGCACATGCAATGCTGTAATGCACATGAGCAGTAGTGTTAATGTATGATAAAATGCAATACTAAAACACAACAATCTCTGACACTCACCATGACCTCCCTGAGGTCCCTCTGCACCCTTTGGTCCTGGAGGTCCTGGATCCCCTTGGGGACCCTGCTCTCCTGGTGGGCCTCTCATACCTGGCATAATGAAGAAATCACTTTCATTGTCACCTTTATTGGAGGGTAGGTGCCTTAGGGGTAACATGAGAGGCTGACAACAATTTTCTAAGACGCAATGAGGTCAACAGGGTAATTGAGTCACAGCTTACCACCAGGTATACAAATAAATACATCAGCCTTATTAATCCTTTAACTTCCAAAATTGATTGACATGTAACTTCTTCCCTCAATATCCATACTCTATTAATCTATTAATACTCTATTAATCCATCAAACAGGTAATGAGAATACTCAAACTTATTATGTAAAAGTTGTCATCTTGATCTACCACCATAATTATTCTCATAACTAATTTACAAAGAAACCTGTGACAGCCAGAGGGGAGCATTGACAATCAGATCTTGGGAAAAAGAGGCTTAGTAATACAGTTACATGCACTTTATTTGTCTCATGATATAGTCAGTTCCATTGTGCATTGCCAGATAAGGTGACGCATAACGAATCAACCTCAACAGAGGATCCACACTGCAAGTGGGTACAACATGAGACAAACCATTGATGAGACCTCATTACAAAACAATATATTCATCATGACCAAGAACCACAACTAATACCACCTCTTGCAATCAACCACACCAACACTTATAAAATTTTTCTTACAAGGACTTTCAGCATGGTGAAAAGAATCCTTTACACTCTTCATTGTGTTGCATTAATAGGGAAAAAGTGCTTGCATCAATGCAGAGCCTGTTCTCAAATCTTCAGTATGAGATAAAAATGGGTTGTGCACATCAAAATGATTCCTTCGAGAAGATGACCCTTCTTTTAAAATAAAAATAATTTTATTTTCCATTGATGGATTCTTTGCCTTATGAAGCTCACTTTTTGCTTAACCAGTAAATTACCAATTCTAATTTGCGAGTTTCTGCGCCATCAGTTAAAATTGATGTCCAACATAAATGCTCATCGATATGCCAAGAGTTTATGAACCAAGTTTAACCAATTTTTGGAAAAATGTTGATGGAAAGCTACAGCACTTCTGAAATCTTGCTTTTAATTTTCTCAGTATCAGCTTTGCTAAGAATCTGCAGAACTTTAAAAACAAGTAGTTTCTTGGAAAAGCTACTTAAACTTTCAACATTTTCTGAGAAACCCATAAAAAAAAAATAGCACTGAACATGGAGAAGACTATACAATGCCATGTACTTAAGAATGAAACAGAAGACATAAAGGCTGAGAAAATTCATTATTATTGACAAGCTTTGCCCTTATTATACTTTTCTTTTTTTCATTTTGTGTTGTAGAAATGGGAAAATGACAAATTAGACTCAGATCCTGTGAGTTCAGATTCTATCACAAGAATCATTAGACATCAAATGTTCGCATAAAAAGGTTATTACATTTTCCTACAGAGTTCAAAATGCCACCTAAAATACTTCTAGCAAATAGATTCAAAGATTCCTAAGCCATAATTACTTACCAGAAAGACGAAACCTAAAAGCCTCCTGATCAAAGAGGCTTTTCAACAGAATACAACAATGCAGGTCAGTCAACCTGCATTTGACCAGGAAAAAAACTTCTTCACCAAGTGCCTGTTTATGGCTGGTGCATGAAGTTGCAAGCAAAAAGATATTATTCTAAAGACATCAATTTAACTTAATCTTTGCCCATTCATCCATCATCCAAAGCCACTAGTATCCTTTACTTAGGAAGCTTGTGTAACTGAGCCTAAAACAAACATTAGCCTATTGCTGTGCATATTACGTAACATCAAAACCTACAGCCAAACAAGGCAAAGTAATAATGCATGTGATCTTAGACAACTACTGCTACAAAACCCTCAATGACTTCTACACTGAGAGCTATTTTGGCCCAAGTGCGTGGTTTACAATACGTCAATAAAATGGCCTCTTCAAAAGTTGTACAAGAAGTAAGTTAGAGTCAAACTGATATTCTAATTCTGAGAGAGACCATCAATGAGTTTTCCTTAAAAACATCTCTGTATTTGGAATTATGGAGAAGAAATAAGGTGATGGGAGGGAGAAAAAGATTAATTCGGAAATTATTTTTCGCTTAAATGAAATGTTTGACACGAGGCTGAGAATTGATACTCAAATCTTATTGGCAAAAGCATTGAATAATTACTAATCGAATTTTTTCAGCTTCCTCCATTTCAATTTTGGCTCCTTTTATCAAAAAAAAAAAGTTAAGTCGATAATTAAATGATAAACTGCTAGGTCCAAAGAATAAGCACAGTCTGCTCCACCAAAAAAATGACTGTTAGAAATAATCGGTTGAGGTAATCATTCCCATTTCTGACACAAGAAGAAAGAAAACTTAAACAAACAAACAAAGCAAAAAATTTAAATCCTGTAGGCATCTTGTCCAAAAACTCAACTAAGACACTGTCAGGGTGGCATAATCAACAGAAAAATTATTTTGAAAATTCTGTCAGTTCTCGCCACAACAAAGATTTATTCATTAACCCTCTGACTAGATCCTTCATAAGCTGTAGATTTTGAGGTGATTACAGCAGACAGCTTTAATCCAACTGCAGACTGTTAATTAAACAAATACAAATTAACTCAACCCAAATCAATCCCATTGAGATAAATCTTGGCTTCTCTTATATGTTAATGGCTTGGCTTGAGAAAATAATGGAAAAATTGTTGAAAGACGTCATTGTACAATTTAATACTGCGATGAATGAGAGGGATAAAGCTGACAATTGCATGCAGAGTTGATAAAGAAGCTGTTGACAATTTCGCACATTTTCTGACTGAAGACTTGATGTCATCATTTTATAACATACACGTAGCAATCATTTTAGCTATTGAAATTAATGCTAGTCGTGCGAAGATGATTGAGAAACTTAACTACCATAATAACATTTGAGTTAGCTGCTAACTGCATGATTCCAGAGAATGACGTAGAAATTCTTGAGTAAATTTCCCTTCACCACAATTACATTCTACCCTTGATGACAGCAACACTATTGTTATCTTCTCACCAATTTGAAAAACATCATGTACAATTCAATACATTATATTCAAGACACCGTGCTGTTTTTAAGGCTAATTAAAAAATGAAAGTCATTAATGAAACTCAATCGCAACCACTTACTGGAAAACAATTGCTCATTGTGTGGGAAAGGTAATGAAATTCTAAGTCTTTAACAGCTCACTGAATGAGACACTAATTTAGAGAACATTTCAACACGAAAACAGATTTTGTCAAGACTTATCATCTAAGTCATTGCTAGTTCCTGGGCATGTGTGTGTTGACTAACAAAAAAATTAAATTAAGCTGTGCTAATCAATCCCAGATTCACGAAGCAATCAATATTGTACAAAAACAAAGACAACAAAATGAAATTGAACAAATGACCAAACTTGAATGAATTGTATTGAATTATGTGCATGTTATGGTAAACAAATTTTCTTTCAAAAAAAGGACTTATATTCTATTGTGTTCTTAAGGTCTTTGATCAAAGGTAACTTATCACAAACAGACATTCTCAATTTAAAAATAGAATTTAGATTAGAGAAGGTTACTCTGGCTTTCATCCAACCAAGGAAGCCAAATTAGTCATTCTTCTAAATTTTTAGATATTCCCCAACTCGTCACAAATTTGTCATTTTTCCTATAACTTCATTCCCATGCTAAGAGAATTGTGGCAGCTATAAATGTTAGCCTCCTTCAATATTTCTCATACTACACAGCTATGGAGATATTCATTACCCAGTATTGATTACAGTGGTGTAAGTTTGCCTGCTTTGATTTCACCAACATTCTTTATGGCCTTTTGTTTTCAATACAGTGAGCTTAGGTTGCTAAACTGATTTTTTTTGTTTATAGAACTGATTAGAGCTGTATTACAGCCCAGTGAGACCTGATACTGGTAACATGATGCATGAGAATGGAAACAACACAAACATGAAAAAATAGGAGAGGTCCACAAAGAACAAGAGACGTTGTCTGTAAAACTCTAAGAAAAGCACGGTTTAAATTAAGCCTTGCACTGGTTCTGTGCGCAAAAAAAACAAAGTAAACCAAAACAAAAACAAAACTGTTTAATGCAAAATGAAATAAAAAAATTTATGAAGAGATAGAAAAGACAAGTGAGACAAATCTTTCATTCACAAAATTCCTTGAAGATAAAGTCCCTTATCAAATTTATCAAAAACTCTTAGCCACAAAATCCAAATTGCCATCAACAGGTACTCTTTAACTTAACAATATCTATGCATTCATCACCTTGCAAACGAAGGTTGAAAAGCACCTCTCATGTTCTGAAGAAAGGACCTGAAACCATGTTTTTGTAGCACCAAACAAGAATGCATTAGAAAAACAAGCAAACCTGAGTCAGCTCATACATTAGTGATGCCTACAAGTCATTTGTCAGTCTGGAGACAAAACATTCCAGAAGAACAAATGAGCTAAATCAAAATATTTGACCTGTGGGTGATAAGCATCAGATTAAACACCTAAACATTTCAGGCAACCGTAAGGAACACAATATGAACACAAAATACAGACTTTTGTACTGCTTCAAGATAGCTTCTTAAAAAATTGATGCCACTTTAAAAAGCAGGCACCAAGACAGGACAATTCCTCTTACAGAGGGTTGTGTGCCCATAGGTTACAAAAGTTAAAAACTTTTACAAACTGTGTGTTGACCGTTAAATATTTAAATCATGACAAGAATGATTTGTTCATTCATCAAAAGAAATTTAACATTTGATCAGTGTGTCACATCGAAATAAATTTCTATCAATCAATCAACAAAACTTACAAAACAAACACCTAATAGACCATTCACGTTGCCATAAACACCTAATTAAATCAAGTCAGAAGCACCTGCCTAATAAACTCTCCATGAGTATGACAACATTAATAAACTTTCAAGTTGACAAACAGTGTGAACATAAAAAAAATTATTAACTGGTGTTTGTCTTTAAAATACATAAGAGTCTCAATACAATACACAGAGATACATGCCAGATGGTAAAGACAACTGGCACCAAAAAATAAAACACGAAAATATTAGAAGCAACCCCTTGAAAACACACATCATTAATACATCCTACTGCTTCATCATAGCCGGCAGCTACTTCACTAAAAGCTTCCTAGAGACATGATGTCAATGACACCCACTCAATGTTACATCTACATCAATGACACACATGCATCCACTCAAATTGAAATGTTGAACAAAAAGAAGTAATTGCCAGGCAACTGTGTTTACTGTATGACAATTAATAAAAGACGGAAGTTGGACTCTAGCCAGTGGAACTCATTTTTTTTTTTAAGAAAATGTGTTCAGAAAATGAAAGAGGGATTAATATTCTTCAAATAGAAGAATAAAATTGCAGTCAAAAATCTGTGGCTCAAAGCCTGGTCTGATTTCAGCTAGTGCATAGAGAGCAATTTCATGGCTAATTCTAAACCAGTGGTGATTCCTTCTGACATGAAAATCTTGTATTTAAAACTTCTTCTTCAGTGTGGTTGTGGTTCTTAACCCTTTAACTCCAATGGGTGACCAAGACAGAGTTTCTCCTTACAATATCAATACACCATCAACCAGATAAGTGATGAGAATAAAGAAAAATATCAATTTGGGAATAATAAGTTGACCAACTCTAAATTCTCTGAACTAACATTATAAGAATTGTATGGTTGACAGTAAAGAGAATTACAATTACGATCTGGGAGTTAGAGGGTTAAGCCATGGTACTAGAGAAGTGTGAAGTGGGTATTACAAATGAAAAGCTTAAAAAGGGGACTGCATAACAAGACCCACAGCACATTCAAAGTCCAAATCGATCCATGCAACACAAAAATGACACTGAAAAAAAAAATCAATTTGCGAAAAAAAAAAAGTGTAACAATTAAATAATCCCTCAGATAATCATCTCCTTGCACAACAATTAACTTAAGAATTTTTGTTTCCGAGCGCTTTTGTCTTTCTGTTTTCCCAACTAAAACAAAGGTTTTCCTTATGCAAATTGACCTTAAGAATGGCAAGTAACATTAGCCTGGCCTACTAAAAGTCTTCCACAGTAGTTCATCTGCAGTACTAGTTGCAGCATTTCCCATCTTTCAACAATGACTGTATTTACATGAGTAATTTTCAAGCCGCTTAAAAAATTTTGGCAAATAATTTATGCAATAATTTTAAGCCACCAAACCAGGTAGCCTGGGAGAGTCGGAAATTAATTTTGGTTAATTGCGGTTACTAATCTGATAAGGCTGGAAACAGAACACCAGGTCCATTTTTATTTTTCTCACAATGCTGCAAAACAAGACTTTGTGATCTTAGAGGCTTTCCTTCTTCAAATGATCCAAGGAAGCAATTTCAAATGTAAACAATTGTTCTTTCTTTTACCCTTGGAAAAGCAAAACAATTGGCTTCATGACCACATGGTTGGCAGCTTCCCTCAGGATATTCAAACTGCTCATTTGCTAACAATACCTCATCACACCTCTTTGAAGAACTTAATAATTTTACTTTTGAAAACATTGGTCCATCTAAGATTGCTTTACTAAGTCTATACAACTAAACAACTTCAGGATTGTTATACAAGACAGCCAATGTTGCCAAAAATATCACCTGCAGTTTACGACCTGGAACAATTAAAGTTTTCAATAGGAAAGATTGACAAGATTCTTTACTTAACAACTGAGAAACTGCTACTTTAAGCTTTAATGCAAACTACTCATACTCAGAGTGAAATTGATCATCTCTCTCAATCTTTATTTCATGCATTGCACCTATCAAACCTCCTATTCCAACTACCAGCAAGACATGATGAACAAAAGAAAACATAAAGAAGTGAAATGGTAAATTGTATGAGCCCACAGAAAACAAAATGTGTTTTCCCATCCTTGAGAATTAAACCACTATTTCAGACATTTATACAGTTCTCTTCAGAGAAATTTATTGATATCACAATTCTTGCAAAGTGGCAAAATCAAACCACACAGAGTCAATTTCTTTCTAGGAAGTGCCTTGCACAAGCTTTTTTTAAGAAACAAATTAAGTCCTGCTCAACTGGTATAACTAATAAGTTGTTGGCAGAGCAACAGTTAATTTGTATGTAAATTAACTTTCATTGTGTCAAATTCATTTGTCAAAACAATTACATCACTCTGCGAACATGTGGAATTGCCAATGTTCCAAATTAGCAGCCTATGTTTCAGTCTTTCCTTGTTCTGTTGATGACAAACAATAACAGAAACTATACAAATCACAGCTGTTTGTTTGCTAATTTCAACAAACACTCAGTGAAAATGGTTTCCAATGAAACAATCCAAATAGGAGACAGAATCACACATCTTGTTACAAAATATTTTTACAATACTGGTTTCTGGAACAACTAAAAATTCTCCTTCACAACATAGTGAAGAGCAAGGCTAAAAACAAATATTCTCTCCGGCGACTTTCAATACCATTTCTGATATCCTGAGCTAAATTTAATCTATTTTTGTCTGGCATTTTAGATAGTAGACACATAAGAGATCTCACAATCAACATCAAATCGACAAAAAAAAACCATAAATGCCTAGAAAACACAAATTTATATAGTAATTAATATCTTTTCTACCTCCTAATAATGCACTCATAAAGTCTTCACTTATTCAAAACTCAAAAATTCTGGTGCTCACTAGTAACCTATATAAACAATTCATTTATAGAGGAATCTTGCAAATTTCACATTGCAGACATATCTTAGACATACAATTTACAACAAGTAAGCTAACAAAATTTTAGTGGACATCATTAAAGATCAATCACACACTGTCCCAATTCATATGCAAGCATTTTGTTTTTCAGTTAGCAATTAGCCTGATTATCTCCGAATGGATCTAAATAGAGCGACTTAAGAGATAATAAAATTATTGAAAATGTATGCTAATAATGCAACACCTGTTAGTAGAGAGAACTGGCAAAGGTACAAAAGAACAGACTAGAAGGAGGAGTAAAGGTGTATAGTGGAAAACAAAACCGCATTATGGAAAGAGAACTCAACTCACAACAGAAGTTTCTATTTTATCCATTTTCCGACTGCCTGACCTCAATCATAGAACAATATACTGAAATGTTCCTTGCAGGAAATTGTCAATACCTATAGTTTCAATAACTGTCAGTTGAATTGGTTTCCTATGACTGCGGAGTTTGAAAAAGGAAGCGGTAAAACTCTATTTAAAGGCAATGATGGCCACTGATTACGAAAAATTTCCGTGTTTTTGGAAACGGTTCAAGTTTTCCTCAGAGTTAGCTCGCAGCCACTTAAAAAATTCGATATCTGGTTACGCGTGACAAAATTAACTTTTCAGCAGAAGAAAGGTAAAATTATTTTGGTTATCATAGCTATGTGCATAGATTAATCCTCTGTGGTCAACGAACGTTTCACGTGTGACGAAGGGTAATTGGTATTCGCTTTTACACACGCAGTACCATTCGCAAACCAGCGGATGAGAAAGAAGATCTTTATAAAAATGCTGAAGAAGTTTTAACGATCAATATTCGCAAATTATACTCCCGATGCTGAGATCAATATGCAATTCAGTGACATTGGGTTCTACTTCAGTAAGTTCGACAAGTAAATAAGGGAAGGCGCTACGTGAATTAAATCGCTCTATGCGTAACAATATTGTACAAACTGAAACCAATTCCTCGGCTTCACAGCGCGGAATTCTAGCTTCAAACAACGACAGACAAAATTACAGAAATATTACTTCCAAAGTTCATTCGATAACCTTATGATTTCACTTTCGAACATAGCGGAGACTAAAATAGGCCTGTCGAACCTAGACATTCCTTTTCCGATGTATGCTGAAGGAATGAATGAAAAGCTTAACCATTTGGCAGCATTTTGATTCACGGTCAATCACATCATCCGACAACATATTTACTAATAAAATACGCGTTCGAAATGGTGGAAAACGGAGCTCTCTCAAGCACGTATTACATATTTTAACCACTCACAATCTGTGCCCATCACAAGATAATGAAGAACAAAACTTATATAAACTTACCTTGTGGCAGTTTACACGCAGTACAAAATGTCGTTCTTGCCCGAGTTTCGGTGCCGAAAAATTGATGCACTTCGCGTTTGACCATTTTCTTCAAGTACTCACGAGTACATTTATTCACTTTGCAATTCTTTTTCCTTGCTTCGGTAAATGCTGGCCTCGTTGGATCTGTGTGCGAAGTACTCCTCCGCGAAATGTGGATTGACGGCATGCTCTGTTTAGAACGCGAAAAAAAATTATTCTTCAAATAAGCATCTCTCGGATTACACATCAAACATGGACAATGAAGTGAAGAGGTGAAATCGCACACCAGTGTTGGAACGCAAAGCCGACGTCTTTTACGTCGGAATACGTTTAGTGTTCATTTGCTTTCAATTCTCCCGAGATATTACGATCAGTTGGCACAAACAAATGGCACGTACCTTCAGAAGAGTCGGGGGAGATGTAACATTCGTTGGTTCGGCAGGAAGCGCCGATTGACTCAAATTGCCTCGTAGAGGGGCAAATTTTGTTGGTTGTTCGACCATAGACGATTCAATTTTCTCTACTCGCGTTTGTAAGGTTTGTAAGGTCTGTAGTTGTATAAATACAACCACGAATAGTACAACGAAAACAATATTAAGCAAAAATGATAGGCATAGAAGATTCGACATGCTTAATCCAAAACTCTTGCAAGTACATTTTCTCCGCGACGAACCCAAGGTGTGCTTGACTACCGTCTCTTCCTTCGGACACTCCATACTTCCAAATGGAGATCAAACCACGTGTGAATGGCGCTTGAGCACTTTTCCACTTTAAAACATCCCTCCCGAAGCTACATTCTTCCATACGAATAATAACTCCACCGGAAAAAGAAAACTCGGCGATCGCGAAAGCGAATCACACACTTCCTCTTCGCTTTGTCGTGTGACTTGCAACTAGTCCTGGTACCAGTCAAGTTTGCGTACCCTCAGCTCGCGCCAAAATTCTGTTAATAACAATAGCCAAGCGTACGTCAGTATTCGCGGAACAACGTCCACGTGTGTATCCGATGAAAACAACTCACTGCCAAAACATAGGCGCCCTCCACCAATCACACCACGCACTGGGTGGATAACAATCTCATATAAATAACCGGTGATTGGTGGAAAACAATAGGCCTGATTCATTTCACACTTGTGGGCCAATAGCATTGTTGGTTCTATGGCGATAGAAAACACTTAAAACGGTTTATTTAATTGATCAATTGTCATTCAAATTCATCGCTGCTGACGGGTCGCAGAGCTGAGTGATTTTGCAGAGGAAACAGAAGCAATGCATGAGATTTTAAACGTTTGCGAGACCTGAGCGTGAAACCCTCTACCAGTTTAGCACATCCGCTCGCGGTTTGAATATCTTTGAACTCAATCATTTGTAAGCGAAATTGTCATAGCCTTGACCCAAGGAGGCCAAACAATTGGATGGGTGCCAGAAAAGCACATGGAATTTATTAACTTAAGCTATTAAGAAATGGCGTGACATCTCTGTGTCTTGTCGACCATTGCATCGTAAAGCGGTGAAGTCATATTATATGGGGGTGCAACCTTATTGACAAACATTTGAGGGCGTTGCCGATTGATCTACGAAGTGATAGTGAAATCTGTTGTAAACTCCCTCTCGCTTACTCACTTTAAGCTTGTTTCACACGATCGAACGAAATGTAAACAGCCAAAACAACACGAGATAAACAGGAAATTGTTAATCAAGTGTTTTAGAGGAAATGACAAAACATCTTTGTGATCTTGTCGATTTGCGTGTGTTGCCCAATATTTGTTGAGCAAATTCCTCGAGAGTTGTGCAGGCAAAAGCAGTTTCACTCGAGCCGTGACTGGAAAAGCTCGAGAAATGTGATGATCCTCCCACGGGCAAACTTACTTCCGATCTGTGCCACAGGGGCGGAAGTCCATAGAGGCACGCGTTGAGGAATTTTGAACGGCTCTCATCAATCACAGTCAGAGAAAACCAACTCCACTTTGCAAAGTTGTCCAGCACGCGCGCGCGCACGAAATGTTGAACTTGTGTACTCTGTCGTGAAAGGAAATAGATCGACCTTATTGTATTGAGTTCCGACAGGCAACTAATACACCGGTTCTGAATGATGGCAAGCATCATCACTGAAGGGAAAAGGATAGATTCCAAGTTTATGCCTTGAGTAATCTTAATCTAATCTTTATTCGTAAAAACAATAACAGATGAAAATTTACAGGAACCTTGTGACAGAACAGAGACGCTTACAAAGACACTATCATAATCCATGTGGCTAAATTCGGGAAAACAACTCGACAATTCACAACAATCAAACTCCAAAGTTCGGAAATACTTGAAGTTGAAGACAAACGAACTGGTAAATGAAAAGTCAAGATTCTTGACACAAATCCGTACACAAAAGATTCCTTTTTATCGCAGTAATCACATCTCTATAATTCACGGGGTCTGTTTGTGAAACACAAGCAAATAAAAACTTTCTGCAAACGAACACAGCGCTGTTTATTTTGGCATCGATATCAAACAGATTAATCCACAAGTTCTTGGTGGAACTGTCCTTAATTTAGCTCAAAAGTTGATTGTTGTCATCAAAGACCTCCTCTTACCATAACCTGTGAGACATTGTTAATTCTCAGCTAAAACAAGCGGGCACGACAGACGCTCAGAAGCAGCTCATAGGCCTGGTCATGCTATGCATCGGGCGATAACAGGTTTAACGGAATAAGCATGTTTTCATGCCCCCCTGAACAGGACAGATCGAAATAAAGCTATTTTGAAGCAGGCAAAAAAATAATACAGGATACAAGTGAAAATTCGATCGCTTTTTCGTTTCCATCATCGGTTCCGCACCTAGCTATGAAAAGGTTGAGATAAATTGTGAAATCAAACTACTTCTTTCGTGATCTCAACACACCATTTATGTATCGTTAACGACGTTATGAATCCTGGTTATTATATGCGAACTGCTAATCCCTTTGTAGACGTCTAGGAATCGTTATTTCTAACAACGCCGAAAGGAAGCACACCACGCAAGATCTCCGTTCCAAAATTTCGGGCAGCCAAAAAGGTAATGACGATTGTTTTGCGCGCGATTCCTTCTAGCTTTCCGGCACACGCCCAACACACCATGGAGGAATGGTAACTTGAAAACAAGATCTACAATAGACTTCTATACGCTTTTCAGGTCGGTATTTTTCACCTGAGAAAGTGCGGTACCCCGGGTACCCAGGCACGTACTGTTTCTACGCCTGAACACCCGACTTTGACATCTATTTATAGAGGTAATAGTTTCATTCAAGGCTGGATTCATTTCTTGGCACTGTACTATTAATTTCCTTTCCTTTCAACCAGACAACCATGACGACTTGTTGAGTTTTTCATCAATTGAATCTCTGAACCGCAACAATCATCCTCTTTCCCTAATCTTGAGTACAAAACCGCGCAAAAATACGTGCAAGCTTACTTACTTCCTATCTACGATAATTAGCACTGAATGGAGGAAGGAAAATTCGTCAAATAGGATTCAACCGGATAAAAAGCCAAGGAATAACTTGATGATAAAGATTACTGAACACTTGACTCAGTAAAAGATATGATAAGAAAACACGATTAAAGTAAACCTATGGGAAATATGCGGCGCTTAAAAGATGACCACTTTATTAAATTTTACGAAAATCGTGCTATAAATAACAATTATAGCATGATATTCTACAAATTTTTAAGACAAATTTCAGCTATTCGCGAAGAATTGAAAACATTTATGATTTACTTCGAATGTGGGAGAAAAGTTTGCGGAAGAGGTGTGACTGGTATACAACGTGTTCACTCACAGTAGAACCAAAAAGACAAAAAAAAAAAAAAAAAAACCTTTACAAAAGCATTAATTGACACATGAGCAGTCACTAGTCTCATGACTAAAATCACCCCGCTGTTTAATTTATGGCAACACAAGAAAACCGCTCAACAGGGTGAATGAAATGTCATTTGTACACAAGATTAACATTTACATTTACAATGGTGAGGCTTTTGTGTAAATAAGGTTTAAATAGATCCACAAGGAGCAAGGCAGGTCACCAACTGCGCTCAGTAGTAGAAGACACCGTAGGCTGCCACGACGCAAAATAACGTATCCTATGAAAAGAGAGAACAAAACAAGTAAAGTGAGGGTTTCAGTTAGAAAATGACCGCAATTAACTAACAGCCACCTGCTTGATTAACAACGCATCTGAGCAATAGTTGGTTGGGTTGTAACTTAAGGGTGCTCTGTTTTGCTTGTAAGTCAATCTAGGTGGTGGCACTTTGCCAGAATAATGGGTTCCTGATGAGGAACAATAGCGCTGACACGAAGAGGAACTCATAAACAAGCAAACAAGAGCGTGATTACGAAATATGAGACGCATCATTCAGAAGAAAACAAATCGCAAGAGGACTTGGTTCTTTTTCTTCCTTTTTATTTTTTCGTACAAGTTATGTACTTGAAGCAAACTGCTCTGTTTAAAAGCAAAGCATCTTTCTGTAGAAGACCAAATAAAACGATCGTATTTTTTAGTTCATATCTGAAGCTGTATTCTCAAAAAGCGCCTCCGCCTTTTGCCACAAGTTGCTTACTCTCATGTACGTTGCCCAATTCGGTAAAGAGTTAGCCATTCCCGCAACCAATCAGAACACTGGATAAAAACTCGCACGTACGGGCTGACGTTCTATGCTGACGTCACGTTGCTAACCATCAATTTACGGGCTTGGCGAGCTGTCTGAGGCGGTACGTATACTTGTACCCACTTGTGAACCGTCATCAATCCAAAAATATAAAATATATTACAATTGAAGAATACAAAGAGAGGTTCTTGTATGACAAGGGCCCGCCGACAGCAGACTTCACCGCCTTTTTAATTAGGCTGCTTCCGCATAATACAATTTTATCCCTCAAAGGAATATCACTGAGAAATTTTACGAAAAGCACGACCGCGCGCGCCAAAAGGAGCGCGCACTGTATAGAATAAACTTATCTTCTTAGCCATGGTAGAAATCTAGGCTACGATAATGATTCGAGATTACCACTCAACTAGACTCAAAGTATTATAACTCAGAGTTCACAGCCTTGAGTACTTTAAATTTGATCCTGAAGAAAGCGGCTTGCGACAATGTTGCTGTACCTTTGCTGAATCGCAACTCAAATATTTTACTATAAACTGCACCACTACAGAACAATTAGCCGATGTACCAACCTAGGCTCAACCTCTTGACGAACGATCTGGAAGCTTGGCTTTCTAAATGCCTATTCAGAGAAAATTCATTATTCAAAGCCGAACGAAGCACTTAGTTCAAGGGTCGCTTCGCAGAGCAATCTCGTCTGGCAGATATTTCCTCTACCGCTAAAACAACGGAGATAGATCACGCCCTAATCCTTACTTGAGGGAGATGTTACGAAACTGCAATGCACAGGCCTGACACCAAATGCAACGTCTTCCTTTTGAGCCCACAGGGAAAAGAAAAGATCACGAGCATAACTAAAAGTTCAGCTTGCATGGCCGATGTATTTTCGTAAAACAGACCAACATCGGCCTAAGCAGGCTTGCCTTGCCTTCGGCTACGGCGGTACAAGCCTTTATAAACAATATAACTAAATTACACGTTCACCGCGCTCCGCCAAATGAATATATTTGCGGCAACATGAACGAGCATTATCATGAGGTGAGCCAGGGCGTGTGACACGCACGACATCCACGCAAACTGCACGTACCGTCCACGCAGCTCGAGTTACTCAAGGGAAGGCGTACATCATGTGAGAGTAGCTTCTCGAGATGATGTAGGGTCGCTAGGTCAAGGCCTAGTACCCAAACACAGATCAGTTTTCGATAATAGGCGTGTGTGGGTTGAATACTACTTCTGGACTCTCCGCTATAGTAAGGGCACTGCGTACTTGGCCCATTTCTTTCTTGCAACACATAATTGCATACAACAGAGTAAAGGAACATGTGGTCTTTGAAACTCAATGAATACAGTACTTAGTAACTGTTTAATCTTTTTTCTTCCTTTGCAACATTCTTTCAATTTGTATAATTTGTAGATTGCCATATAAAAGAGGGTTTTTTTGCTTTTGAAGACGAAAAATAAGTTGCTATAAAAACAGGAAGAGATATCATATTACTCATGCTATGTGTTTCTAAGATTAACAGCGCTAAAAAAAATTGCACCAGGACTGATAGCGCACCAACAGCGCCCTCATACAGCTCAATAAACCACCGCAGGCGTACAGCAAACGTATCACTATCGTTCAGGTCGAGGTTGATTATATTTTTAAAGCCCTTTCCGGAACGAACAAAAGAGTGCAATACGTGGAATGATTCCCCATGGTGAAACTACAGTTAGTCTGACGCTGAACATTTCAGGAGAAAACCGATAATTTTACTTCTTCCTGACTTCAATAATGCTTAAACTTCCTAATGTATTTTACTAAAAATTTGAAATTATAGTACTAGCACTGACAATATCATGTAACAAAAACATAATTCCCAGGTTGACATTTCGACATCTACGAGCCCCCGAGCCAACTTCGAGACGGAAAACAACACTTGTTATGTCTAACAACCACGAGATCTTGTGTCTAGTTAATGTGAACCAAAACTCATTATCTACCAGAAGAGATCGCGTAGGAAAAATGGCGCCAGCCTCAATAAAGGAACGAGTGGCCTTGATTCACAAACAAACCATCATATTTTCACGAGACACGTGCTCACGGGCACGTGTAAGCACGCTTTCGAGATTGATTTCCCGCCTAAACAATACAAATTCAGAAAAAAAAAACAGGTCTTTAAGATATAAAGCTTTTTTTTTTTTATTTGAGAACGGTATGAAATACAGAATGCAGATACTCCCCATGGCATCACCGTGGTAACCATTCTTGGAGAGGCTGTGGTCTCTCAGGAATTGCTTGTAGACCAAAATGAATGAACGCAACAAATCGACTGAAATTTATAGATAAATTTTCAATGTTTGAGATTTTCTTATGAAATAAAAATCATCGTAGTGAGACAACAGCGATACGTATTTTCAGTGATATGGAGGTTCAAATGCAGTATGACATGCACTATTTTTTTCCAAATTTTATGTCCTGTTATTTAATCTCTTTGCAAAAGCACCTTCCAACCAATTCCTTTTTTGGTCTTCTTGAGACGCTCACAGCAGTGTACCGGAAAACACTCCTCTTTTCTTTTGTTTCTGATCTATTTTTCGTGAAATACTTTCACATAGAAATAACGATGTGAACAAAACGTTAACCTGCCCTTCATACTCACGTGTAACGTTCTTCAAATGGAAATGAATTACCCCGACTTGTTTTTTCACGATGGAAGCAAGGTCTAACTTTCCTAAGCAATAAACAATAACGTACGGTTATCATAAGGTGTGTGCATCTATAAAAAGTTGTACGTCGCGATTTTGGGCAATATGCAATTGCAAATGTTCGTTTTCTTTTGTCAAATGTTACCTTGGCTGTTAATTCAAGATAATGATCATACCGGCGAAATGATTAAGCAATTTGCGACGGACCAACATAAGCTGAGGTCTTCAAATAGGATTCAAAAAATAATTTGATTGACCGAAGAAAGTTCAACCTTTGATCAGCGAGTCGATATTCCAATCGCACTCAAAGTTGAAGAGAGAGATGTTTAATTTCCGAGTTGTACCGGCTCCCAAGCAACGCAAACAGGAAAACAAACTATTGAGAGGTGTGTTCAATAATGCAGAAAGTTGTCTGAAGAGAGCAGCGGGGGTGCTTGAATACAAAGAAAGAGCTCTAAACAAACTTCAAATGCGCAAAGAATTGAGACATACAGTTGGATTAATTGTTGCTGTCAGCTGTTGGCTTCGGGCAAGAAACACAATGATACTTTATAACAGAGAAGGGAAAGACTTAGAGTAGGTAAAAAACAGGGTAGGGGAAAAAACAGAGTACGGAAACAAACTTAAAATGCGAATAGAATTGAGACACGCAGTTCAATTAATTGTTGCTGTCAGCTGTTGGCCTTCGGGCAAGAAACACAATGATACTTAATAACAGAGTAGGGAAAAAATTATCGCGGTTTAACAACACAATGAACTTAATTTCAGGATTAGTTGCAACAAGGTTCTCACAAGTAATCGTGGAGATAAGAATACTGCTTGAAATCAAGATAAAACGAAAAAGAAAAAACTCACCGATTTCGCTCTTAGCGGGGGAAGAAAACAGCGACGCGACTCAGATTGAACAAATTGTACTGAATATGGAGTTAAGAATTACGTTTTTCCTAATCATATAATTTTTTCTTTCGATCGAGAGCAGCAGAGTATCTTGGTCATCTTGAACTTCGTGCATATGCAAAAACAGGTGTACGCTTATTCAATGTTCCGTTTCACAAGAAGTTTTTGGAAACTTCTATCGATTAACAATAACAAACTGCGACAAAAACAACCTCGGAAATAAAAGTATAATATTATTTGGAAAAGGCAATTTTTCTACGGGTTGATTTTTCATCAGAAAAAGGTTGAAAATCCGCAAACAAGTAATCAACGGATTATACCATCAGCCTAGCCACCGCAATTACGGAAACGTGATCCACAAATCTGTTCACAAGGAAAAACGCGCTCGCAAATCAAAGCAAACACCGCTCGCTTCGCCTCGTGGCGGGAGCGTCTTCGCAAAACGCACGTGTTTGCGTTTCATGTCCTGAGTCCAATATACAAAACGTCAAATTAAACCTATACAAAACACGCAGCAAGGCGAACCCCATGCGCGGATATTTCTTAAGGATATGCTCTGGTGCCAAGCGCCCCTGCGCATTTTACCATGATGTGCATCAAGCCCACTGTTTACCTTTTACGTCAGAAGTCGAGAATATATTGGGACGCTCAAAGAATACCGAAGTATTTTGCTAAATGGGGCTAATTATCTCCTATACCTCAAACCTCGTTTATCTCTTTATTTCACCCACATGAAGAGTTAATAGGCTCAAATCTCGTCGACACTGCTCGAGCTGAACATGGAGAGCAAGGACGGTTTCTCGCCCCCAACCGCAGAGGATGATTAAATTCCACCCTAAAGTAAGGTCGTGGGAATAACCCGTGAGAAAAATAGACATGTTGGATACAGAGGCTGCGTCATTCATCTTATTCTGTTTTATTAGCAAACACACCTGTCTTGGTTTGGCTTGCATTGTTTCACGCGCGCAGTGTTTATATAACAGTGGCCGGCTGGGCAGTTGTTGATCGCCCAGCCGTAACAGGATTACGCCGTCTCGAAAACTTGCAAATTCACTTTCTTCCTCAGCAATACCGCAAAACCCTCCACGCCGACAGTTAATTGACCAATCTCCAAGGACCGCTTGAGAAAAACGACACGAATGCCTCAGACATCACGCGGAAAGAAGAATGGATGTACAATTCATTTCTGAGCCCAATAAAAGAACGGAAAAGGGAAACAACACCGTGGACAAAGGCTCGTTACGCAAGAGGTATCTCAAGTCAAGCGACATATCAGTGAAAAAGTCACTTGGGGCAATGCAAGGCGTTAGTATTTCAATAATTACCTAGCGGCTACGAACATTAGGATTTTATTGTCCGTCGACGCCTATCTCGAACTGTATCTTAAGGCGTCGTTCCCACATCCATCTCTAAACGTGTTCACTACTCAATTAAATGTACTGTCACGTAACAATTTTGGCTGATAAACAAAATTGTAATACTGCGCGATATTTAGTGTTTTCGTGCAGGCAGCACCACAGGAAACTGTCTACTATAGAAACTAAGTTAATTTCGCCCAGACAAACACTCCAATTAACGGTCGCTACAAGGGGGCCGAATGGCAGTAAAAGCCCACTGTAAAATCCCAAATTTGTGATCGCCAATAGGCAATAAACCACAGCTCTGCGAAAACACAAAAGAACTCGCCGTCTAAACCGCTTGGCAGGAGAGAAGAATGAAAACAAAGCGTATTTTTACAACACAATTAGAACAATCCAGCTGGGTCGACAAACACCTGCTAAAAAGGCAAAAGACGCACTCATGCGTCCAAATTAAACCTCTGCTTTGTAAAGTTGTTTTTAAGAAATGTTGTCTTTGTTTGGGAAGGGGGCACGGCCCTATTTCAATCACAGTGCTAAAGGTACTTTTTTGCGAGATAATATTACACTCTTCGGTCGATTTTTCCATTATTCTCTCGCAGTAAAAACTCGCCAAAAGTTAAACTAACAAACCTGGTTTCCATTAAACTATGCCCTCGAGTTCTGTCAACAAATTATTCGCACAGGTGCGCCTGGCGAACTGAATAACAGGTCACGTCCGAGAGGAAAAGGAGGTTCTCTCTTCCTTGAAAATTACTATTAGGTCATTTTACTATAAAATCTCTATCAAAAACGGTAGAAAGATACCCCTGTTGTAGAGCAATGCGTATGCGGCTATGCTTAGGGCGTATATATCCCAGATATGTTAGCCATGGTAATAATAGGTCGAAATAGGATAAGTTAGTTATGAAATTTCGAACACACGGGCGCTATTTTTTAAATCGAAAATTGACCCGGCCATAAAAAGAAGAACTCTTCTGAATTTCACCGGAAATGCGTGCTTTGGGAACAAAAAGTTCCAAGAATATTTTCTCTTCACTGATTTGGATTGTTTTTAGATGGAAATTGAGACTGTAAGAAGGGGATGTGTTGATTGACCCGCTTTTCAGTGCAGGAGAAATTGTGTGTCAATAAACTTTAAAGGTTAGACACTTGATTCAGTACAAATAAATGAATTTGGAGCCAAAAAGAACTGCCACGCAGTCAATTTACGTTATCAAATGTAAGCATGCGAAATAAGTTTGGTCGGATTCGGCAGTAATTTATGCAGAACACAGCGAAGCTGTTTAGGGCAGAGAGCAAAGTCTGTCGACGAGTGAGACCTTTTCCGCGGGGCAGTAAAATAACTCAACCGATGTATTATCTGTTGAAAGGAAGAACTTGACAAAGACTGGGTTAATTAACAGAACGCCCATGAAAATAACAGCGAAAAAATTGGTACGGAGTAAAACTGTTATGTTAAATGACTGCAGTCTCGTAATAGCTTGCGATTGACTGTGTCAGTTCCTTACAAGAGAAAGCAGGGAAATGCAAGAAGCGAAATAAAAGTAGGTGAGTAGCAAACTATTGGTGTTCACTGTATAAGAAAAGATATAAAAAGGTTTGTAGTTACGCTTTTGCAATACAGCAGTGTGCTGTTAAAGCAAGAGGAGGAGGAGGAGGTTAGAAACGGGTTACCAGCAAGGACCTACTCAAATCAACATTGTAATCAAACGAACAAACCGGATGCTTTCTTTTCGATTTTAAACAGAAATGATCCTCTACCCTGCTGTTTCGAAGAAAAACGTTATCACGTACAACATGAATAATGACACTTCTGACATTGTATCTTTAAAATGAACAGTGCATGCGGAGAATGTTTGACGAGCAACACTCTATAAAATTAAGCTTGTGCAGATCGCGACCAGCAGACGCTTCGTAATCACTCCAGGGCGTTCAAAGGCAAGATATGTTTCACCCTGAGGTGATCCATATCACTTTTTTTTTCATGAAAATCCGCTTGTATACCTAATGATACAGACTATATCATTCGTGACGCTGAACAACTTCCGAAAAGTTAAGCCCCACGATGATAAATTAGGTTTGATTACCATACACCAGATCATCTATCCGTCACTTCTAATCATGCCTATCTGATCATGAAGGGATTTTTCTAAAGCTCCTCTGCGGTTCCACTATGCACAGCTATCGTTATTTACTCAGCTCATGCATGGGACCATAAATTCTGGGAAAATGGAGAGCGGATGTATGCCTGTTTTTTCTTTATGTCAAAGCCTTTAATCCGCTAGTTATTAATCCACGCTGTTAGTGTTTAGACTTGAAAAACAGCCTAAGCATCTTAAGCAGCTTTTAATGAGTGTAAAATTGAAAGAATGCAGACAACCTCAAATTAGTTGGCAGCCAGCGATATGTGGCTTCAAATGCTTTCCTACCAAATCCTTTTTTCTTTATTAAGAATAATAACATTACTCGGCACGAACATTTTATCATGCACGCAAAGACGGTTTTTCTTTATACCTTCATCTTGCAGTAAAAACAAGTACTCCTCAGACTGTTTCTCGGAACTTATCTACACGAGACAGTAAATGACTACATATATCCCTCTCCTTGAAAATTCAATTCTGTCTCAGATCCAAATGTCTGTTAATTTTCCAAGCAGTCTTAGAACAATGCCGTAATTGAAGTCGAGGTAAAAGTCAAATTAAGGCCATGAGTTTCGTTTCATGCTTAAATTGTTTGAGCTATTTCATAATAGAAAGGCTGATTCAAAATACAAGAAAAAAAAATTGTTTACACGTAACATACAAGACTGTCATTGAGTGTATCCAGACCTCCTGGGCATAAGACACCGAAGACGCTTTAACTTAGGGTCTAAAAATAAGAAACAGCTAAATAAAAGTAGGAAAATGAGGGAAAACCCGCAACTGTACAAGACAGTATTGTATTCATGCGTGGGATAAAGAGTTTGGAACATTATTTAGTACGCCTCATATTTCATAACTACTTTGGGCATGTCTTTTCAGCAACATCTAACGACTACCGCCCGAGTGTTTAAGTGACTCTATCATTATTTACCGCCTTTGTTTGCTCCAATTTATTACGCCCCACCGTTCAAAACTACTTTAGGCATACCTTTTCAGCTACATCTAACGACTACCGCTCGAGGATTTAAGTGACTCTATCATTAAATACCGCCAGTGTCTGTTAAAATTGTCCGAATTTAGCAGTATGCGTGGGTCGAGCAAAACATATTAGTAAACTGGTTTCATACTCAGCATTCAAGAAATAAATTTGGGGGATTTTGCGTTATACAATTCTTTGCCCCCTTAGAATTTGCTCCAAAATTTTGTGTGTTTACGATCGCGGGTCATGTAAAACATAATTTCAATGAATTTAATTTAAGGAGTACTGTTAAGAGATTTAAGTTATTCGGTCACTGTTAGTCCAGAATTTGCTCCAAAAATTGTCTCTTTCCATTTACACTGAAGGGTCGAGAAAAACATTTTGACAAACAGACACAGGTAACACTATGGTGTACTGCGGTCAGTGGACCTTTGGTTGTAACGCTGATTATTTCATTTTAAGGTAGCTGAATTCCTTGCTACTGGGTCGAGCACATTACATTGCGAAAACTGTCTTTGTCGCTTTCTCTGACTTGCTTCAAGCAACGGTCGCGCGGGAAACGCATTCCGTGAGTTAACGAAAACTGGCGGAGATCTCAGCTTAGCAGACAATGTAAACAACACATTTTAGATTAACTTTTTTCTACTGTTCCATCATTAGTTACCGTAGTGCTCTAACAGTCCAGGAGCTTGCGCAGGCTTACGTAGATGCACAAAAATGAAAACTTCCTGCAATGAATGTCTAGCAAAAAGCCACAAGATTGAAAAGCCATCGCTGACAGCGAGCAAGGAAGACGTGAAAAGGAGGTGAAATGTTGAGCTGATCAAGATCAGACGAGAAAACGAAAAAAAGGCAGTGGGCAAGCTATTGTTTGAATTGAATCAGGAAACACTAGATGTCGCCCACAAAACTATCGCATGGAAACTAAGACCCATGATGCAGAGGGTAAGACCAAAGCTGATGCGCTGCCAAGGATGCACAACAGGAACGAAAAGAAAAATAAGCGGAGGCAGTGGGCAGTCGGCAGACGAGTTCCAAGAATTAAAAAGGAGACACAACACTTATTAGACCGTCAAGGAACAACGTGGCTTGAGACGCCAAAAAAAAAAACAAACAAACAATAAACGAGCTTTGTAGACTGGAGTATTAGACAAAGGCATCTGCTGTTGCCTGTTATATTAAGAAGGTAGAAGAAGGCGTCTCGCCAGTGTTTGCTCCAATTAATTACGCCCCACAGTTCAAAACTACTGTAGGCATGTCTTTTCAGCTACATCTGACGACTACCGCCCGAGGATTTAAGTGACTCTATCATTAATTACCGCCAGTGTTTGTTAAAATTGCCCAAATTTAAAAACTGTCTCGCCCAAGATTCGTTTATAAATCGACAGTTCAATTGTAACCTGTAAATTTTCAGGCTGGGCTCAAATGCATCGATTAATGGGTAGTTTTGCAACCAGTGTGGAAAAGACCAGGCCAAAACTAAGCTCAGAGAAATACACACACATATAACTGACTCAAATAGCAGACGGACAAATCCTGCTGCATTGCGACCTCTCCATGGATGACAAGGATTAGTGCTAACCTTTGCTGTTGTCCGGCAGGATGTACTTTTGGACCCAAAGCGAGTTACTCAGAACTTGGTAATTCATAAGATTCATAATGTTGTGCAAAACTTCTCAAAGTTCCAAGATTTCAACAAATGGAGGCTAGCCTGAAATGTTTACTTCTCCACTGACTCACAACTTGAACTATCACCCATCCCAGACAAACGTTTGTAAGTAATTGGAATACAAATTTGAATTCTCACATATCTGACTTTTGTCACATACAAAGTTGGCAAGTTTTGTTCGCTGCACATTTACCTTCCTTAACCGTGCACAATGAGCTCTAAACACTTTCTTTTATGTCATAAAAATTTCTATCTTACTTTTACTGAAAAACTGTACTTCCTACAAAATTTTCTCAAAGCTGTATCGTTGAATTCACAAGAATTTAAGGGAATGTAATTTCTTGATGTGCAATGCAAAAACAACAAACACGTCAGGATTTCTCAATCGTGCACATGCTCAAGGGCCTTAGAGTGATAAAGCATTGATAAATGTGTTACGTATGTGTATTTTGTTTAAGTTTGAGTGAGGTTCTTCTCATCTGTTTTTAATTTGCTTTTCGCCATATCCCCTCTATTTTTTCCCTTGTGGAAGTTTCATGCTGAATTGCCAGACATACCAAGATAACGTTGGCTCTGGTCTTTCAAAATACACGTAGCCAGCAAAGGTCCCAAAAAAAAAGCACACGGTATTCCATGGAAAAGTACTTAGATATACCAAGTTTGTCAGTATGGTTCATCTATCTTAATTCTTCATTCTGCCTGAAGCAAACCCCCAAGCCACAACTCAAAGGCTCAATTGACAAACTTTTTACAACAAAAAATGCAGACTCCACTCCCAGCTAGCCAGGTGAGGCTTTTAAACTGTTTGTTCCTCCTCAAAATAACCGAACAACATAAATAAAAAAGAAGAAATGAAACATTCTTGACAAACTGTCACTTTTGCACTTGGTGACGCCAAACACGAACAACAAACAAAGGAAAACTCCCCTAGGGAGTCAGGGATTGACACCAGCCCTTAAATAAATCATTTTTTTTAACCAAAACTCCCAAAGGGAGACGAGTGTCACAAAGTTTACATCACTAGCTGCAGTCTCTAAATAATAAACTGGTCTGCCCACTACTTGTTAAGAATGTTACTCTCACTCAGTCTCCTGTGATTCCTATAAGGTCTGACCAACTGGGAAAGAGTGGGAAAGAAGTGATGATAAATTAAAAGCTATGAAAGGAGTGATCATCTGCCAAACTCTGGCTGGTTAGAACAAAATGAACAAAGATGCAAAAATAAATGTCTTTTAATAGTTACCATATGGGCAGAAGCAAAGTATGGCAGGTGAAAGATTGTGCAATTGTCTCCTCTGTCTGTCTCCATTAAATACTTTCAACCCCTCATCACTGATTACTGTTCACACTTAACCAAGTTATGTGACTGCTTTTAGCAAGACCAAGATTATGAAATGAGGACCATCTTTGTGCTAGCTGTTAAATTCAGCTGTAATTCGTAGCTCCCCAGCTCACTAATATGAATTTAACTAACACATGATCCAAACTTAAAGCTATTTTTGTTCAAAGGGGAACTAATTCAGTTAATTTACTACCAACCCAAAAGTACATTTATCTCATGACAGTCTTCCCACTTCTTTCATCTCAATTCTAATAATGTACTCACATTCATGAAAATATCTTGTGCGTAATTGTCTGTATCTGAGTCCCACAAGCATCTACATGCTACCCTGAAGATTTAATTTTCACACATGCTATTATACAATTGTTCCATTGGTGTATATTTTGGATGTGAGATGATAGATAACCAACAAGTTCCTGCTTTGATCAACACATATCCAACAAGCATGATTGGAATAATTTTTAATTTAAAACACCCCAAAATGTGGATAAATCTTTCCAACTTTATTTTGTAAGTACTGCATAAACTGACCATATTTGTAAAGTATGGTACAGTGGCTCATAACCCATGATGGCTGAGCCAATGAAAACCCTTGAATTGCATAATCCAATGATCCAGTTTTAATAATACAAGAAAGATCATAATAGCTGTCATTTAACTATTTTTATAATAGCAAATGGTTTGCATTGTCAAATTTAAATGTAAAGTGCACTTTTGTATGTTCAATGCTGTGTCCATGTCTGGACTCTATTGTTGTTTGTCTCAGAACGTTTTGTCTGACAAGCTCAGAAAATTATAACTTGAATTGATTCCAAACCCTTGAATTCTAGCTAACAGCTAAAACAAATTATTTTGAAAGTAACCAACATATGCAATGCAGACAGTTAACAGTATAGACTGAACAAGATTTGTGGTCTATTTCAGATTTTGATCAGAGTACAAGTACAGCACTTCAAGTTGCCAGCACTTGGTTGACCCTTTGACTCTCAAAGTGATTAACACATAGTTTATCTCAACAATATTCACACATCATCCCGCGAAAATGTGATGAGAATACTCAGACTTATCAAGTAGAAATTGCTATGTTGATCTAACACCAAATTCCTGTGACTGATTTATAAGGAAATGTGTGGCAATTACATGTAGAGGGAAGAATTAACAACCTGATCTTGGGAGTTAAAGGGTTAATTTCAAAAACATTTCAACAGCTAAAACTGCAGCAAAAGTTGCCATTTTGACAATATCTTCTTGGCAATCAATTAACAAGCTGCAATGGTTTTATTACATAAAGTTGTAGAATTAATGGTTCTAAGTTGAAATCAATTCTCTTTCATTCTCTTGTAAAAAAAAAACCTATTTCTTTTCTCTTCAGATGTCTATTAAGTATTAGGCCTCGATATACACATATCTTGTGAGTCTCCAAACTTAATTGCCAGCTATACTGCTTCTTGCAAAGCCAGATGATGCAGCCTGAAGCTTAGTACATCATGTAATATTGCATTAAGCATTCTCTATTTCCTTGCAAATAACAGATAATGTCCAAGGACAAATATATGAGCATGTTTTGATGGAGGCTATTGAGTTTAAATGTTTACAAACAGCTTAGCATTTACTGTATGGAAAGTTCACTTTCCAGTGTTCTTTGATACCACTTACAGAACAAACAAAATATACCCCTTCTCCTGCAGCAGCAGGAAAATGCTCTTTCATCTCGAGGTTTATTTTTTTGAACAAAACCTTTTGTCATGATATTAGACATCAGGTTTGAAAATTGGAGAACATCACAGGATATCCACCAGCTTTAGCAGGTACATGACACATGTAGACCAATTGTGCACATGCAAAAATATTTCATGGATTATAATTGTTGATAATTACCCCAGTATTAGCTAGGGCTAATATTTAGTCACATGATGTATTTAAACCAATTATACACAAGTGAAAATATATGATAGGTTGTAAGGATAAATATGAAGTTTGTCCAAAAGAACTCATTATCCAACATGTTTCTCCCTGAATCACAAATTAGCATCTGACAGGATAATTTACATAAAACTGCGAACAAAAATTAAATTTTTTCAAGACTTACTTCACTCCTTCTCCTCTTTGTTCACCAATGACAACTTGGACAATAAATTTGTATCTGTCCAAATCCAGTTCTGCAATAAAATGAAGAGAAAAAAATGGAAAATGAAGAAATTTGAAAGTTGGCCATAAAATTAAAGTACAAGGTGTAATAAATTAAAGGTTATCCTCTAGTTTTTACAATTTTGTATACATTCAATTGCAAAGACATTAACACCTAAAAAGCATGATCCATGAACATTAAGACCCTACAACTTCACGAAAAATGTTCAAACTAAGATATAATCAGTGATCTGCTTTTATTTCTAATTATTTATGGCAAATCAATGCTAATCAATTTTTTTCAGAAAACCTTGGATGGTTCCCATTATCCACTGTGTAAAACAAATGGTGGTCATCAAGTAGACCTGGGCCCAATTGTTCACAAGGCAGATAATGCTATCCACAGGATAAGTCGCTACCCAGCAGATGAGTGTTAACAAAACATGTTGTGCTATCCAACAGATAGAGATTTATCCAGTGGATGGTGTTATACACTCTTCGAAACAACCAGAGCCAGACCTATAAAGCTGAAAGGTCTCATTGTTTATTTTAAACCTTTCTTAGATGTAAAAGTTCTCAGTGTACTCCTTTTCAAGCGTTAACCAGTAAAATTTACTGCTGATTGTAATCACCTAAAATTCCTTGGAAATCTTGAAAATTGAATAGGTAAAGGGATTACTCCACTAGTTTGACTTTTTTTTAAAATGTTGTGCTTAAAATAAGGTAGAACACAGCGTTTTTGCAATTGATGCATAGAACTCTAAGCTAAAGTTGTTTTAAAGTCACCATGTGGCAATCTAAAATTGTCATATGGTCCATGGTAATAAAGGAATTTTAGGCCCCAGAGGAAAAAAATTTAAAACAAAACAACATTTGAAAAGGACAATTTTCAACCAAATACATACTGCAACATCTACAATGTAAATATTTGTTTCACTTCAACTTCACAAAAACAATAAACTGATAAGAATGATACAAAATCTTATTAGTCAAGAGCATTAAATCAATATACAATACAAAGTGTGAAGTTCACATGATAAATGTGTTATCTTCAGGGCATATTGCATTTATCATGTCAAGTTCAAAGTCTGCCTAGTTTTGTAGACCATTGTTTGTGAAGTGGCCTCCAACTTTTGCAAACTTAGAGAGAGAAACTAAAAATGGCTGAGTGCTTTTAAAAAAAACTGTTATAAAACAACTATCGAATTCAGTTTTTGCATGATATTATGAATTATCAAACCTAGTATCTAATTTATCATGCTCAACCTTATCAAATAATTGCTTATTTGCAGGCTACCGTCACATATTTTAATGTACTTATACCGTTTGATGTTAGTATAGTTAGCTTTACCATTAACTTTGTAAGAGGCAAAGCATTGTTGCTACTGCTAGTAAAAATGTTAGAACTGTAAATTTTGTGTTGAAAGTGATGTTACTACTGTCACTTCTGTTGGTAATTTGTTACTAAACTATGTTCATATTGTCACAAATGCTAGTATTGTAAGTAATGGTGTACTGTAAACAATGTCATTATTGTGAATAAATGAAACAAAGTTGCTGAAACATATTTCTACTAGCCCTGGAAATCAGAGTAGTCGGAGCTTGGAGAACAGGCACAAAAAACAGATCAAAAGTCAGCTGTTAGACATTGTTGTAAATGTCAGATGCATTTTATCGTATTTTCATGCATTGTAGAAAATAAAGTTGCTGTCAGTGATAGATTCGGGTTTCAAAGCGTAACGATCTATTGCTCACTCATGAATTATGGAAAGAGCAGATTTTCAAAACTCCAAAACTTACCTTTCAGTTTTTCTTTCACTGTCTCAGAGATGTGTTTACACCATGCAGTCGCCTCCTCTGAGCTGTATTTTTTGCCCGAAAGTTCCTCATTCAAAACATCATGAATGATTGCTTTTACAGAAGCAGGACGGAACCTGATCACAGCATAAAACAAAGAAATTTCGGGCCAAGACGAAGAGACACCAATTTAAATATATACACATTCGAAGAGAAGATAAATTTTAGTCAAATCGCTCGGAATAAAGTCTAAATGAAGACTGAAATTTCTTACTTGTGCTTGAAATTAGGTCGTATATTATAGGAATTGGACAGGTCTTCAGGCATCTTTCTGTTTTCATGAAACTAAAGAAGTCATGGAGGGTAAATGCGAAAGAGTTGCAACGATAACCTTTTTAAAAGTACTTCAAAAATGGCGGCGAGCAAGAGCAAATCTTAATCACCTTGACAACGAAGGAAAATAATACTTGTACCCAGGAATAAGGGGTTCGCTCTGGCTCGGTCAGGCCATATGTAATCATGAGAGAAGGGGAGGATGATTTTTAGACTTTTTAGATTAAAAGAGTGGATGTGTATCCCGTATGAGAAAGATTCCGTCTGATAAAATGGAGCACCTTGTTATGAATATGAGCAAAGGCAAATGCATATTGCGCGAGGCAAATTTCTCGATAAGAAAATGATGCCAGATACAGATAGACCTCACCGCCTTAGTTTTACCTTAACGCGAACACGCATTTTGTATGGAGAAGAAGGGAGCAGAGGGAAAGGTGAGTGGCAATATTACCTTTAGCTTCATGCTATTTTAACTTTAGAGTAACAATGCTTCTTGTCCCCTTTCCCCACCCCGTCCCCGGGCGGGGTAAGAAGGGGTATCAGCTCCACTGAGCCCGAAAGCCACCAACCAAAACACGTTAGATTTCAATTGCATGTTTATGTTTTGGTATCAAATGTCTTTAAATACAATTTAAAACCCTACCATAAAACTTGATAATTTGTTCTTTTAATATAAATCGGCCACCGTTAGGCCTGTCCCGATTGTGCTATGCAACTTTTGAGTAACTTTTGGCGTTTGGAAAAACTTTTTGAAGTTCCAGCAACTTTGAGGAGTTTTTGTCTTTCCAAGAAATTTTCAATCAAGCACGAAAAAGTCAACGATTTCATAGAAAACTTCAAGAAACATGTGGGTTTGGACTCTGAAATCAATCAGTAGAGCTAGTTTCGTTCAAGTTCCCTCATTATTCGGCAAGACGTGAAATTAACCACGTTTTTTTTCAAATTTCGCCCATATTTGCGAGCAAATCTTGAAGCTAAGTTTCCAGCTGTTTTTTTTTTTTAACCAATGCTATCATTTATTGTGAAGAACGAAGATAAAGCTTTTAATTAACGTTTACATGAAAATATAGAGAAATTTAGGTGACAGCCTTTGAAATTCAGTTGGAAACTTTTTGGATTTTGGCAATTTTTAGCATCTTCGTAGCAGTCCAGTGAGCAACTTTCCAGCATTTTACGAGCACTACGCTATCCGTTAGATATTTCTCTACTTGGTGGATAGCGCTGAATAGCGATTTTTTCGTTGGATAGGGTTTTCCACTTCTCAAACAAGCGGGCCTGATTGGTGAGAGGCATTATGGGAATGGTGTGTTTTACCAAGAACTCAATCATATGACACGGCTAAGCTTTGAACCCAGACCCCCTGACCCAAATTCCAGAGCATTAAAAGAATCACCCACACAGAAATGAATGCAAAAGAAAAAGAGGTTTATTGTGTTTAGAATGGCAAATTAAATTTCTTCACAGTTTCTTTAATTTGATATTCTACAGTCAAATCTACAAATTGTAATCTCAACTCAAATACAGTGAGGGACTTAGACGTTCAAAACACAGCAGAATTGCAGCCTGCCACACAATCATACAACTCAAACTGTCTTTTCTCTGTTCTCACTTTCTATCCTCTTTGCACGCGGTAGGTTCATATTCGCAGCGTCCATAATTATCAAGTCCATATACTCCAGATAGTCCACAGGGGTGTTTCCCTTAGATACCCTTTTGCCGCCGTTCTTCCCCGCGTTTGGGTGACGTTCCCATTTTGTTGGTTCGTTCGAGCTTCGCCCAGGAGGGTGTTGCAAAACATTAGGGTTTGCAATAATTGTTTCACTGATTCTTCCGCCTGCTTCATCCTCTTCCTTCTGACGTGCCCTGAGAGAAATATCACAAGTTCAGCATCTGTAACTATTACCACCTACCTCTAGTATAGCAAAGTGGGCAAGGATCTTTTTTTTTCTTTTAATTAATTCCAGGTTTAAAAAATGGCAGATACTGTCGCTCTATGAAAATAAAGGCTGCGACAAAGAGAAATAACGCTTTTTTCCCGGGCTTCTCGTGACTGAGCGCTTCAAAGTTCCTACTTTACCTCTTGCTACGCAAGCTCACAAAAATAAACTTACTTTCTCATTTTCTGCATTCTGATGACGACGATAGAGATCATTAGAATCGCTAAAAATAGGAACAGCACAGAGAAACAAAGAAACCCAATGGCCACATACAGAACTGCAATGAGGGAAAAAAAATTAATCAGTTGACATCGACTACAAGTCGTAAACAAATTTTCGTCGTTTTCCGAGAGCGTTCTAAAATCCTCCCAAGAAGGTTTAGGTGCGTGGGCTCATTTTTCGACCATAAGCTGGTTATCGATCCCATGCTCCAAGAGAGTTCTAATTCTCAATGACTCAAAATTCCGCTACAACGCGAAGTAAAATCTGATTCAAACCAAAATTGACTAGGTGCGAAGTTCAGAGAGAATCAATTTTGGTCAGAGAAGATACGATACTCAGTCAATTTATCAGGAGCAAAACTAGTCTCCAGACTAATCTTGATTGTGTCCAGAACTTTCCACCAAAGATGTGGAGTGGGGAGGGGAGGGAGGGTGGAGTCTTCATAATGGTCACATCAGTTATGCCAGTTGGTTTTTGGTGTAACATGTTTGGTGTTGGTGTAATATCACAAATTTTCCTCACGAAGACATAGGTCATAAGCACCTCCTCCCTTTCTTAACTACGCCATTGATTACAGATAATGACGATGGTAAATCATAATAAATGCAAATCATGAGTGTGTAAGTTATGTGTGTAATGTTAGTTAAGTAAAGAAATACAAGAGCTGGCACTTTCATTCAGTTAGCGTTCACTGAAAGAGGTGATGGTTGCAATTTGTACTCGTGGTAAAACTTACGTAGTTTATCATCATTCAGCAAGTCGTCCAGCTTGTTGCCATATGTCAGCCCTAAAGAAAAAAGGTGTTTTTAAAAATTCGTGAGTGACAGAGGGACCAATTTTTTTTCGCCTGAAAGGAAAGAGAGGGAGGGGGATGGGCTGGGGTCCAAAATTGATTGACAAAGTCCGACCCCCTCTCCCCTCCCCCAATACTGTTATATCTTATATTTTATATTTTACTATATATTAGTATTTCATTAGTTTTAAAATGCAAAGGATCTGTCTAATGACTCAGTTTTCTTTGATCACGGGTAAATTAAAACCTAAAGCCAGAGGTATTTTTTTAGTGACGACTGATCCCCCGTAAAATTTATGAGAAGTGTAAAAATGCGAATTTTTTAAACAAAAATTAGATAATGGTAATATAAACAAAATCAGGAAAAACAAAGAGATACTATCAAAAAATGATTTAATGAGCGATTGGTTAGTATGAACGAAAACAAAGTGTAAACATTAATTAATATTCGATGCCATTACGATATGAATATATTGTTTTAAAGCTGTGAAGAGTCAAGGCAGGAGGTTTTGTTGTGCAATTACCTAGCTCATCAGTGTAGAGTTATCAAATGCCATTCAAGAAATTTCTCGTACCAACAGCGTCTGAATTGTTACCAAAAGCGTTGACTGATTCAAATGCTACCTAGCTGGTAATGACGTGACATAATGCAAGCGGTCGATCATTCATAGTAATTATAACAATAGATCTCTCAAATTGCTTCGTCTTTTTGAATTTTACTTTCTCTAGAAATAATGTTCCTTTTATTGCAATTTAAGATATTCCTGGTTTCGAACAGACTGTCTAAAATTTTAATAATTGTTTGATATTGAGTATATTTTGTGAATGATATCGGGTTGATTTAAATCATCATTTCATTTTTGCGATTTGCTTTTTAGAACGATTTCCGAATTACAATAACTTAAACTGTTCATGTCTTGTTAATTGATGACTTTCAAAATTGTAAGCCACTCCTACTATAAAAGAAATTTTTAAAATAAACCTTATCGGCCTTTCTTTAAGACGCTTGCAGCTATATCTAGTACAATTAATGTAGCAAAACACTTCAAAGAAGGGTAACTTACCTGTGAATGCCAATATGACAAAAATCTTCAAAACAACTGAGCGATTTCTGGAAGCGTTATCCATTGGGATTGAAAAACTGGCAAATGGTTTGTTTATACCAAAATCTTCCACCTCTGTCGACGAATGAGATTTTTAAATCCTGTAATGACGAGAGCAAACCACAATAGCGGGACTTCTCTTGATAAAATAAAACTGGCGTCGCAAAAATGAGTTCCTTGGTATGGAGTTTCAGTATATAAGTTCAGCAGCTAACGGAACGAAAGCAGGTAAGTGTTTCGCTATCTTGGACTTCTTGAAGCACCTTTGCGTTGTTCAATTTGATTATATAGCACTTTACCTTCTTGTAATTATCCTATCTTATGAGAAATATGTTGTCCTTGCTGCGTTAAATGTATCCGCTCTCTGTCACTAATATTCATTAAACATAGCACATGATCATTCAAGCATGCATATCGAGCTATCTCTAATATACAATTCCAGTCTCTCTCAGTTTTGAAGCATTTCGACGGACAAAGCCAGAGTTGTCGGTGCTGCAATAACGTGCATTTACATAGTTTATAATTATCACCCAGTCAGTGTTAATTTGCTTGGTTTTAGGGAAACATTTAAAACTCTATTTATTGTCTTAGGGGGTCAGAGGAACGTGGTTGTGTCGCTTTGTGTACCCTTGTATTGCAGCTCAATGGAAATCATTAGTAGCCTGTAATGTAAATTAAACTTCAACAATGGCGTTTACTGGGAGATTTTTTCCAAGTATAGTTATCATAATTTAAGCAAAATCTTGGCGGAGTCAATACAAAGCCAAAGTGGTGGATATTTCTCTTGTATGACACAAGGTGTCACTCTCCAGAACCGGAAGAAGTGCCTTCGTCTTTATCAATAATGGCTTCTTGTTTGCGCACCGGAAACTTGGTAAATTTGAACTTCGTTTCGCTCTTTTTGCGTGGATTCTGAAATAAGAGTATACATTATAAGTTCCTGTGCGTTACGAATCGGTTTACTATTGTAGAGAGCTATCTAAACTAATGATGTCTCCCATTAAAGAAGACTTTATGAATCAGTGTATTATTGTGGAGAGTGATCTAAACTAATGATACCTCCCATTGAAGGAGAATTTCTGAATCAGTGTACTATTGTAGATAGTTTAGAGAGTTATCTAAACTAATGGTACCTCCCGTTTAAGAAGACTTTCTGAAAAAATGACCAGGTTCAAATGAAACAGATTCAAGGAAGGCACTCTTTTGACTGGCTTCAGGGAGAACGCCGCTGATCGGGTATGATTGACGGGGCCGTACGTCTGACAGACTTAAAAAAACTACACGATTTCGCCGTTTGAGCTGAGTGTCCATCTGAACTGAAAGCCTTTAATGAGATGTGAGAGTTAGCGATATGCAGATTACATGTGTGTTACAAGCAAGTTTTGAATAGACGTTGCTGAATGATGCCGAAATAGCACAACACGTGACGAGGTTTATTTAAAGAAATGTAAGGAAATAGGGGTATTTTTCTTTCAACAGAATCACAGTTTGGAGGCTTCAAAAGTACGTTTCAACCCAAAACCTCTGACAGTTTTCTTACTTCTTCTCTGAGGAGCTCTCAAGTTGCTTTCAGTTATGCTACATTTGAACGAAAATGGCACTTTCTTGAAAACCCTGTTCTGTTGAGTTTTGCAACATTCATTCGTACTTCAAGTTTATATTAAATCAACTACGCTGTTGCCTCTTATTCTTTCAAACATCTTACCAAAGATTTTCCTGGAATGGACGACGTTTGTTCTCGTTGCCTCACTCTCATGCTATCCACGCAAATCGGCCCAGACACTGTGCCACTGGCTCCATGTAAGTTTACCTCATATACTGCACGACTGCTGCTTATCCTGACAAGATACGGTTAATTATTTACTAAAAGTAAGTAGAAGTAAGTAGAAAACTCACTGAATTCATTGCACGAGGATCATAAGATCCTCTCTTTATTTACTGTCTATTAAGGAATAGATAGCGAGGAGTGTAGCCAATCAGATTGCAGCATTTGTGATGGAACACAAGTAAATTTGTATTAATAGTGGTTATTCCCAAAAGAGGTACAATGTATCATATTAATGAAATATAAATGCGATTTTCTGTTTCAGTAGTAAGAGGTTTTGTACGCAGATAGCAACGGCAAAAATTGAACTTCTTGTTATTTACCGTTGGATGCTTCTACACTCATATGAAAGAGAAAATTGCTTTTACCGTAGATGAGAGTCTATTTATAATTAGTAATTTACTCTTTCAAGAATGACTGAACAAGCTGAGAGTCAATTATTGCCCGTTTCTTATTTTTCTTCAAATAATTTCTTCCATCTGCTACGATGTGAATCTTGTAAAATGGATCAAAGCTTACTTTTTCATAATTTTGTCGAGTTTTTTTGCTTGACACTGAAAGACGTCTCGCTATAAAGTTGACCGGATTTGTTCCAAGTTATTTAATATACACTACTGCTTCGAAGTCTAAGATGGCATATCCCAAAGGCCTTCACGCCACTGCTCCTGGTCTGTGCGTGGTCAACAGTTGATCTGAAAACGTTTACGGAAGATGAATTAAAGTTTTTGAGAGAATTATTTGAAATGAGTTATTGATTTGTTTCCTAAATTTACTGCATCATGCAAACAACATGATCGTTAAGTAAGTTGAACTATGCAGCTGCTGAATGTGTTAATCACATGTCTGCAAATTGCCTCTGGTGCGAAGGAATATCTCAAACAAACTTTGAGTTTAGAACATTTGCTGGTGAGCTATTTTGAGATATTATCGCTGTTATGAGGACAATTTGTTGTTCACTTTGAAATTAGGGTAATTTTCGGTAACTAGTGGTGGGTACCTTTGAAAGAGAGAGTACTGATTAGTGAGTGTTTTACTGATTGCTGCATTTAGAGAACATAAGGGATCAGTGGAGGTTTCTGAGAGAATAATCGGAAATGGTAAACTAATTTGTGTCCAAAGCTGACATGGAAACTTCATCGTCAGTGATGTAGAGCTATTATGCTGTATGTATCACGTCTTGGAATTGCCTTTTGTATGGAAGAATACATCGATCCAACAACCATTAAGTTTCAAGACATTTGCTTTAAGGAATGTTTCAAAGGTACTATCGCTATTATGAGAGGAAAATCTGGTCCAACTTGAAGTCAGAGTAGCCCTCAGATATTGTAAGCGGTGGATAATTTTAAACAGGAGACAATTCTGGAAATGTTCCATTTCAATTTGGCGAAAACCCTGTTTATTGCTTGAAGACCAAATTCCTTCGTAGTTCAGCGAAAAAGAAAAGCAACAAAGACATTCTTGTTTTACAATCACTATCGCGATGAAATTCGACAAGCCGACGGTAATAAACGATTGTGCAGACTTACCATCAAAATGAGGACTCAGGAAGTTTAAGCTGTTTCCTATCGATGAACAGTAGAATCAATTGCTTGTAAGTAATGCTTCTTTACTTTACAGGCCTGGTTTTTTTTGTCAGGCCTTATTTTCAGTAATGTTCATTTCTTAAACCGCTGTTTACATATACGATTATCATATAGTCACAATTATTGATTATGCTTAAGGAAGCCAATGGACTAATAAGAGTATTATTAATAGCCAGGATTCTGAGTGTGGGAAATCTCCCACTTGACTGGAGAAGCTATTTTACATCCAAAATTACATGTTTTGTTTTTTCAGTTGAACCGGAAAATGCTAAGTGGATATTGCCTAGAAACCCTCAAAGTTTTCGATGTAGGGTGGCAGGAAATCTCGGCGTGTTTCACACACTTGATGAAAAGTGAGCAGTTTCAGTGCTCTTAAAATGTGCTGTATAACAAACAATTTAATTTTGTCAACTAAGTTGATAAAGTAAATAAAGTAAAGAGTTACTACTTTTACTGTTCATCTTTTTCACTTTATCTGTCAATTTTTTTATTCTTACTATTTTGTTTTCTTTTACTGAAGCAGCACGTAAGTGACGATTCGGTTGTATGTAGTTGAACGAAAATGAATTTTATCTTTCTTTTGTGCAGACGAAGACTTGCACTGGTAACGTATTATCTGTACGGCATCAGTAATGAGGATGAGCTATTTCTTAAATTAAGTTTTGCTTGAATACGATAATTCCATTAAAAGAATAGTCGACCTTTTTTACTATTTCATTGCGAAAGTTTTCTTTATTTTTTTTTCTCTTTCCGCGAAGTGTGTATTTACATCCTCTCTTTATCTAACATCAGCGATGTTCTGCTTCTGAAGAGAAAGTCAGAAAGATTTTAGTGGAAAGTTCGTCACAAAACTAGCATCTAACTATATTCACCACGAGCAATAACCACACAGTAGATAACATTGTTATCTGGCTCGTTTCCCTGAATGTGAGGAGTCGTCAGTTTTTAATAATTAAGTCATCAGGTGATGAAAAGCGAGTGATGTTAGCAATTAGCTGTTCATGTTTGTGAAGAACAGATCAAAAGAGTACGCCCTTGTTATGTAGAATCGATGGTTCATGCTTTGACCGCCTTGTAGGTTGGGAACAACAAGGATGATTCACAAAGAGAATTGCAGGAATCATACTCAGAAAATAGTTCCATTTTTTCTGAGTTAATTCAGTAAGTCAACTCAACACAATTCATCCGAAAAAGCATGTTTCAATTGTCCTGCATTGCAGTTACCTCAATTTTTAACACAAGCTTAATTGTCTGATCGTGTTCTTCACCGCTTTTTTTACCTCTCTTATCCTCCAGCAATAAAGAATCGGGTTTAGAGTTGAATTTAAGCACAGAATTGTTATCGTAGCTCCAAGAAATAATGAACCCCAGGCGGTCGGAGGTATTATTCTGTTTGTTAACAGCATGCCCACTGACATATATGGAAGATAGCAAAAACCTAGCGCAAGCTGCACGCATACTATACTAGAAACCGTCTTCTTGTATCGGGCTATGTTCAGTGAAATTGCTTCTCCATTTCGTGGTTGAGGCTGTGGTTGTGGCACGTGGATCTGTACTTGCTGTTGTTGATGTCGGAGACGGCGATAGATTTTCGCGTAAGAGACTAACGATACTAGTAAGGACAGTAACATCAAGGCAATAAGCATGGAGCGGGCTGTTTCAACGTATCCTGTGCTGTATCTCAATCCAATGACTACACTACTCAGCAACCAAAAACAAAATAGAACTAGTTGGACACGCCTAAATGTGACAATTTGATGATATCGCAGCCCTAAGAGAAGAGCGAGAAGCCTGTCCACACATATTGCGGTCGTTTTCAGGACAGAAACTGTTAGCAAAAAAATACCCATCGATACAGAAACTTGGTATCTGAGGAGATATAGAATTGTATTCATTTCAACTGCCCCTGGTATGAAACTTATTGCCAGAAGAGGCTGGGTAGTAAGTCCAACGGCAAGATCAGTGACTGCCAAACATTGAAACAAAAGTTTTGTTTGAGGTCGAATAGAATTCACCTTACGAAGGGCAAAGAGGATCACGACATTGCCCAGGAATGCGGTGATAGAAAGAGAGAAGTTTAGAGCGGCAAGAAATACTGAAAAACTTGATAAGACCATGATTGAGCGACGATATTATTTTCGACTTAGATGCTGCACATCAAGTAATTGACTCTGTCAATCTATGTCGCGAGTAAACGGAACTCCATTTATCATAAAAAAAAATCGAGACAAAGGAAAAAACCGAAAAGCTTCCGCCAAAAGCTTTTGCTTAACTTCTCAAGGCCATCTTTGTTCAATATCCGTCATAATAGAGAAAGGTTTTGTTCTTAGGCACATTTAGTTTTGGTTTTTCTATGATTGATGCAATCATCTTCAAAGTACTCAGTCTTTACGGTCTTCAGTCGTCATGGGAACACAAAAGGCTATAGAAGCATGTTTCAAGTATTTCATTTAAATTTTCTTTCATTGAGCTCGTCTGTTCCTCTTTACGCGATGGCTTTTTACTAAGGTACTGCTCAAGTGATCATGCAGCATTATTTTAGCCAGTCCTTTGACAAGAATTGTATAGCACTCTTAACCCGGAAAAGGGAAGGTGCCTAATGATCGTGATCAGAATGGTTATTAAGCACCTGCTTTAGAAAGTGAAAAGAGGAGGAGTTTTTAATAAACTTTCTTCCTTTCCATTCAATCGCAAACAAATGACTAATTGATATGAAATTATCTCCCTCAGATAAAGCAGTCAGTTCTACCCTCTTCATTTTGGTCCTTCCTATTAATACGCAAATTATCTTCAACTTCCATTTCATTCGTTACTGATTCTCCGTAAGCTTTAACTTTAATTTCCGTTTGTTTTCTCGAATGTGGTACTTACACTCAGTAAACAAAGCTAGAACTTTATTGAAATTCATAGCATACCCAAAAGCTTTTGAAGCTGTGGGTAAAATATTTGTCGATGTTTCGTGTTTTGTTAATTGATGACCACCAAAATTTTAAGCCATTCCTACTATAAAACAAAGTTTTAAAATAAACCCTTTCGGCCTTTCTTTAAAACGCTTGCAGGTATATCTAGTACGTTGTAGCAAAACACTTCAAAGAAGGGTAACTTACCTGTGAATGGCAATATGACAAAAATCTTCAAAACAACTGAGCCGGGTTGTTCGAAACACGATTAACGTTAGTGCAAACTTTTAATTCAGTTTAATGGCTTTGCAAAGGAATTTTTCTTTTTCTTTTTTTTCTTTTAGTTTCAAGTCATATTGAGAACCCAACAAAACCCCAGCTCTGAAACACGCTCATCTACACGAGAAATAAAAGCAAAGGTTAACTTTTCATCCTAGATTAACGTTAAACCCCTTTCGAACAATCCGGCTCAGAGCGATTCCTGGAAGCGTCATCCATTTGCTTTGAAAAACTGGCAAATGATTTGTTTACACCAAAATCTTCCACCACTGTCGACGAATGAGATTTTTAAATCCTGTAATGATGAGAGCAAACTACAATAGCGGGACTTCTCTAGATAAAATAAAACTGGCTTCGCAAAAATGAGTTCCGTGGTATGGAGTTTCAGTATATAGGTCCAGCAGCTCACGAAACGAAAGTAGGTAAGTGTTTCGCCATCTATGGACTTCTTGAAGCACTTTTGCGTTGTTCAATCTGATTATATAGCACTTTGCCTCGTTGTAATTATCCTATCTTATGAGAAATATGTTGTCTTTGCTTCATTAAATGTATCCGCCTTCTGTCACTAATATTAATCAAACATACCGCGTGATAATTCAAGCATATCGAGCTATCTCTAATATACAATTCCAGTCTCTCTCAGTTTTGAAGCATTTCGAGGGACAAAGCCAGAGTTGTCGGTACTGCAATAGCACGCATTTACATAGTTTATAATTATCACCCAGTCAGTGTTAATTTGCTTGGTTTTAGGGAAACATTTAAAACTTTATTCATCGTCTTAGGGGGTCAGGGGAACGTGGTTGTGTCACAAGACAATTTACCAGACCCCCAAAAGGCTCTGTAGTATTCGCATGAGGCCCCCCCCCCTCAAAAGGCTCTCTAGTATTCTAACGATCTCCTTTCATTGGCACACAATTCCCTATATCCCCTCCCTCCCGCCCTTTGAACTCTTTTAGAGATGACGTATCCCTCCTCTGTGCCCCGTGGACACCATGGTATTCCCCCAAAAATCCTCCAACATCCCTCCCATAGGCGATGCATGTACATAATGAATTGTCGCTAAGATAACTTATAGTCATGCGTACACTAAAACGGCTGACTTTCCAAAAGAATTCCAGTCAATCATAGCTGGAGTTTAAACTCGAACCACATTTCTGCCATTAAAAAGAACACATCGTTTTGTTAGATGACATTCAGTCATATACTTGTAATCATTTCGCACGCTTTGACCAACCATCTCAGCAAGAATACCTATAGATGCTAAACTCTCACCTGAAATATGGATCCAAAAGTCTGTCTATATGTCAACATTTACCAATGAAAAACGAAGCTGACGGTGCTAACATCCATAAAAATAATAGAAGGGGTAAGTTCCTAAAAAAACAGTGGAGTTGCGTCGCGATCCGTAGGAGAGTGTAACAAGGTAATTTAGTATTATCAATTGAGTTGATAAGGTTAATTGGCCACCGTAAAGAGTTTAAAAGCTGACGTTTCGAGCGTTAGCCCTTCGTCAGAGCGATTGGAGGAATTGTGGGTTGTGTGTGTGTGTCTATATGCAGGAAATGGAGCTACACTATTAGTGGGAATATGGTGACTAGAAAACAAGATTGAAATAATATTTTGCTTGTTGAAAGCCGAACGAGAAATAGAAATTAAGCCATGCGCTAAAAAAGTTTTGACTAAGTTTCATGACGTTTTAAAGAAAAAATGAATTCCGGAATGTGATTTCTGATTTCCCAAATGGCATGAAAAATGACATTATCTCATCTTCAGTTCTCAAGTTAGATCATGAGTTCTTTTACATGATCGGCGTGTCTGAGTATCTCGCTAAATACATATATGAATGGAATAAAACCAGCCAAATTGTGATTAGAAAATGGCTATTAAAACAATCTTCGCATTAATGAAAACTACTTAAGCAGTAGTGAAAAGAGGACCTCTAAAAAATCCAGACCTCTCCGTTACCTGTGCAGTGCTCTACCAACTGAGCTAACAAGCCAACTGTAAGATAATTATCATGTTGGTTTGTAATAAACCCATGAAATGATGAATATACGAATATGCGAATATATGAAAATCACGCATCTGTGATCTGCGGTTTAGGAAATGAATATGAAAGCGATGTTCAAGGCAGTAGTGAAAATAAGGCTGGGTTTCAATTCCTTACAGACCTGGTTTTTTTTGTCAGGCCTTATTTTCACTAATGTTCATTTCTTAAACCGCTGTTTACATAGACGATTATCATATATTCACAATCATTGATTATGGTTAAGGAAGCCATGGACTAATAAGAGTATTATTAATAGCCAGGATTCTGAGTGTGGGAAATCTCCCACTTGACTGGAGAAGTTATTTTCCATCCAAAATTACACGTTTTGTTTTTTCAGTTTCAACCGGAAAATGCTAAGTGGATATTGCCTAGAAACCCTCAAAGTTTTCGATGTAGGGTGGCAGGAAATCTCGGCGTGTTTCACACACTTGATGAAAAGTGAGCAGTTTCAGTGCTCTTAAAATGTGCCGCATAACAAACAGTTTAATTTTGTCAACTAAGTTGATAATGTAAATTGGCCTTCATAAAGAGTTTCTACAGCTGATATTTCGAGCGTCAGCTCTTCGTCAGAGCAAAATACGAAGAGAAAACGCTCGCAACGTCAGCTGTAGAAACTATCCACGGTGGCCAATTTACACCATCAACGTACTTAATAAGACCAGAGTATCTTGTAATACTCCTGCCGATTCATCACCACAGTTGAATAAGAAAATTTCCCCTTTATGCATGTGTTTAACAAACAGAACCTTCACTGAAAATAGCTAAGAGATTTGAACGTTTTTACTATCCATTTTTTTATTCTTACTATTTTGTTTTCTTTTACTAAAGCAGCACGTAAGTGACGATTCGGTTGTATGTAGTTGCACGAAAATGAATTTTATCTTTCGTTTGTGCAGACGAAGACTTGCACTGGTAACGTATTTTCTGTGCGGCATCAATAATGAGGATGAGCTATTTCTTAAATTAAGTTTTGCTTGAATATGATAATTCCATTGGTCGACCTTTTTTACTATTTCATTGCGAAAGTTTTCTTTATGTTTTTTCTCTTTTCGCGAAGTGTGTATTTATATCCTCTCTTTATCTAACATCTGCGATGTTTTCCTTCTGAAGAGAAAGTCAGAAGGATTTTAGTGGAAAGTTCGTCACAAAACTAGCGTCTAACTATATTCACCACGAGCAATAACCACATAGTAGATAACATTGTTTTCTGGCTCGTTTCCCTGAATGTGAGGAGTCGTCGGTTTATAATAATTAAGTCATCAGGTGATGAAAGGCGAGTGCTGTTGACAATTAGCTGTTCATGTTTGTGAAGAACAGATCAAAAGAGTACGCCCTTGTTACGTAGAATCTATGGTTCATGTTTTGACCGCTTCGTAGGTTGGGAATAACACGGATGATTCAGAAAGAGAATTGAAAATTGCATTTTTTCTGAGTTAATTCAGTAACTCAACTCAACACAATTCATACGGAAAAGCATGTTTCAGTCGTCCTGCATTGCAGTTACCTCAATAACACCAACTTAATTGTCTGATCGTGCTCTTTACCGCTTGTTTTACCTCTCTTATCCTCCAGCAATAAAGAATCGGGTTTAGAGTTGAATTTAAGCACAGAATTGTTATCGTAGCTCCATGAAATAATGAACCCCAGGCGGTCGGAGGTATTATTCCGTTTGTTCGCAGCATGCCCACTGACACATATGGAAGATAGCAAAAACCTAGCGCTAGCTGCACGTATACTATACTAGAAACCGTCTTCTTGTATCGGGCTATGTTCAGTGAAATTGCTTCTCCATTTCGTGGTTGAGGCTGTGGTTGTGGCACATGGATCTGTACTTGCTGTTGTTGATGTCGGAGACGGCGATAGATCTTCGCGTAAGAGGCTAACGATACTAGTAAGGACAGTAACATCAAGGCAATAAGTATGGAGCGGGCTGTTTCAACGTATCCTGTACTGTATCTCAATCCAATGATTACACTACTCAGCAACCAAAAACAAAATAGAACTAGTCGGACACGCCTGAATGTGACAATTTGAGGATATCGCAGCCCCAGAAGAAGAGCTAGAAGCCTGTCTACACATATTGCGGTCGTTGTCAGGACAGAAACTGTTTGCAAAACAAAACCCATCGGTATAGAAACATGATAGATGTAGAGAATTATTTTCCTTTTAACTGCCCCTAGTATGAAAGTTATTGCCAGAAGAGGCTGGGCAGCAAGTCCAACGGCAAGATCAGTGACTGCCAAACATTGAAACAACAGCTTTGTTTGAGGTCGAATAGAATTCACCTTACGAAGGGCAAAGAGGATCAGGACATTGCCCAGGAATGTGGTGAGAGAAAGAGAGAAGTTTAGAGCGGCAAGAAATACTGAAAAACTTGATAAGACCATGATTGAGCGACGATATTCGTTTTGGCTTAGATGCTGCACATCAAATAACTGACTCTGTCAATCTATGTCGCGAGTAAATGGAACTCCATTAATTGTAAAAAAAAAAAAATCGAGACAAAGGAAAACACTTAAGAGCTTCCGCCAAAAGCTTCTGCTTAACCTGTCAAGGCCATCTTTGTTCAATATCCGTCGTAATAGAGAAAGGTTTTGTTCTTAGGCGCATTTAGTTTTGGTTTTTCAATGATTGATGAAATCATCTTCAAAGTACTCAGTCTTTCAATTACGGTCTACAGTCCTCATGGGAACATAAAAGGCTATAGAACCATGTTTCAAGTATTTCATTTTAGTTTTCTTTCATTGAGCTCATCTGTTCATCTTTTCGCGATGACTTTTTACTAAGTTACTGCTCAAGTGGTCATCCAGCTTTATTTTAGCCAGTCCTTTGACAAGAATATTATAGCACTCTTAACCCGGAAAAGGGAGGGTGCCTAATGATCCTGATCAAAATGGTTATTAAGCACCTGGTTTAAAAAGTAAAAAGAAGTGGAGTTTTAAAGTTTTTTTTCATTTCCATTCAGTCGCAAACGAATGATTAATTAATATGAAATAATCTCCCTCAGAGAAAGTAGTCAGTTCAGCCCTCTTCATGTTGGTCCTTCCTATTAATACGCAAATTATATTAAACTTCCTTTTCATTCATTACTGATTTTCTGATTGCCAATATGACAAAAAACTTCAAAACAACTGAGCCGGGTTGTTCGAAATACGATTAACGTTAATGCAAACTTTTAATTCAGTTTAATGGCTTTGCAAAGGAATTTTTCTTTTTCTTTTTTTTCCTTTTAATTTCAAGTCATATTGAGAGAGAACCCAACAAATCCCCAGCTCTTAAACACACTCATCTACACGAGAAATAAAAGCAAAGGTTAACTTTTAGTCCTAGATTGACGTTAAACCCCTTTCGAACAATCTGGCCCAGAACGATTCCTGGAAGCATCATCCATTGGGATTGAAAAACTGGCAGATGGTTTGTTTACACCAAAATCTTCCACCACTGTCGACGAATGAGATTTTTAAATCTTGTATTGATAAGAGCAAACTCCGATAACAAGACTTCTCTGAATAAAATAAAACTGGCTTCTCAAATATGAGTTCCGTGGTATGGAGTTTCAGTATATAACTTCAGCAGCTCACGAAACGAATGCAGGTAAGTGTTTCGCTATCTATGGCCTTCTTGAAGCATCTTTGCGTTGTTCAATTTGATTACATAGCACTTTACCTCGTTGTAATTATCCTATCTTATGAGAAATATGTTGTGTTTGCTGCGTTAAATGTATCCGCTCTCGGTCACTAATATTCATCAAACATACTTAATGTATGTATGTGCGCCAAGATGGCTGCCGCTTACTGTCGTCGTTGTTGTTTTTTTAAGCTTTTGTGCTTTGTTACCTTGTTCGTTCAGTATCTTGACAAGCACAATTCAATCTGTTCGCCTCCATCTACCTTTAAAGGCCCTTTTAGCGTCAGTCGAAAGCTATTTTCTGCTTCTCGCTGCGGTCAAGACCTTGCTGTTGCAAGACGCTCAACTAAGTTACCGATCACCAAATGGTCAAAGCATGGTTCGACGGTTGCTGCTCTGTCTGAAAGAGGTTTCATCAAGGACCTATCTATTGCAGTGGATGTTGAAATTAATCCGGGTCCGGAAAATTTTAACTACATGCCGACTGCTTCACTTCAAACTTCAAGACCTAGATTTTCTTTCAGTCGACGTAATTTATTTCAACTTCGCTCCTGTTGTCCTAAGGTTAAACTGGATTATTATCTTATTCATCGCTTAAAGTCATTGGGAATTTATAGAGCTAGAGGTCGTAGAGCTGGTGTTAATTCTAGATTTGGATCTCGTCAACAACATCACAAGATTCCAGTTCGTGTCACTGACCACTGTTTTTTATCAACGACCAAACGCGCACGACTTCGACCCAAGGATACAAATTTGCACTTCATTTCTACTCACTCTTCTTCTTTACCCCGAATAATCCCCAAATGTATGGTCATTAATGCAAGATCACTTGTGAAAGTTGATGCTGCTTCTGCTTTGCATATGGAATTGCACTCAAACAACTGCGATATTTGCATCATCTCCGAGACATGGCTTAAACCAAATTTTCCATCTCATCTCGTTTGTCCGAAGGATTACTCAATTTTGCGAAAGGATAGAACTGACCGGTCAGGCGGTGGTGTTGCTATTGTCTGTAGGAGCGATTGGTTGTTGGAACGATTAGACAGCGTTTTTTATAATGCCTTTGAATGTTTGTGGGCTAAAATTACAACTCCCAACTCAAGCTTTTATGTGGCTGCTGTTTATCATCCTCCAGATCCGCCATATTGTCCTGATGATTTATTGGAACATCTAACAAATAGTTGTGATCATTTATTGACTGGTAATCCTAACAGCAACCTTATAATTTGTGGTGACCTCAATCAGCTAGATTACAATGATTTTCTTACACAACTAAATTTATTCCAGATGGTAAATACACCGACAAGAAAGAACAAAATTTTGGATGTTTTGATTACTAACGTCCCACATTTTTGGAGGAAAGTATCGGTCACTCAAGGACTAGTTCGATCTGACCACTCTGTGGTCCTGGTATATCCCAGAATCCCACTTAAGGCTGAAAGGAAAACTGTGATGTTCAGAGATGTTCGTGATCATCATAAACTGGATATGGATAAACTGTTGAAGTTTCATAACTGGGACAATGTTTATCAATGCGGAGATGTGAATGGAAAACTTAATCTTTTTGTACCAAGATTAAGACCATGTTTGATGAGTGTTTTCCGGGTATATCAGTACGTGTGTCTAATAGGGACCCTCCGTTCTTTTCTCCTCTAATCAAACATCTACTGGACCAACGGCGAAAATTGATTCGGCGAAGTAACATGTCAGGAAATTCTGTTTCGATTGAGATCCAAACTCTTCAAGAGAAAATCAACAAGTTGATCAGAGATAATCAAGTTCGAGCAGTTAAAGGGAATTTTGAGAAACATAGTGCAGGATCCAAATCTTGGTGGTCAACAGTCAATTCCCTGACAGGAAGGAAGTCTACCAACTCGCAAGTAAACTCAATTATCTCCCCGAGCGAGATCAATAATTTTTTCTGTTCCATTAACACTGATCCCCTTTATAAACCCATTGACACTGTCACTATCCCGGAATCAAGCGAGATGCCTGTTTTAACGGTCTCCAGTGTTACCAGGAGTCTACTGAAATTAAAAAGAACTGCCTCTGGTCCAGATGGAATCCCGTACTGGTTTTGGAAAGAGTTTGCGTACGACCTCGCTCCTGTTGTTACCCATATTTTCAACTGTTCTTTGGAAAATCACATTGTGCCTGATCTTTGGAAATTGGCCGACATAACTCCCTTGCCTAAAGAGCCCAACTTTAAAAATTGCACACAGTTGCGGCCTATTTCGCTGACTAATGTAATAATGAGGGTTTTTGAACGTCTTGTATACAGACAAGAATTATCTCAATATATGAAGAACTTCATTAGCTTCGACCAGTTTGCATACCGCAAAGGCCACAATACGACAATGGCCTTAATTAAGTGTCAATATGCTTGGCTGAAATGGCTTGAGTCGGGTTTTGATTGTGTTAGAATCTTCTCTTTTGATTTCAGCAAAGCTTTTGATTCGGTCCCTCATGATATCCTCTGCTCTAAGTTGAAAACACTTGATATAAATCCATACGTGACCAATTGGATTATTAGTTTTTACAGAACAGGAAACAAAGAGTTGTTGTTGATGCCATTGTCACGGACTATGTAAATATCAATAGAGGTGTCCCTCAGGGGGACAGTTTTAGGCCCTATACTATTTTCTATTATGATCAATGATATTAAGGCCATTCTACCAAATCAGAATTTACTTGTGAAATATGCTGATGATTTAACATTAAGTATTCCAGTAAAATCGCTGGCTAATAACGGCAATTTAGCAGCTGAGGAGGTCCGATCGATCGTCGCATGGACATCTGCTAATCGTATGCAACTAAACTTCAAGAAAACGTGGGAGATGCTTCTTAGAGGCAAATCCAAATCCACTAAGGCCTTACCTGCTCCTCTGGTTTCTATAGAGCGTAAACCATGTCTGAAGTTGTTGGGTGTAACTTTTCAATCTGACCCGTGTAACTGGGACTTACATTTTGATAATATTATATCGAAAGCCAGTAGTCGCCTGTACATCTTACGTGTTTGTAAATTCTATGGACTGCCGCTGGATCATCTTCATCTTCTCTTTATCAGTCTTATTCTACCTATATTTACATATGCTGTAGAAGTATGGGGCTGCGCGTATTATCATAAGTATCTGAGTCGCATAGACAGGCTGTTCAAGAGAGCTTTTAAGCTTGGCTACTGTAAAGAGCTTTTTTCGATTGAAAATATTATCATTCTAAAAGATAAGAAGTTGTGGGCCAAGATCACCGACAGCGATTTTCCAACAGCTTTAGATGACCTTTTGCCACAAGAGCGAACAATGGATACGCTACGTAAGAGGCGCCATAATTATATTCTCCCGCTTGTCAGAACTGAACGTTTCAAAAGGACCTTTATTAATAGATGTTTGTTCTCTTATTAGTTATTCAGTTAGTAATTTAGTTAGTTTATTAGTTTTATACTTGCTGATTTCATATCATTGTAACTAAACACGTTTGTTGTTTAGAGTGCTTAATAAAGACTTATTATCATTATTATTATTATTATTATACCGCGTGATAATTCAAGCATATCGAGCTATCTCTAATATACAATTCCAGTCTCTCTCTCAGTTTTGAAGCATTTCGACGGACAAAACCAGAGTCGTCGGTGCTGCAATAGCTGGCATTTACACAGTTTATAATTATCACCCAGTCAGTGTTAATTTGCTTGGTTTAAGGGAAACATTTAAAACTATATTCATGGTCATAGGAGATCAGGGGAACGTGGTTGTGTCACAAAACAAAATACCAGACCCCCGAAAGGCTCTGTAGTATTCGCATGAGCCCCCCCTCAAAGGGCTCTCTAGTATTCTAACGATCTCCTCTCATTGGCACTCAATTCCCTTTATCCCCTCCCTCCCTTTGAACTCTTTTAGAGATGACGTATCCCTCCTCTGTCCCCCGTGGAAACTAAGGTATTCCCCCAAAAATCCTCCAACATCCCTCCCATAGGCGATACATGTACATAATGAATTGTCACTAAGATAACTTATAGTCATGCGTACACTAAAACGGCTGACTTTCCAAAAGAATTCCAGTCGAAGTAAAGTGGACAATTTTGTAAAAATCTGACACTTACATTGAAGTCATAGAGTTTAAACTCCAACCACATTTGTGCCATTAAGAAGAAAACATCGTTTTGTTAGATGACATTCAGTTATATACTTGTAATCATTTCGCACACTTTGACCAACCATCTCAGCAAGAATACCTATAGATGCTTAACTCTCACCTGAAATATCGATCAAAAAGTCTGTCCATATGTCAACATTTACCAATGAACAACGAAGCTGACGGTGCTAACATCCATTAAAATAATAGAGGGGGTAAGAAACTGTGGAGTTGCGTCGCGATTGGTAGGAGAGTATAACAAGGTAATTTAGTATTATCAATTGAGTTGATAAGGTTAATTGGCCACCGTAAAGAGTTTAAAAGCTAACGTTTCGAGCGTTAGCCCTTCGTCAGAGCGATTGGAGGAATTGTTGGTTGTGTGTGTGTCTATATGCAGGAGATGGAGCAACGCTACTAGTTGGAATATGGTGACTAGAAAACAAGATTGAAATAATATTTTGCTTGTTGAAAGCCGGACGAGAAAGTGAAATTAAGCCATGCGCTAAAAAATTTTGACTAAGTTCAATGACGTTTTAAAGAAAAAATGAATTTCTTAATGTGATTTCTGATTTCCCGAATGGCATGAAAAATGACATAATCTCATCTTCAGTTCTCAAGTTAGATGAAAAAGTTATCTGTATAGCAAACAATTTAATTTTGTCCACTAAGTTGATAAAGTAAATAAAGTAAAGAGCTTCTACAGCCGATATTTCGAGCGTCAGCTCTTCGTCAGAGCAAAATACGAAGAGAAAACGCTCGCAACGTCAGCTGTAGAAACTATCCACGGTGGCCAATTTACACCATTAAGGTAGTTAATAAGACCAGAGTATCTTGTGATACCCCTGCCGATGCATCACCACTGTTTCATAAGAAATTTTTCTCCTTTATGCATTTGTTTAACAAACAGAACCTTCGCTGAAAATAGCTAAGAGATTTGAACGTTTTACTGTTCATTTTTTCACTTTATCTGTCAATTTTTTTATTCTTAGTTTTTTGTTTTCTTTTGCTAAAGCAGCACGTATGTGACGATTCGTTTGTATGTAGTTGAACGAAAATGAATTTTATCTTTCTTTTGTGCAGACGAAGACTTGCACTGGTAACGTATTTTCTGTGCGGCATCAGTAATGAGGATGAGCTATTTCTTAAATTAAGTTTTGCTTGAATATGACAATTCCATTAAAAGAATAGTCGACCTTTTTTACTATTTCATTGCGAAAGTTTTCTTTATTTTTTTTCTCTTTCCGCGAAGTGTGTATTTACATCCTCTCTTTATCTAACATCAGCGATGTTCTGCTTCTGAAGAGAAAGTTAGAAGGATTTTAGTGGAAAGTTTGTCACAAAACTAGCATATAACTATATTCACCACGCGCAATAACCACACAGTAGATAACATTGTTTTCTGGCTCGTTTCCCTGAATGTGAGGAGTCGTCAGTTTTTAATAATTAAGTCATCCGGTGATGAAAAGCGAGTGCTGTTAGCAATTAGCTGTTCATGTTTGTGAAGAATAGATCAGAAGAGTACGCCCTTGTTACGTAGAATCTATGGTTCATGTTTTGACCGCTTTGTAAGTTGGGAACAACACGGATGATTCAGAAAGAGAATTTTAGGAATCATACTCAGAAAAAAGTTCCATTTTTTTCTGAGTTAATTCAGTAAGTCAACTCAACACAATTCATCCGAAAAAGCATGTTTCAAAAGTCCTGCATTGCAGTTATCTCAATATTTAACACAAGCTTAATTGTCTGATCGTGCTCTTCACCGCTTGTTTTACCTCTCTTATCCTCCAGCAATAAAGAATCGGGTTTAGAGTTGAATTTAAGCACAGAATTGTTATCGTAGCTCCAAGAAATAATGAACCCCTGGCGGTCGGAGGTATTATTCCGTTTGTTAGTAGCATGCCCACTAACATATATGGAAGATAGCAAAAACCTTGCGCTAGCTGCACGCATACTATACTAGAAACCGTCTTCTTGTACCGGGCTATGTTCAGTGAAATTGCTTCGCCATTTCGTGGTTGAGGTTGTGGTTGTGGCACGTGGATTTGAACTCGCTGTTGTTGATGTCGGAGACGGCGATAGATCTTCGCGTAAGAGGCTAACGATACTAGTAAGGACAGTAACATCAAGGCAATAAGTATGGAGCGGGCTGTTTCAACGTATCCTGTGCTGTATCTCAATCCAATGACTACACTACTCAGCAACCAAAAACAAAATAGAACTAGTCGGACACGCCTGAATGTGACAATTTGATGATATCGCAGCCCTAAAAGAAGAGCGAGAAGCCTGTCCACACATATTGCGGTCGTTGTCAGGACAGAAACTGTTAGCGAAAAAAAACCCATCGATACAGAAACTTGATAGAGGTAGAGAATTATATTCCTTTTAACTATCCCTGGTATGAAAGCTATTGCCAGAAGAGGCTGGACAGCAAGTCCAACGGCAAGATCAGTGACTGCCAAACATTGAAACAACAGCTTTGTTTGAGGTCGAATAGAATTCACCTTACGAAGGGCAAAGAGGATCAGGACATTGCCCAGGAATGTGGTGAGAGAAAGAGAGAAGTTTAGAGCGACAAGAAATATTGCAAAACTTAATGATACCATGATTGAGCGACGATATTCTTTTTGGCCTAGATGCTGCACATCAAGTAATTGACTCTGTCAATCTAGGTCGCGAGTGCATGGAACTCCATTTATTAAAAAAAAGAAATCGAGACAAAGGAAAACACTGAAAAGCTTCCGCCAAAAGCTTTTGATTAACCTCTCAAGGCCATCTTTGTTCAATATCTGTCGTAATAGAGAAAGGTTTTGTTCTTAGGCGCATTTAGTTTTGGGTTATCTATGACTGATGAAATCATCTTCAAAGTACTCAGTCTTTCAATTACGGTTTACAGTCCTCATGGGAACACAAAAGGCTATGGAACCATGTTTCAAGTATTTCATTTTAATTTTCTTTCATTGAGCTCATCTGTTCATCTTTCCGCGATGGCTTTTTAATAAGTTACTGCTCAAGTGGTCATCCAGCATTATTTTAGCCAGTCCTTTGAAATGAATTGTATAGCACTCTTAACCCTTAAAAGGGAAGGTGCTTAACGACCCTGATCAGAATGGCTATGAAGCACCTGGTTAAAAAAGTAAAAAGAAGTGGAGTTTTCAAGTTTTTTTCCTTTCCATTCAATCGCAAACGAATGATTAGCTAATATGAAATAATCTCCCTTAGAGAAAGCAGTCAGTTCTACCCTCTTCATTTTGGTCCTTCCTATTAATACGCAAATTATCTTCAACTTCCATTTTATTCGTTAGTTATTCTCTGTAAGCTTAGCTTTAACTTTAATTTCCGTTTGTTTTCTCGAATGTGGTACTTACACTCAGTAAACGAGGCTAGAACTTTATTAAAATTCATGGAATACCCGAAAGCTTTTAAAGCTGTGGGTAAAATATTTGCCGACGTTTCGTGTTTTGTTAATTGATGACTAACAAAATTTTAAGCCATTCCTCCTGTAAAACAAAGTTTTAAAATAAACCTTCTCGGCCGTTCTTTAAGACGCTTACAGCTATATCTAGTACGTTGTAGCAAAACACTTCAAAGAAGGGTAACTTACCTGTTAATGCCAATATGACAAAAACCTTCAAAACAACTGGGCCGGGTTGTTCGAAACACGATTAACGTTAGTGCAAACTTTTAATTCAGTTTAATGGCTTTGCAGAGGAATTTTTTCTTTTTCTTTTTTTTCCTTTTAATTTCAAGTCATATTGAGAGAGAACCCAACAAAACCCCAGCTCTGAAACACGCTCATCTACACGCGAAATAAAAGCAAAGGTTAACTTTTCATCCTAGATTGACGTTAAACCCCTTTCGAACAATCCTGCCCAGAACGATTCCTGGAAGCATCATCCATTGGGATTGAAAAACTGGCAGATGGTTTGTTTACACCAAAATCTTCCACCTCTGTCGACGAATGAGATTTTTAAAACTTGTATTGATGAGAGCAAACTCCGATAACGGGACTTCTCTGAATAAAATAAAACTGGCTTCTCAAATATGAGTTCCGTGGTATGGAGTTTCAGTATATAACTTCAGCAGCTCACGAAACGAATGCAGGTAAGTGTTTCGCTATCTATGGCCTTCTTGAAGCATCTTTGCGTTGTTCAATTTGATTACATAGCACTTTGCCTCGTTGTAATTATCCTATCTTATGAGAAATATGTTGTGTTTGCTGCGTTAAATGTATCCGCTCTCGGTCACTAATATTCATCAAACATACCGCGTGATAATTCAAGCATATCGAGCTATCTCTAATATACAATTCCAGTCTCTCTCTCAGTTTTGAAGCATTTCGACGGACAAAACCAGAGTCGTCGGTGCTGCAATAGCTGGCATTTACACAGTTTATAATTATCACCCAGTCAGTGTTAATTTGCTTGGTTTAAGGGAAACATTTAAAACTATATTCATGGTCATAGGAGATCAGGGGAACGTGGTTGTGTCACAAAACAAAATACCAGACCCCTTAAAAGGCTCTGTAGTATTCGCATGAGCCCCCCCAAAAAGGCTCTCTAGTATTCTAACGATCTCCTCTCATTGACATTCAACTCCCTATATCCCCTCCCTCCCTTTGAAGTCTTTTAGAGATGACGTATCCCTCTTTTGTCCCCCGTGGAAACTAAGGTATTCTCCCAAAAATCCTCCAACATCCCTCCCATAGGCGATACATGTACATAATGAATTGTCACTAAGATAACTTATAGTCATGCGTACACTAAAACGGCTGACTTTCCAAAAGAATTCCAGTCGAAGTAAAGTGGACAATTTTGTAAAAATCTGACACTTACATTGAAATCATAGAGTTTAAACTCGAACCACATTTGTGCCATTAAGAAGAAAACATCGTTTTGTTAGATGACATTCAGTTATATACTTGTAATCATTTCGCACACTTTGACCAACCATCTCAGCAAAAATACCTATAGATGCTTAACTCTCACCTGAAATATCGATCAAAAAGTCTGTCTATATGTCAACATTTACCAATGAACAACTAAGCTGACGGTGCTAACATCCATTAAAATAATAGAGGGGGTAAGAAACTGTGGAGTTGCGTCGCGATTGGTAGGAGAGTATAACAAGGTAATTTAGTATTATCAATTGAGTTGATAAGGTTAATTGGCCACCGTAAAGAGTTTAAAAGCTGACGTTTCGAGCGTTAGCCCTTCGTCAGAGCGATTGGAGGAATTGTTGGTTGTGTGTGTGTCTATATGCAGGAGATGGAGCAACGCTACTAGTTGGAATATGGTGACTAGAAAACAAGATTGAAATAATATTTTGCTTGTTGAAAGCCGGACGAGAAAGTGAAATTAAGCCATGCGCTAAAAAAATTTGACTAAGTTCAATGACGTTTTAAAGAAAAAATGAATTTCTTAATGTGATTTCTGATTTCCCGAATGGCATGAAAAATGACATAATCTCATCTTCAGTTCTCAAGTTAGATGAAAAAGTTATCTGTATAGCAAACAATTTAATTTTGTCCACTAAGTTGATAAAGTAAATAAAGTAAAGAGTTTCTACAGCCGATATTTCGAGCGTCAGCTCTTCGTCAGAGCAAAATACGAAGAGAAAACGCTCGCAACGTCAGCTGTAGAAACCCTCCACGGTGGCCAATTTACACCATTAAGGTAGTTAATAAGACCAGAGTATCTTGTGATACCCTTGCCGATGCATCACCACTGTTTCATAAGAAATCTTTCTCCTTTATGCATTTGTTTAACAAACAGAACCTTCACTGAAAATAGCTAAGAGATTTGAACGTTTTACTGTTCATTTTTTCACTTTATCTGTCAATTTTTTTATTCTTACTATTTTGTTTTCTTTTGCTAAAGCAGCACGTATGTGACGATTCGGTTGTATGTAGTTGAACGAAAATTAATTTTATCTTTCTTTTGTGCAGACGAAGACTTGCACTGGTAACGTATTTTCTGTGCGGCATCAGTAATGAGGATGAGCTATTTCTTAAATTAAGTTTTGCTTGAATATGATAATTCCATTAAAAGAATAGTCGACCTTTTTTACTATTTCATTGCGAAAGTTTTCTTTATTTTTTTTCTCTTTCCGCGAAGTGTGTATTTACATCCTCTCTTTATCTAACATCAGCGATGTTCTGCTTCTGAAGAGAAAGTTAGAAGGATTTTAGTGGAAAGTTTGTCACAAAACTAGCATATAACTATATTCACCACGCGCAATAACCACACAGTAGATAACATTGTTTTCTGGCTCGTTTCCCTGAATGTGAGGAGTCGTCAGTTTTTAATAATTAAGTCATCCGGTGATGAAAAGCGAGTGCTGTTAGCAATTAGCTGTTCATGTTTGTGAAGAATAGATCAGAAGAGTACGCCCTTGTTACGTAGAATCTATGGTTCATGTTTTGACCGCTTTGTAAGTTGGGAACAACACGGATGATTCAGAAAGAGAATTTTAGGAATCATACTCAGAAAAAAGTTCCATTTTTTTCTGAGTTAATTCAGTAAGTCAACTCAACACAATTCATCCGAAAAAGCATGTTTCAAAAGTCCTGCATTGCAGTTATCTCAATATTTAACACAAGCTTAATTGTCTGATCGTGCTCTTCACCGCTTGTTTTACCTCTCTTATCCTCCAGCAATAAAGAATCGGGTTTAGAGTTGAATTTAAGCACAGAATTGTTATCGTAGCTCCAAGAAATAATGAACCCCTGGCGGTCGGAGGTATTATTCCGTTTGTTAGTAGCATGCCCACTAACATATATGGAAGATAGCAAAAACCTTGCGCTAGCTGCACGCATACTATACTAGAAACCGTCTTCTTGTACCGGGCTATGTTCAGTAAAATTGCTTCGCCATTTCGTGGTTGAGGTTGTGGTTGTGGCACGTGGATTTGAACTCGCTGTTGTTGATGTCGGAGACGGCGATAGATCTTCGCGTAAGAGGCTAACGATACTAGTAAGGACAGTAACATCAAGGCAATAAGTATGGAGCGGGCTGTTTCAACGTATCCTGTGCTGTATCTCAATCCAATGACTACACTACTCAGCAACCAAAAACAAAATAGAACTAGTTGGGCACGCCTGAATGTGACAATTTGATGATATCGCAGCCCTAAAAGAAGAGCGAGAAGCCTATCCACACATATTGCGGTCGTTGTCAGGACAGAAACTGTTAGCGAAAAAAAACCCATCGATACAGAAACTTGATAGAGGTAGAGAATTATATTCCTTTTAACTATCCCTGGTATGAAAGCTATTGCCAGAAGAGGCTGGACAGCAAGTCCAACGGCAAGATCAGTGACTGCCAAACATTGAAACAACAGCTTTGTTTGAGGTCGAATAGAATTCACCTTACGAAGGGCAAAGAGGATCAGGACATTGCCCAGGAATGTGGTGAGAGAAAGAGAGAAGTTTAGAGCGACAAGAAATATTGCAAAACTTAATGATACCATGATTGAGCGACGATATTCTTTTTGGCCTAGATGCTGCACATCAAGTAATTGACTCTGTCAATCTAGGTCGCGAGTGCATGGAACTCCATTTATTGTAAAAAGAAATCGAGACAAAGGAAAACACTGAAAAGCTTCCGCCAAAAGCTTTTGATTAACCTCTCAAGGCCATCTTTGTTCAATATCTGTCGTAATAGAGAAAGGTTTTGTTCTTAGGCGCATTTAGTTTTGGGTTATCTATGACTGATGAAATCATCTTCAAAGTACTCAGTCTTTCAATTACGGTCTACAGTCCTCATGGGAACACAAAAGGCTATGGAACCATGTTTCAAGTATTTCATTTTAATTTTCTTTCATTGAGCTCATCTGTTCATCTTTCCGCGATGGCTTTTTAATAAGTTACTGCTCAAGTGGTCATCCAGCATTATTTTAGCCAGTCCTTTGACATGAATTGTATAGCACTCTAAACCCTTAAAAGGGAAGGTGCTTAACGACCCTGATCAGAATGGTTATGAAGCACCTGGTTAAAAAAGTGAAAAGAAGTGGAGTTTTCAAGTTTTTTTCCTTTCCATTCAATCGCAAACGAATGATAAGCTAATATGAAATAATCTCCCTTAGAGAAAGCAGTCAGTTCTACCCTCTTCATTTTGGTCCTTCCTATTAATACGCAAATTATCTTCAACTTCCATTTTATTCGTTAGTTATTCTCTGTAAGCTTAGCTTTAACTTTAATTTCCGTTTGTTTTCTCGAATGTGGTACTTACACTCAGTAAACGAGGCTAGAACTTTATTAAAATTCATGGAATACCCGAAAGCTTTTAAAGCTGTGGGTAAAATATTTGCCGACGTTTCGTGTTTTGTTAATTGATGACTAACAAAATTTTAAGCCATTCCTCCTGTAAAACAAAGTTTTAAAATAAACCTTCTCGGCCGTTCTTTAAGACGCTTACAGCTATATCTAGTACGTTGTAGCAAAACACTTCAAAGAAGGGTAACTTACCTGTTAATGCCAATATGACAAAAACCTTCAAAACAACTGGGCCGGGTTGTTCGAAACACGATTAACGTTAGTGCAAACTTTTAATTCAGTTTAATGGCTTTGCAGAGGAATTTTTTCTTTTTCTTTTTTTTCCTTTTAATTTCAAGTCATATTGAGAACCCAACAAAACCCCAGCTCTTAAACACACTCATCCACACGAGAAATAAAAGCAAAGGTTAACTTTTAATCCTAGATTGACATTAAACCCCTTTCGAACAATCCTGCCCAGAACGATTCCTGGATGCATCATCCATTGGGATTGAAAAACTGGCAGATGGTTTGTTTACACCAAAATCTTCCACCTCTGTCGACGAATGAGATTTTTAAATCTTGTATTGATAAGAGCAAACTCCGATAACGGGACTTCTCTGAATAAAATAAAACTGGCTTCTCAAATATGAGTTCCGTGGTATGGAGTTTCAGTATATAACTTCAGCAGCTCACGAAACGAATGCAGGTAAGTGTTTCGCTATCTATGGCCTTCTTGAAGCACCTTTGCGTTGTTCAATTTGATTACACAGCACTTTGCCTCGTTGTAATTATCCTATCTTATGAGAAATATGTTGTGTTTGCTGCGTTAAATGTATCCGCTCTCGGCCACTAATATTCATCAAACATACCGCGTGATAATTCAAGCATATCGAGCTATCTCTAATATACAATTCCAGTCTCTCTCTCATTTTTGAAGCATTTCGAGGGACAAAACCAGAGTCGTCGGTACTGCAATAGCAGGCATTTACACAGTTTATAATTATCACTGAGTCAGTGTTAATTTGCTTGGTTTAAGGGAAACATTTAAAACTATATTCATGGTCATAGGGGATCAGGGGAACGTGGTTGTGTCACAAAACAAAATACCAGACCCCCAAAAGGCTCTGTAGTATTCGCATGAACCCCCCCCAACCCCCCCTCAAAAGGCTACCTAGTATTCTAACGATCTCCTTTCATTGGCATTCAATTTCCTATATCCCCTCCCCCCCTTTGAACTCTTTTAGAGATGACGTATCCCTCCTCTGTGCCCCGTGGAAACTAAGGTATTCCCCCAAAAATCCTCCAACATCCCTCCCATAGGCGATACATGTACATAACGAATTGTCACTAAGATAACTTATAGTCATGCGTACACTAAAACGGCTGACTTTCCAAAAGAATTCCAGTCGAAGTAAAGTGGACAATTTTGTAAAAATCTGACACTTACATTGAAATCATAGAGTTTAAACTCGAACCACATTTGTGCCATTAAGAAGAAAACATCGTTTTGTTAGACGACATTCAGTCATATACTTGTAATCATTTCGCACACTTTGACCAACCATCTCAGCAAGAATACCTATAGATGCTAAACTCTCACCTGAAATATCGATCAAAAAGTCTGTCTATATGTCAACATTTACCAATGAACAACGAAGCTGACGGTGCTAACATCCATTAAAATAATAGAGGGGGTAAGAAACTGTGGAGTTGCGTCGCGATTGGTAGGAGAGTATAACAAGGTAATTTAGTATTATCAATTGAGTTGATAAGGTTAATTGACCACCGTAAAGAGTTTAAAAGCTGACGTTTCGAGCGTTAGCCCTTCGTCAGAGCGATTGGAGGAATTGTTGGTTGTGTGTGTGTCTATATGCAGGAGATGGAGCAACGCTACTAGTTGGAATATGGTGACTAGAAAACAAGATTGAAATAATATTTTGCTTGTTGAAAGCCGGACGAGAAAGTGAAATTAAGCCATGCGCTAAAAAATTTTGACTAAGTTCAACGACGTTTTAAAGAAAAAATGAATTTCTTAATGTGATTTCTGATTTCCCGAATGGCATGAAAAATGACATAATCTCATCTTCAGTTCTCAAGTTAGATGAAAAGGTTGTATAGCAAACAATTAAATTTTGTCCACTAAGTTGATACAGTAAATAAAGTAAAGAGTTTCTACGGCTGATGTTTCGAGCGTCAGCTCTTCGTCAGAGCAAAATACGAAGAGAAAACGCTCGCAACGTCGGCTGTAGAAACTCTCCACGGTGGCCAATTTACACCATTAAGGTAGTTAATAAGACCAGAGTATCTTGTGATACCCCTGCCGATGCATCACCATTGTTTCATAAGAAATTTTCTCCTTTATGCATTTGTTTAACAAACAGAACCTTCACTGAAAATAGCTAAGAGATTTGAACGTTTTACTGTTCATTTTTTCACTTTATCTGTCAATTTTTTTTTATTCTTACTATTTTATTTTCTTTTGCTAAAGCAGCACGTATGTGACGATTCGGTTGTATGTAGTTGAACGAAAATGAATTAAATCTTTCTTTTGTGCAGACGAAGACTTGCACTGGTAACGTATTTTCTGTGCGGCATCAGTAATGAGGATAAGCTATTTCTTAAATTAAGTTTTGCTTGAATATGATAATTCCATTAAAAGAATAGTCGACCTTTTTTACTATTTCATTGCGAAAGTTTTCTTTATTTTTTTTTCTCTTTCCGCGAAGTGTGTATTTACATCCTCTCTTTATCTAACATCAGCGATGTTCTGCTTCTGAAGAGAAAGTTAGAAGGATTTTAGTGGAAAGTTTGTCACAAAACTAGCATATAACTATATTCACCACGCGTAATAACCACACAGTAGATAACATTGTTTTCTGGCTCTTTTCCCTGAATGTGAGGAGTCGTCAGTTTTTAATAATTAAGTCATCCGGTGATGAAAAGCGAGTGCTGTTAGCAATTAGCTGTTCATGTTTGTGAAGAACTGATCAAAAGAGTACGCCCTTGTTACGTAGAATCTATGGTTCATGTTTTGACCGCTTTGTAGGTTGGGAACAACTCGGATGATTCAGAAAGAGAATTGAAAATTGCATTTTTTCTGGGTTAATTCAGTAAGTCAACTCAACACAATTCATCCGAAAAAGCATGTTTCAGTCGTCCTGCATTGCAGTTACCTCAATATTTAACACCAACTTAATTGTCTGATCGTGCTCTTCACCGCTTGTTTTACCTCTCTTATCCTCCAGCAATAAAGAATCGGGTTTAGAGTTGAATTTAAGCACAGAATTGTTATCGTAGCTCCATGAAATAATGAACCCCAGGCGGTCGGAGGTATTATTCCGTTTGTTAGCAGCATGCCCACTGACACATATGTGGAAGATAGCAAAAACCTAGCGCTAGCTGCACGTATACTATACTAGAAACCGTCTTCATGTATCGGGCTATGTTCAGTGAAATTGCTTCTCCATTTCGTGGTTGAGGCTGTGGTTGTGGCACGTGGATCTGTACTTGCTGTTGTTGATGTCGGAGACGGCGATAGATCTTCGCGTAAGAGGCTAACGATACTAGTAAGGACAGTAACATCAAGGCAATAAGTATGGAGCGGGCTGTTTCAACGTATCCTGTGCTGTATCTCAATCCAATGATTACACTACTCAGCAACCAAAAACAAAATAGAACTAGTCGGACACGCCTGAATGTGACAATTTGAGGATATCGCAGCCCCAAAAGAAGAGCTAGAAGCCTGTCTACACATATTGCGGTCGTTGTCAGGACAGAAACTGTTTGCAAAACAAAACCCATCGGTATAGAAACATGATAGATGTAGAGAATTATGTTCCTTTTAACTGCCCCTAGTATGAAAGTTATTGCCAGAAGAGGCTGGGCAGCAAGTCCAACGGCAAGATCAGTGACTGCCAAACATTGAAACAACAGCTTTGTTTGAGGTCGAATAGAATTCACCTTACGAAGGGCAAAGAGGATCAGGACATTGCCCAGGAATGTGGCGAGAGAAAGAGAGAAGTTTAGAGCGGCAAGAAATACTGAAAAACTTGATAAGACCATGATTGAGCGACGATATTCTTTTTGGCTTAGATGCTGCACATCAAATAACTGACTCTGTCAATCTATGTCGCGAGTAAATGGAACTCCATTTATTGTAAAAGAAAAAAAAAAATCGAGACAAAGGAAAACACTTAAGAGCTTCCGCCAAAAGCTTCTGCTTAACCTGTCAAGGCCATCTTTGTTTAATATCCGTCGTAATAGAGAAAGGTTTTGTTCTTAGGCGCATTTAGTTTTGGTTTTTCGATGATTGATGAAATCATCTTCAAAGTACTCAGTCTTTCAATTACGGTCTACAGTCCTCATGGGAACATAAAAGGCTATAGAACCATGTTTCAAGTATTTCATTTTAGTTTTCTATCATTGAGCTCATCTGTTCATCTTTTCGCGATGACTTTTTTCTAAGTTACTGCTCAAGTGGTCATCCAGCTTTATTTTAGCCAGTCCTTTGACAAGAATATTATAGCACTCTTAACCCGGAAAAGGGAGGGTGCCTAATGATCCTGATCAGAATGGTTATTAAGCACCTGGTTTAAAAAGTAAAAAGAAGTGGAGTTTTTAAGTTTTTTTTCATTTCCATTCAGTCGCAAACGAATGATTAGCTAATATGAAATAATCTCCCTCTTGGTATGGAGTTTCAGTATATAACTTCAGCAGCTCACGAAACGAATGCAGGTAAGTGTTTCGCTATCTATGGCCTTCTTGAAGCATCTTTGCGTTGTTCAATTTGATTACATAGCACTTTGCCTCGTTGTAATTATCCTATCTTATGAGAAATATGTTGTCTTTGCTGCGTTAAATGTATCCGCTCTCGGTCACTAATATTCATCAAATATACCGCGTGATAATTCAAGCATATCGAGCTATCTCTAATATACAATTCCAGTCTCTCTCTCAGTTTTGAAGCATTTCGACGGACAAAACCAGAGTCGTCGGTGCTGCAATAGCAGGCATTTACACAGTTTATAATTATCACTTAGTCTGTTAATTTGCTTGGCTAATTTAAAACTTTATTAATAGTCTTAGGGGGTCAGGGAAATGTGGTTGTGTCACAAAACAATTTACCAGACCCCCGAAAGGCTCTGTAGTATTCGCATGAGCCCCACCCCCCTCAAAAGGCTCTCTAGTATTCTAACGATCCCCTTTCATTGACATTCAACTCCCTATATTCCCTCCCTCCCTTTGAAGTCTTTTAGAGATGACGTATCCCTCCTCTGTCCCCCGTGAAAACCAAGGTATTCGCCCAAAAATCCTCCAACATCCCTCCCATGGGCGATACATGTACATAATGAATTGTCGCTAAGATAACTTATAGTCATGCGTACACTAAAACGGCTGATTTTCCAAAAAAATCCCAGTCCAAGTAAAGTGGACAATTTTTTAAGAGAGGGGTTGCCAGGGATAAAACGGTTGGGATTTTTAAAGAACTTAATCGGTACCGCTGTACCCTTGTATCGCAGCTCAATGGAAATCATTATTAGCCTGTAATGTAAAAAAATTCGAAAATAGCGTTTATTCGAAGATCTTTTCCCTAAAGCAGTAATCATAATTTAAGCAAAATCTTGACAAAGCCAAAGTGGTAGATATTTCTCATGTATGACACATAGCGTCACTCTACAGACCTGGAAGAAGTGCCACCATCTTTATCAATGATGGCTTCTAGTTTGCGCACCGGAAACTTGGTAAATTTGAACTTCGTTTCTCCCTCTTTGCTTGGATTCTGAAATTAAAGTATACATTATAAGTTCCTGTGCGTTACGAATTGGTGTACTGTTGTAGAGAGCTCTCTAAACTAATGATACCTCCTATTAAGAAGACTTTATGAATCTGTTTATTATTGTAGAGACTTATCTAAACTAATGATACCTTACATTGAAAAAGACTTTCTGAATCGGTGTACTATTGTTGAGAGTTATCTAAGCTAATGATACCTCGCATTTAAGAGGACTTTCTGAAAAGTTGACCAGGTTCAAATGAAGCAGATTCAAGGAAGGCGCTCTTTTGACTGGCTGCAGGGAGAACGCCACTGACTGGGTATGATTGACGGGGCCTTAAGTCTTACAGACTTTAAACGACTACACGATTCCGCCTTTTGAACTGAGTGTCTTTCTGAACTGAAAACCGTAAACGAGATGTGAGAATTGGCGATATACAGATTACATGTGTGTTACGAACAAGTTTTGAATAGACGTTGCTGAATGATGCAGAAATAGGAGGAATTTTTCTTTCAACAGGATCACAGTCTGGAGGCCTTAAAACCGCTGCCAAGTTTCTCGCTTCTTCTCCAAGAAGGCCTCAAGTTGCTTTCAGTTAGGCTACATTTGAACGAAAATGGCACTTTCTTGAAAACCCTGTTCTACTGAGTTTTGCACCACTCTTTTATACTTCAAGTTCATATTAAATCAAATACACTGTTGCCTCTTACTCTTTCAAATATCTTACCAATAATTTTCCCGGAGTGGACGACGTTTGTTCTCGTTGCCTCACTCTCATGTTATCCGCGCAAATCGGCTCAGGCACTGTGCCATTGGCTCCATGTAAGTTAACCTCATATACTGCACGACTGCTGCTTATCCTGACAAGATACAGTCAATTATTTACTAAAAGTAAATAGAAAACTCACTGAATTCATTGCACGAGGATCATAAAACCCTCTCTTTATTTGCTGTCTATTAAGGAATAGATAGCGAGGAGTGTAGCCAATCAGATTGCAGCATTTGTGATGGAACACAAGTAAATTTGTATTAATAGTGGTTATTCCTAAAAGAGGTACAATGTATCATATCAATGAAAAATAAATGCGATTTTCTGTTTCAGTAGTAACAGCTTTTGTAGGCAGATAGCAAAGGCAAAAATTGAACTTCTTGTTATTTACCGTTGGATGCTTCTACTCTCGTATGAAAGAGAAGATTGCTCTTACCGTAGATGAGAGTCTGTTTACAATTAGTAATTTATTCTTTCAAGGATGACTAAACAAACAGGGAGTCAAATATTGCCCGTGTCTTATTTTTCTTCAAATAATTTCTTCCATCCGCTACGATGTGAATCTTGTAAAATGGATCAAAGCTTCCTTTTTCATCATTTTGTCGAGTGTTTTTTGCTTAACACTGAAAGACGTCTCTCTGTAAAGTTGGCAGGATTTGTTCGAAGTTATTCCATATACACTACTGTTTCGAAGTCTAAGATGGCATATCCCAAAGGCGTTTACGCCATTGCTCCTGGTCTGTGCGTGGTTAACAGTTGATCTGAAAACGTCTACGGAAGATGAATTAAAGTTTTTGAGAGGATTAGTTGAAATGAGGTATTGATTCCTAAATTTACTGCATCATGCAAACAATATGATCGTTAATTAAGTTGAACTATGCAGCTGCTGAATGTGTTGATCACATGTCTGGAAATTGCCTCTGATGCAAAGGAATATCTCAAACAAACTTTGAGTTTAGAACATTTGCTGGTGAGCTATTTTGAGATATTGTCGCTGTTATGAGCCCAATTTGTTGTTCACTTTGAAATTAGGGTAATTTTTAGTAACTAGTGGTGGGTACCTTTGAAAGAGAGAGTACTGATTATTGAATGTTTTACTGATTGCTGCATTTAGAGAACATAAGGGATCAGTGACGGTTTCTGAGAGAATAATCGGAGATGATGAACTAATTTGTGTCCAAAGCTGACATGGAAACTCCCATGAGCTATGATGCCGTATGTATCACGTCTTGGAATTGCCTTTTGTATGGAAGAATACATCGATCCAACAACCATTAAGTTTCAAGACATTTGCTTTAGGGAATGTTTTAGAGGTATTATCACTATAATAAGAACGAAATCTGGTTCAACTTGAAATCAGAGTAATCCTCAGATATTGTAAGCGGTGGATACTTTTAAACAGGAGACAATTCTGGCAAAGTTCCATTTCAATTCAGCGAAAACCCTGTTCACAGTTTGAAGACCACATTCCTTCGTAGTCCAGCGAAACAGAAAAAGCAAAAAGACATTTTTGTCGTACAATCACCATCGCGATGACATTCGACAGGCCGACGGTAACAAACGACTGTGCAGACTTACTATCAAAAGGAGGACTCAGGAAGTTTAAGCTGTTTCCTATCGATGAACAGTAGAACCAATTGCTTGTAAGTAATACTTCTTTACTTGTCGTGTCACATTTGACTGTGTTTGCTCTGGTTTAGGAATATTTGATTGATTAGGCATATTACCCAACAAAGAATTAATGACTTGAACAAAAATAATAAACTGCTACCTTGGATCTTGAGGTCAGGATCCTGGAGGCGTTATGATTTTTTTCTCAGCAAAGAATCAACGACCCTCTCTCCCTTCGCAATGATGTACAAATACCAGCCCACCCCCCAAAGAACAAACTGAAAGTATCCATTTGAATGAACCCTGGAAGACATGAATGCCAGCACATGCTAATTTTATCCTAAGTTGCATTTCAAATATAAATTACTTTGTTATCATGCCAACTGGATACTGGTCTCTATCACAACAAGCTCACCTTTCGCCTCACTCCAAATCGCTATCGACTAAGTACACAACTGTAAAATGGCCTATTGATCAGGTTTTCGTCAATTTGTTTTCCTACACGTAATCAACCACTGAACTAATGCAGCTTTGTTTCAATGGAAATCTTTTATTTGGCTAAAGGTGTTAAAGAAAGACAGCTTTGAATCAGAAGTTATCTTGATAAAAGTCCAAATTCTGGTACATGATTTGTGTAAGGAAGTAACATCTTGGGAGTTGATAAATGCCAATGCATCTAAACGACTACTCAGGGATCATAATGCTGATTCTTCAGGAGTATAAATTTCTCAGGTCACCATGAAAAAATGATAAGAATAAAAAACAAACAAACAAACAAACAAAATCAACAAAGAGGATGAATGTTCAGGTCTCGTAGACCAAGAGCATGGTGACAATGGCCAATGATCAACTGAAAACTACTCTCCTCAACCTGTACTTTGCAAGAAAACTTGAAATAAATAAAGAAATATGATCACAAGACGTTGTTGAGTGTTTCTCCCCACTTCTTGAGTCCAACCATGTCCAACCCACGTTATCAGATCTGAGGTCAACACTAAACCTGAGTGAAAAAAAATTATCTGACACGTACATTGCAATCATAGCTGGAGTTTAAACTCGAGCCACATTTCTGACATGAAAAAGGGCACATGGTTTTGTTAGATGACGTTCAATCATATACTTGTAATCATTTCGCACGCTCTGAGTAACCATCTCAGCAAGAATACCTATAGATGCTAAACTCTCACCCGAAATATCGATCCAAAAGTCTGTCTATATGTCAACATTTACCAATGAACAACGAAGCTGACGGTGCTAACATCCATTAAAATAATAGAGAGGGGTAAGTTCCCAAAGAAACTGTGGAGTTGCGTCGCGATTGGTAGGAGAGTGTAACAAGGTAATTTAGTATTATTAATTGAGTTGATAAGGTTAATTGGCCACCGTAAAGAGTTTAAAAGCTGACGTTTCGAGCGTTAGCCCTTCGTCAAAGCGATTGTAGGAGTTGTGGGTTGTGTGTGTGTCTATATGCAGGAAATGGAGCAACGCTACTACTGGGAATATGGTGACTAGAAAACAAGATCAAAACAATATTTTGCTTGTCAAAGCCAGACGAGAAAGTGAAATTAAGCCATGCGCTGAAAAAGTTTTGACTAATTTCGGAATGTGATTTCTGATTTCCCGAATGGCATGGAAAATGACATAATCTCATCTTCATTCAGTCTCAGCTTCAGTTCTCAAGTTAGATCATGAGTTCTTTTACATGATCGGCGTGTCTAAGTATTTCGCTAAATTGAGAAGCTTGTGTTTTCTGAGCTTCTTACTCACATATGCGAATTTCCTCTAGAATCTCAATAATTTTTACATCTCGAAACAGCTTTTCTATTCAAATTATGATGGTTCTGAGTGTTTGAGACCATCTACATAAGAATGGAAAAAAAACCAGCCACATTATGATTAGAAAATGGCTATCAAAATAATCTTTGCAGTAATGAAAACTACCTTAGCAGTAGTGAAAAGAGGGCTTCTAAGAAATTCAGGCCTCTATTGGATTTGAAACCATGACCTCTCCGTTACCTGTGCAGTGCTCTACCAACTGAGCTAACAAGCCAACTGTAAGATAATTATAATGTTGGTTTGTAATAAACCCGTGAAATGATGAATATACGAATATGTGAATATATGAAAATCATGTGTCTGTCATCTGCGGCTTAGGAAATATATATGAAAGCGATTTTCAAGGCAGTAGTGAAAATAAGGCTGGGTTTCAATTCCTTACGGGCCTGATTTTTTTGTCAGGCCTGATTTTCACTAATGTTCATTTCTTAAACCGCTGTTGTAGTATACGATTATGATATATTCACAATCATTGATTATGGTTAGGGAAGCCATGGACTAATAAGAGTATTATTTATAGCCAGAATGCTGAGTGAAGAAAATCTCACGCTTGACTGGAGAAGCTATTTTCCATCCAAAACTACACGTTTTGTTTTTGAGTTTCAACCGAAAAATGCTAAGTGGATATTGCCTAGAAACCCTAAAAGTTTTCGGTGTAGGGTGGCAGGAAATCTCGGCGTGTTTCACACACTTGATGAAAAGTAGGCAGTTTCAGTGCTCTTAAAATGTGCTGTATAACAAACAACTTAATTTTGTCAACTAAGTTGATAATGTAATAGGCCTTCATAAAGAGTTTCTACAGCTGATGTTTCGAGCGTCAGCTCTTCGTCAGAGAAAAAGACGAAGAGAAAACGCTCGCAACGCCAGCTGTAGAAACTCTTTATGGTGTCCAATTTACACTATTAACGTAATTAATAAGATCAGAGTATCTTGTGATACCCCTGCCGATGCATCAACACAGTTTCATAGGAAATTTTTCCCCTTTACGCATTTGTGTAACAAACAGAACCTTCACTGAAAATAGCTAAGAGATTTGAACATTTTACTGTTCACTTTTTTCACTTTATCTATCCATTTTTTATTCTCACTATTTTGTTTTCTTTTGCTAAAGCAGCGGTTGTATGTAGTGTTAAACGATAAAAATGGGACTCTATTTCGGAAATATCGTAAGGGTTTCCTTATATTGGTGTCGGGGTAAGGAATGGAAATATTATGTTACTTTAAACCATTCCTGTAGGGTATTATAAAAAAGGCAGGTTGATTACTTCTTATTCTTTTTGGAAGCCTTATCTTAAAGGTAGAGTTTAGTCACGTTTTCCTCGTTATCATTGTGAGGTTGACATGGAAACAGTTGCTATGGTAATTAGAACTCGTGATAGTGTCTTGGGAAAGCTATGTTATTAATTAAGTTAATTTGTTAGTTCAGGAGGAGCGAATCTCTTTGGTAAAAGGTCACGTTCGACACCTCTCGTTCTTAAAGGTGTAAACGTGTGATACCTTCATGTTTTGCAATTACAAAGTTATTATGACTAGCACGTAGCAACTTAGGGGCGGTACTTGTGAACGCCCCTTCTTCTCCAACTTTTAAAATCATGATGTTGTTATGCAACGGTCTTCTAAGGCAATTTTCTCTTAAGATACCCCTT